ATTAAAGATCTTGTTATAGGGATTTAGGAAAGTGGGCGGTTCGCTTGTCTGGGCGGTTCGCTTATCAATCACGTTATCCTTTCTACTTATACTCCTCTTGTAACATGCGTCTGGCAATAGATTATAAAGCTAATAAGATAAGCGAGATAATCCAGATTATATTATTTCGTAGATGATCCTAAATCATTAGTAAATAATAATAGGTTACGCGTTATATCCCGTGCGGGCCGCATCGCGGCGCATGCGGTCGCATGTTAGGCGTAACAATAGGTAAGCCTTGATTAAATGATGTTGCCTTTGACCTGCTGAATGGTCCTGATATCCGTGTTCCTCCAGAAAGCCACCGCAACAGCGCCAAGAACCCATATGGCGGTGCCGGCCGTCAGCATCATCGCCTGAGCATCCGAATACGCGCGCTGAATGGCAATACGGGCAGGACTGCCCATGGGGTAGCTCAGCTGGACCTCGAGCATGCCGTAGATGTTCAGGAAGTTCTCCTGTTCCTCGAGCGGGAGGTAGAGAAGCAGTCGGTTCGGGAAGATCGACTGCCAGATGGCACCGGCAACGACGAGTCCGACGGCACCACCAATGGAAGAGAACATGGTGACAATCGCAATGACAACAGCAATATGCTGGTGTGAGGCGGAAGACATGGCGGCGATCGGGGGCGTGATGATCATCACACCAGCGGCAAATGCCAAAAACACCTGGCACATGATGATATATCCCACATCCATGTCCGCATTCCGGAAGTAGATCATGAGACCCATGAAAAGAGTGTACACAGGGATCGCGCCGTAGAGTGTGATGGCCTTGTAGCGGCCAGTGTAGCGAATAACCACACCTGTGACGATGGTGAAGATGCTGCTCCCCACGCTGTAGATCTGGACGACATAGCTCGCATGGGTTATGCTCAGTCCGTTGACTACCTGGAGGAAAGAGCTAAAGTAGCTTGTCCAGCACGAGTAGCTGATGAACAGAACCATGCCTAGACCACAGGCACCGACCATGTTTCGGTCCGAGAGCAGTGAGTATGGGATAAACTGGACAGGCGCAAAGAAGCGCTCCCAGACCCCGAACAGAACCATCAAGACCAGCCCAAATACCAGCAGGCAGATGATGAGAGGGGATTGCCAGCCCTTGGGCTGGAATGCCCAGATGTTGAACGGCAAAAGGAACATGGCAAGACCAGCGGTGAGCAGGAGCAGACCAACGGCATCAAACTCGCGAGCGTAATGGATAAAGGTTTGCCACGGCGACCTCTTGCCTGTCTCCTCCTTCTTTATTACACCTTGCCTCTTGGCCTTGAAGGAGTTCACCAGAAGCAGCACGACAAAGGGAGTGCAGAGGACGGGGACGATGATAGCAAATGCACCAAAATACCACCGCCATCCGGGCCCTTGCAGGAGGAAAGCTTCTGAGATGGGACCACCCAGCCATGTCGTGATGATGTTTGGGGAGGAGGTGAGGGCCGTCATGAGACCACGGTTGTGCAGGGCTGTGGTGTCAGCCACAAAGATGTTGATGCTGTACATGAGGGCGTTCGTCCCGACACTCCAGAAGACCTGTGCCGCAGCGTACATCTCCACGTTGGTCGTGGCCGCCATCATGATCAGGCCAATGGTGGCAATGAACAGGGACACGGCATAGCCTTGCGGGCGACCCCAGACGTCGAGGATCTTGGCGACTGTCAGGTTGGCACAGCCGCTGATGACAAAACTGAGAATGTCCACGGTAGGTGTCAGGGAGTGAAACTGGAACGCTGATGTGACGTATGGTTTCAGAGCATTGCCAGCGCCTTGCTGGAGCAACATGACAAAGTATACCAGCCAGATCAGAGCATATGCGATGATAATGGACTTTGTCGACCAGACAGTTGCGATGGCCTCAACGTTCTGTACACCGGCCTGGGCCTCCTTGTCGACGCCGGCAAACGCATCCGGATCCTGGGCGGAGTTGGAGTCGCGACTCGCGTCGACCACGACGGGGTCGCCATGCTGGTCTTTGAGCGCCGGGCTGCCAGAGTCGGTCTGAATGTGTACTGGAGGCTGGCTCATGGCGAAAGGAAGCCGGCTGCTGCTGCTGCTGCCCAGGGTGGTCAGATGGGTTCCCGCGTGAGGGAGGAGGAGAGAGGAATAGTGCAGCTGCGAGGAAAGGATTGAATGGGAAGAGAAGGCAGTTCCTGGAGTAGGGGAGGCTCTGCAGCTGACGAGAATGCTTCTGTCAAAGCAGTATAAAAGAGCCCAGCATTGAACGCCGTTAGTCTCTCTGCACTGCACGTACAGGGGTGCGTGAGCACATTTGAGATGGTATCGGACCCGCATCAAACGACCGGAATGTGATCAAGTGTGCCAGCCGAGTGAGTGAGTGGACATGGGCACCTTCAAAAACAGAGTACCAACCTATCAGCCACATGCATGTCTGTTCAGGGTCCTTGTTTTCTCGATAGAGACCGACCGGACTGGGCCCTTTGTTCGGGCACAGGCACTTCTATGTACATAGCTCCGAAATCATCATGCGAGTCAAGATTGGTTATTCATATTTCGCACGGGGAATTCATGGTCTAGTGGAACTTCCTTGACAAAGTGACCCGGCTTCCACGTTGAGATACACTCTGTGCCCTCATCCGTCACTCATCATCCGCGCAAGCCAGCTCTTCTTGGCTAGAATGGCGCTCTGAATCAGCGGCACCCCTGGGTTGTCCATGCCGTCGAACATGTGGAAAGCTCCTGGCCACACATGCAGCTCGCATGTCGAGCCACACCGCCACATGTTCATGGCATAGAGGACGGCAGGGTCGCGGAAAGCCTCGCACTCGCCCACGTCAATGTATGTCGGGGGCAGGTCCGACAAATCTTGCTCGCGCGCGGGGGCCTGGTAGGAGTTCACCTTGTCCGTGCCCCGGTCTTGGCCGAGGACGTGGTCCCAGGCCATACGGAGAGCGACGCCGGACATGGGGCTGCCGTACTCGAACTGCTTGTCCGACACGGTGTGGCAGCGATCGTCCAGCATGGGCGTCACGAGCATCTGCGCCTTGACAAAGGGTGTGGGGGCGTCAGCATCCCGACGCTGTCGGTCTCGTGTCATGAGACAGACAGCGGCCGCTAGGGCAGCACCGCCTGAGACACCCCAAACCACGATGCGAGATGGGTCTACACCCAAGTCCCCTGCGTGCTCCCAAGTCCATGCCAGTCCAGCGTAGCAGTCCTCGGCGGGAAGAGGAGCACGTGTCTCTGGCGCGAGCCTGTATTCTACGGACACCACAACGCACTCGATGCCCCTGAGCAGGTCCAACAACTCGGGCAGGGCGGTGAACCGATCACCAGAGACCATGCCTCCCCCGTGGATGTGGTACAAGGCGGGCAGTGCCTGAGAAGTTGGCTTCTTGGGAGAAAAGACGGAGAGGAGAACAGAGATGCCATTGTGCTCTGGTATCGAGTATTCCGTGTGCTTCAAGGTGGGGGCACTTTGGAGCACCGTGTCCGCTGTATAGGCGAAGATCTCATCCTGGCCCGTCCCGCGCATGAGATCTAGACTCAGCGCCTCGGGCAGCTGGCATAAGTCAATAATTGGTGCCAAGGTCGGTTCAATGGGAGGGCGAGGATCCTTGATCCTTGAGTCCAGCTTGGAAGCTTGGGAGTACGGGTGCGGATATGGGTCCATTCCGGCGGAGCTGAAGCCTTGCCTTTGTTCGATGATGTCCAGAGGGAATGATAGCGGTGATCGCTGATCAGCATGGACGCTGAGAACATGCAGGTCTATCTATAGTGCTTGCTAGTCTAGGCTATCGTGGGCCGAGACGGACATGACACTGGACGTACATGGTTCGCGCTGTATCTCAAAACCGCAGGTCGTGTACGAAAGGCGCACAGGTGGATGTACGGTGAGTCGATTTCGGATAGACGATGGATTCTGCATTCGGGGGATGCGAGGAGAAGCGCATCTCGGCGGCTATTGTGAGCAGTTTTGAGCACATTTAACCCTTTGGCCATGCGGTCCCTGCGCATGCAGGCTGCATGGAAAGCGGAGCCCTGGAATCTGATCCGCAGACTTTTGCGACTAGACTATTGTGTCCATTTGAGCTCATTCTTTTGATTCTACTATTAATGTCGTTGGCAATAGTCCGGCGGCTCAATCAGGGCCGAGGCAGTGTCCTTTGTGGCGAGGAACTAAGAAACGGGTAGAATCTAATGAAGGTCTGCTTGTGACCACGGTACTAGCCCAAATCCTCCCTCACATACTGAGGAATCTCCGTACCCTTTCCTTAACCTGGTTGACCAAATCACTCTCCACGACCCCGTCTTGCCAGCTGAAACCCACTGTCATCGATCCATTCCCACCAGTGGCCACACTGATGGTCACAGCCGCACCCGACACGACAGCGCTGCGACTGAGCAGCACCTTGCCCACCTTCCACACTGCCACGTCTGCTTCGCCAGTCTCACTGCCTGCACTAGGGAAGACGCCAATGTTGGTCACTTCTAGGGCTGCATCGCGCGGTTTTCCAGGCAGAGACTCAAAGATCATGGCAACGTCCGGGATCCCCTGGAATGCGGCTACGGACGTGTATGGCTCTCCCGAGGGCGAGACATTTTTGCGGTAGGCATGAAGCGCCTCGGCCACCTTGTGCCCACTCGCCCACGCGTCTGCTGTTGATTCCGTGCGGGTGAACCGCACACGCATGGCGTCAAAATATGTCCCCATGGCGGCAGTGGACGTCTCTGGAGGGAGCTGCAGCCAAGGGCGAAGGTCGACGGGGATGATGCAGGTCAAAGCCCCCTGCGTCTTGGGGAGAACGTCAAAGACTGCGTGCGCGAGGGCCGATGACAATGCAGACGTGACAGAAAGCCCCTTCTCTTTGCAAGCCTGGAAGAAGGTCTTTGAGGCGTCGGGTGCGACGTAGAGCGACTGCCAATGCGTCCGGCACGGTGTGCTGATGGCGCCTCCCGCCCATTCGGTAAGTTCCGACACTGTTGTGGGTGCTGCAGCGGCTGAATTCAAAGGTAGGGGGTGTATTTCTTCCAGAGGCGGCGGGAGTGTGGCATCCTGATGCGGCGCGGTGATCACAGATGTAACCTCAGCTTCGACAACAGCCGCGTTCAAAGACTGACGGAAGGTGTTGTGGAACGCCACGCCGGCGACCCCGTCACCAATGGCATGGTGGTAGATAAAGGAGACGGTGAAGGCTTTTGTGTCTTCGAGATCATGAAGGACCACCAGCCGCCAGAATGGGAGATTGCCCTCATCAGCCTTGAAGTTGGTGTTGTGTTGGTCTTGGAGGACTTCATCCAGCTCTCGGTCCTCTCCTTCTCCACCGTCTGCTACAGGCTTAGACCGTCGATGGAACGCGATGGTTCGGGCGAGGTCAATAGAGGGCAGAGCGCCGAAATAGGCCTCAGGAGATCCCTCGTTGACAGGGATCGCAGACAGAATACGGTGCCTGCGGACTGTCTCCTTTATGGCAGTATAGACGAGGCGGCGCAAGCCCCTTGTAGTCAGAGTCAGATTCGTAGGCGAACCAGGCTCGGACGGCGACAGCTGGTAGTGAGCAGAGACGCCGACATTCTTGAAATAGCCCAGATGGTGGCACGCTGCAGAGATCTGCTCCAGTTTACCTGTACCACATTACGTGTCAGGTTGGAGCTTGGCTTTGAGGGCACAGGAATGGGAGGAGAGTAGAGACGAACCCAGCGGTCGTAATCTGGCGAGCTTCGTCATGCCTTCCATGATGCAATGGAGTGGTATTCTCGTCGTAAGAGCTCGAGCTGCTGGTGCTGTGCCGGGATGGCTACGTTCGAGCTCTCAAATTGTCGTCTGAAGCCGAGAGCGTACCTCTTATGGAAATTCGTACCTTGCCGATATAACGTGAGGCGGACATGGTACAATGTGTGTCTCTTGTACACATGTGCTAGCCTGCACGGGTTATGGGTCCCGTCCTGCCCTCGGCTCACACCGGTCTCGTAGTTGCGTCGGACAGGTCCACAGAGGAGCTGAGCATACATCATGCTCCTGCCTATCTGTCCCTAGTTGGATCGTATGCATAAAATCTGGCGCAAACTTGCTCCGCTCCACAGCTATAGCTGGGGTGTCCGGCGCTAGACATCCCCAGCTGGACCATAGCTGCCTTAAGTCACTCAGCTGCCACCGCCTGTCGGTCCAGGGCTCTTCTGATGCGAGGCATGAGTGAGCCGTCAGCAACATAAGCCGTCAGATGGTCAGACGGCGCGGCCGACCTAGATGGGCTAGAGTAGGTAATGTGGAATTCCCACATTCTATGAGACCTCGTGGCTTGCCCCAGCGTGTGCGCATGTTAAGTAAGTCTAGAAGCCTCATGTGCTTCGAACCTCGTTTTCAAATTGGCGTCTTCACCCATTACGTCTAATTATTTGGCGCGCTTCCAAACCTTCCACTTCACCTTGTTCCAGTCCCGTCCAGCCACAACCGAGCGTACACCATGAAGCCCACGGATGCCGAGCTGAGCACGGCACGGCTCATTCTGGATATTATTTTCGAATATGCTCTCAACAAATTCGACGATTCCAGAGATCGGCTCGAGGGAGGCGCCGAGAATTTCCTCGCGGTCATTGCGCACTTTGTCTCCGCTGAGACACGGGTAGAGGCATGTCTTCCTGCATTTCCATTCAAATCGGCCAACAAGGTCTACAAGGTGCTTGGCCATCTTCCCGATAAGGCGGAGGAGTTGGCGCTCGAGCGGTTGGATACCATGTGCTGGCGGATCCAGGAGGTCTACCAGCCAGGCGCACAAGTAACCATCATATCGGACGGGATCACGTACAATGGTAGGCCCAGGTGTGACAACGTCCAGTCGTGGAGTGGGCGCTAACATGTGTTGCTTACTAGACCTGCTCTGCATATCAGATCAGGACACTTGGGCTTATGGAGAGGCCCTGCGCAAAATGGCGCTCCAGAAAGGATTTGACAATATTGCTTTCGCCAGAATCAAGGATCTGGTGGACTTTCCTGCCCCTCACGAGCTGAGGGAGATCACCTACGTGGCCAACTGCACCACTTTCCGTCGACTACTGTTGAACAAATACGGCCAAGACGACCTTGACATTGATCACGAGATTGCTACAAACCCCGACACAAAATTGACGTTCTTGGGGTACAAGAGATTTCTCGAGTCCGATCTCAAGTACATCTTCCCCCAAGGTCAAGATCGGTCCGGAAACTCCTACAAGAGAGATTGCAAGTACCTCGCGAAGCAGATGCTGGTTCGGGGCCACGCCTTTGCGCGCGCCGTCAAGAGTGCATTTCCCAACCATCTCCGACTGTCCATTCATGAATCAGTGGGCGGCACAAAAGTATCAATGCGCCTCCTCAACACAAGGAGTGGCTTCACGACCCCGTGGCACTGCAGTGTTGCACAGCTCGCTAATGGCGAGTGGATCAGCGCCCCAATGGGGGAGCTCGAGAAGGATGACAGGCTAGAGCTTGTGTACGAAGATGGCCGTCCGAGCTACTACAAGGAGCTTTCGCAGGCGAGAAGCGATGCCCTTGGGATCACACAAGCGAATGCCACTTACTTGCAGCCCGCCACACCACTCAGCGCCCAAGCCTACCTCAGCGTAGTAAGCACGCCTCGTATTGTGACGCCAGATTTGGCAAAAAGTCATGGAGGCTCGTCAGTCTCGTCAATTGACGCGGTCGGCACGGACAGCACACCTACGACCCCGGAGGTTCCATCGGTGGACGGATCCGCTCAAGGCGATCCGGAAAATCCGCTCCAAGTGACGCAGGACAAGGACAAAGTCGGGCAAGATGACACACAGTACGGCAGAAGGCTTATTCCTCAGATCATGGACGAACTGGCTGCTGCCGAGCCAAGTCGCCATGTCTTTTCATTAGCAACTCGATCACATGGCTCATTGCAATTTCGACACGTTACAGCTCAAACGTTTGCAAAAGCCGTGGACAAGACGGCATGGTGGCTCCAAGAGGCACTCGGTAGGCCTGACACTATCCAATGTGTTGGGTACATTGGGCCACGTGAGTTGACTGAATCCGGTCGCATGGAGGTAGAGAGGTAACATTTTCTAGACGACTTGCGCCACGTTCTTTTGACCTATGCTTGCGTCAAGGTCGGATACGCGGTACGTGATCTAATCTGCTCTCGAGATGCTCTCGTGTGTCACTGGACACTAACAATGAAATCACTCCTAGGCTCTGTTCCTTTCACCAAAGAACAACACAGAAGGCTGCTTGGCGGTGCTTGAGGCGACCAACTGCAACATCTGGGTCAGCGCAGCAGACGCTCTGCCAGTTCCTCTCGTCGAAGAGGTCTTTCAACAGCGTTCCATGCAACTCCTAGCACTACCCTCACTAAACGACCTACTCGACAACCAGGATACCAAATCATTCCTCTACACCAAGACCTTTGAGGACGCCATCAACGATCCGTTCTGTTTTTTGCACACATCGGGGACTACAGGTGTGCCCAAACCCATTCCGTGGTCACATGGTTTGATCGGTACCATGGACGCCATTCGTCTGCTTCCACCTGTGGAAGGCGATGGGGGTTTGCTGCCCTGGACCGCTAACTGGAAGGCGGGTGACAGAATATATTCGTCGTTCCCCATGAGCCATGTAAGGCCCTCTGTAACTGAACACGAGGAGAAGAGTAAGCTAACGTGATCAGGGTGCCGGCATCATTATGGACATTCTCATGCCGGCTCTTTTCAATCTGCATTGCATTTTGGGACCAGTGGGCGTGCTTCCGAACATCAATCTCGTGGACGACCTGGCAGAATCCGCCAAGATTGATATCTGGAGTATGGTTCCGTCCCTCGTTGACGAGGTGGGCGAAACGCCAGAGATTCTGGCCAAGCTCAAACCTTCCAAATTTATCTGCGCCTCTGGTGGCCCCGTCAGCCCGGTCAGTGCCAGCAAGGTGAATGAAGTCATCCGAGTGTTGAACCTCACTGGTACAACGGAAGGCTTGTTCATTGGCAACCTCGTGCCCCCCAGAGAGGACTGGTACTGGTTCTGCTTCCACCCCTACTCTGGATTCGAATTCAAACAGGTCGAAGAAGACACGTACGAACATTGGGTGCACCGGAATCAGCACTGGCAGCTCTTCCAGGGCATATACCACACGTTCCCCGAGAAAACCTCGATTAACTTCAAGGATCTATACATGAGGCACCCAACGAAGCCCAATCTCTGGGCCTTCAAGGGCCGAAGCGACGATCTGGTTGTTCTTTCCAACGGATATAAGATATCGCCACTTGAAACGGAGGCTTTTGTCACCACACATCCCGCCATTCATGGCTGTCTCATTTTTGGAACAGGCAGACCCCAAGCCGGTCTGCTCATCGAGCTGAAGGACCCATCGCAAAAGTCCCCAGAGCAGATTGAGAGCATATGGGCCACGGTCCAGAAAGCGAACTCCGTGTCTCGACACAGAAATCAGCTCCTGCGCGACTTTGTCACTTTCTCCGAGCCAGACAAGCCTTTTATCCGCACAGATAAGCAGACTGTGAAGCGCTCGGCGACCCTGGCTCTGTACGCTGACTACATAGAGCGTTTCTACACCTCGAGAAATGACGACCTTGACGAAACCTACTCTGTAGATCTGCAATCGAGGGAATCCATCATGACCTGTGTTCGTGGGATTCTTGCGTCTTCCCTGCCAGGCATCGACAGTGTCTCGGCCGATACGGACCTCTTTGATCTGGGGCTTGACTCTCTCGGTGTCTTTGCGGCGGTCAAGAGCATACGAGCCGCCACCGCTCTGGGAGATACGATTGCCCCACGCCATGTATATGCCCATCCCACCATTGCAGGAATCTCTGATACTGTGGCCAGCATGGTGGTCGAACTGGAAGAAGCCACACGGGCATCACCTGCGCAGTTCTTGCATGGTGACCTTCTTCAGGACATTATTACGCAACACAAAGCACGCCAGTCCTTCCGGCTGAATGCTCTGGACTACGTCAATCCAAACCATGGCATGGGCTTGATGTTTTACCTGCCTCTGCGTCCAGACACTCGCTACGCCGATGTATTCGACAATCTACAGCGAGGCCTCAACCGCACATTCGACATGATCCCAGCCCTGGGCGGGAAGATTATGGAATGCTCTGAACAGGAGTTTGGCTACGTAAAAGGGGATCTTTGTGTGTCAATCCCACCACTCTCCATGGCCAAGTCTGTGCACAATCGTCTCGTGTACAAGGACCTGACGGGTGTGCTTCCATGCTTCGACGAGCTGAGAAGATCGGGATTCGCACCCTCGGCCTTTAGAGATGGTCTCGTCTTGCGAGATGATCCTTTCCCCAAGATGCCCGCAGACATCTTTGTCGGACAGGTCAATTTCGTGTCAGGCGGATGCATCCTCGCCGTAGACCTGAACCACTGCTGTTTGGATGGTCTCGGCGCCATGGTCGCTCTCAAAGCCTGGGCCGAGAATTGCCGGTATCTGCAAGGCGACACGTCTGCCATGTGCTCCTGGTATGACCCGGAGAGCTTCAACCACAGTCTTCCCGAGATTCTTCACAAGCACGAGGGTTGGGCTCGACCTGTGGAAGATATTGATCCCGGCACGTGGGGTTTCCTCCCGTTCTCACCTCCTGGCGAGGACAAGACACTATCAACTGCTTTGTCGAAAAAGGACGGGGTTCTCCCACCACGGCCAAAGTACCCTGTCCACTCGGTGTGGCCGCTACCACGCGCCGAGAGATGTCTCAAGACAACCTTATTCCTGATCACACCAGAGAAAGTGGCCCAGATGAAACAAGACGTGCTGTTGGACCCAGAGGCCAAGGGTGTCATCACATCCATTAGTGACATCGTGCAAGCATTTTTCTGGCGGGCCGCCATCCGAACACGGTACCGGGTGGCCAGGGAGATCCGCAGACAGGAATTTGGGGAAGATGAACTGTCCATCCTAGAACTACCCACAGATGGAAGACCCTACTTCTCGCCACTGCTGCCATCCACGTACATGGGCAGCCTTCTCATCATGAGCCGAACAACTATGCCAATACAGACGCTCTGTGCGCCTGAGACCAGCATCGGACGCGTGGCCTACCAGCTGCGCCAGTCTGCCGCCCGCATCACGCCGTCCGTCGTCCACGATGCCGTGTCGATTCTGCAGTCGCTGCCCGATCACACCCGGTTCTCCACGGCCAACATGGGTCTGGAGCACATGCACGCCATGATCTCTAATATGATGCTCTTCCCCATGGGGGAGATCTGCTTTGGCGATGCGCACTTTGCGAACGGGGGAGAACCTGAGTCGATGCGGCCACAAATTGATCGGGGCAGTGGTCGTTTCCGTTTCTTGGTGATCTTCCCAATGAAGCTGGATGGGGGAGTTGAGTTGGTCATGGGTACCCATCCGGAGGAGTTGAAAATGCTCATGGAAGATGAGGAGTTTACGAAGTATGCTGAGTTTGTGGATTGCGAATAGAGAGTAAGCGGTTGCTTTGTGCACCGGTTGACATGACAAGGCACCTCGCTTTTCCCATGGGTCAAACACCTTCTTATAACGAATTTCGGGCGTTGCTACATGTATAGTGATAAAAAGCAGTTTGACCTATCGATGGTAATATATTGCGAACCCAAATCGGCCCGGCCTGGTTCGGAGGCTGCCTATATAGAGTTCATCCATCATAGTATAGGGTAGCTCAAGGTTTCAGGATAACGTAATCCACATGCGAGCGGCGCACCCAAGCGAGCGGCGCACCTTCCCCGTTATCTACACACGACTACATTCCTCACCAATTATTACCGCATTTAATAATAGATAAACTTCCAAAAGAATCTAAGGTGACCCTTGCCCTCGTAGCTCTCGGAGGAGACGCGTCATTAAGTATCCGATATATTACGAAGGTCTATAATATACCTCTAACGACTATACGTCGCTAACTAAAGGGTTTTTAGGCTAGAGCCGAAACTAGGCCGAATTTAATAAATCTAACGGATTTAGAAGAGAGAGCGATTATTAAGTATATACTCGATCTATCTTCGCGATCTTTTCCTCCCCGACTATCTAGTATTAAAGATATAGCTAACTAACTACTACGCGTACGTGACGCGCTACCCGTTAGTAAGTATTAGGCTTTAAACTTTATTAAACGTTATTAAGAACTTCGTACGCGCTAGGTTCGTAAATATAACTACTAGCGGGCTAAATATAAAGATCCGAGACTTATTAAGGGCTAGTTCACGCTTATACGAAATATATAGGCGAAGTATAGGATCCTAAATAACGATATCTATAACTTCGATAAGACGGGCTTTATAATAAGTATTATCTTCGCGGGTATAGTTATTATAACCTTAGAAAGCCGAATAAAGGCTAAACTAGCCTAGCCTAGGAATAGGGAATAGGTAATTATTATTTAAGGTATTAATATATACGGCTAGGCTATTCCTCTTTTTATTATCCTCGCGGCTAAGTACTATCTCTTAGCTTAATATAAGGGGACCGACCTTCCGGCCGATTAGGTTATCGCTATAACCGATAACGGCTAGATAACTAATAAGATTAGCCTAGAATAGATTAAGTACTTTAATCGCTATATAAGCCCTCGTACGAAAGGCGTATATCGAATACTTATTCTTAATAGCCACGAAAGTTACTATTTAACCGACTTTAAGCTCTTCTATTAGGAGAAGAAAATTATTATAGTCTATATACCGGCTTATTCTTCTTATATTCTTTAACCCCTCGATATTAGTTACTTTAGGCCTCTTAAATAAGCGTACGGGCGATAAGTAGAAGATCTAATGCGCGTATATATCACGTATATCTCAAAGGTTAACTTCTTTCGCGCCTTTTATATAGCTTTCTTCCTTACTTTTATAGAGAAGAATATATAAGGAGGCTTTGCTAGTACTAGCCTTATACCGTACGACCTAGAAAGGGTCCTCTCGAAGCTTAATATAAAGCTTCGTATACTAAGTCCTCCTATAGACCCTATTAAAAATAGGCACCCTTAGGTCTTAAAGACGCCGTAGAATACGTATAAGGCTAGCGTATAGTTAGAGGATATTAAAAATCGGATCTCTATCTATTAGAATAGCTCTCTAACGCCTATGCTTAATACCTTAGATTAACTAACGAAGGGTACTATAGTAATAATATATTAGGTAGCCCTCTTATAAGCGGAGAATATATCGCTATATATAGTAAATAAGGTATTAAGCAAGCGTCGAGGGATTAAAAGAAGCTATCTTTAGTATAGAGGCACCCTTACTATATAAGATAGGAAAGACCTTATTAATTAGAAGAAGGTTAATAAATAGATTTAGGAAGAAAAGCGTATAAAAAGGCGCCCTTAGCCACTAGGTAGTCCGAAGCCTATACGCTATAGTAAATACGCTAAAACAGGTCATAACGTACGAAGCTGTCAGGAAGATATTTAAAGTCTCACTCTATCGATACTTTTATTTAATTAGTAACTTAATTAATTGTGTTGTTCTTGATCGACCTTTTTGTATGTAGATGACGGGGAAGGTGCGCCGCTCGCATGTGGATTACGTTAGTTAAGTTAAGTCGAGGTGTGATGCCTGGACACAAGACAGGCAACATCATCTCCCTGCACGTGCAAACAGAAAATTAATTAAATGTGCTCAAGCAGGGAAATGCTTTCCCAATAGTGTCTGCAGTGGCTTCAGACGCTCCCGCCTCGAGACATACTGGTGTATATGTACATGGCACGATACAAAGCATCACCAACAAACTTGCATTCTTGTCTATTGGTAGAATTTTACACGAATCTCAAGAGTCAATGTAACTATGCTTCATTACCATTCAATCAAATTCATGCTATGGATGGAAAAAGGCGACATTACAGCTTGCTGTTCACACCCGACTTGGAAGCACAACACGATCCAGCCTGCTTCTGGCTAAACGCATTCTTGGACGACTTGTCCATCGCAATGTCCGACGGCGGCACCCAAAGCGCCGGGTTCTTGACAAAGAAATTCGACGCCCGCAGCATCACGCTCACCGGCTCGGCCGGCATGATGGGGAAATCCTCGGTGCGTGGGAAATGCGTCAGGCCAAACTGCACATAGCACACAATGTCCGTGTCCGCAATCGACTCATCCTTGGCGACCCAGTCCTCTACCGTCGAGTTGTACGGGTGGCCCTGTTGCCCGGACGACTGGCACACGTAGTCGCCCGCCGGGAAGAGCTGGTAGTCCTTGTACGGGGTGACCCAGAGGGACTTGCGGGCAAAGGCGGCGCGCTTCCAGACCATGCTGCCCGGCTTGGCGAGAATGGCGGGGCAGTTGTTGTTGAGGATCTTGTACGCGATGGGCTTGCCGGAGGACGGGTTGAGACGGTGCGGGTTGATAATGTCCCACGAGCGGCTGGTCTCGTGGGAGTAGCTCGCGACGCCCTCCTTGGCGGTGCGGAAGGGTGTCTTCTTGCAGTAGAAACCATTGCCGTACAGGTTCTCGGGGGAGCCCACTTCGGCGTCCGAGGGGACTGCGTCACTCTGGACGACGGAGTTGCTGTGGCCGTCAATCGCGGGGTCGACGCGCAGCGAGAAGATGTGTTGGTGGTTGTGTGCGTTGATGGCGGGTGCCACCTCGGTGCCGTATGGAGCGGCCGATTCGGAATCGTGCATGCAGTACGTGTTGAGCATGCCTGTCAGCTTGATCTCAAGCTTATAGGTGCCGTCCAGGGAGAAGGTGTGGTAGAAGGCGTACTCGTAGTTGGCAGCTGTGATGATTTGCGAGATGATAAGCTTGCGGTCGCGGGCGGAGATGACGCTGCCATCGCGGTAGTCTGTGTGCTTGTATAGCAGACCATTATCCTCTTCGTGGATACAGACGGCGTTCTCGACAATGGCCGGGTCTCCCGAGCTCGTTGCCATGACGGCGTCGAGGTAGTGAATAGCGCCCTTGCAGTCGCAGCCCAACTTGAGAGAGTTGGTCATCAGACCTGTGCCGTACTCGCCAACGTCAAAGGCGTGCTTGCGGTGGTGGGGAGGGTCTGGGTTGCCGTAGGGAACGACCATCTCGACAACACTGATGCGATTGAAGAGGGGACGCTGGCGCTGCTCATACTGGTCGAACATGCTCACGTCGGAGAGAACGATGCCCTCGCGGTAATTGAAGCCAATGTGCATCTTGTACCCAGCCCAGGAAATCATGTTGCCCTGCATTTTGAACGACACGCCCTCGGGCTGTGTAATGTCAATGGGCTTGAGTTTTGTGTTGTCGTAAAAGTCGGGGCCCATGAACTCGGGCAGGTAGTTGTGCTCGGCAAACGAGGGGGGCGTCCGCTCGCCGTTGACGCGGCGGACATCGACGGCGAGGACCTCCTCCTTTTCCGTGTCGACGACGACCGTGAAATCCAGGGGATGAGCATACTGGTTGTCCGAGGCCGAGTTGCGCCAGTACGCAATGCCCTGCTGCAGACGACGGTCTGTGCCCCAGCGGGAGTCGAAGCCAATAGCCCAAGCATCCAGAAAGACCTTGGACATGTCTGTGATTCCAATTTCCTCGCAGGCCCGGACAACCCTGGGGTCGTTGCGCGCAACGCGCTCACAGACGTCCAGATCCTCCAGGGTCAAGGTAGGCCCGACGTCAGACACATTGGTCCACTCCTCGACGACCACGGATGTGAGGTTGGCAATCACCTCGAGGACGTTTGGCGTGCCTTTCTCCAGGACAATGGCAAACGCTCGACGGTCGGGACGTGGACCACGGCCGTCGCGAAAGGCCGCATATTCGGCCTTTTTGGGCTCGCGAAGAGTCAGGCAATTGAATTTGAGGGTGCTTGAGGGAGCATGATCACGGATCAGCCTGGACGCCACGCGGATCTCTTCAATCGATAGCTGATCTAGAGGATGGACTGAGCGCTGCATGGACAGATCGGGAGCGGCGTCGTTGGGCTCTTCCCGAAAGATGGTGTAACCGGCTATGGACGATGTGTCGGCAAACATTGTGGTGGTTGTTGGGCGTGGTGTACTGGGCCATGCGAGAGGTCGGGATGGGACCCGAGTATGGAGTGTTTCAAGAGTGAAGTGGCCTTGGGCCTTGTATCAGAGCTCTGGATAGGAGCTTCTTCGGATTGTATGTGCTGTGCGTCGGAACAGGGAGAGTGGCCAAGGTATCACAGCCTTTTCGGGACCTCTTTATACCTTGGAGTTGCCAGCAGCCGGTGAACGGATCGTCCAGTCGCCCATCGGCCAGAGAGACCCACACGAATCATGCCAGCTTTCGCATGGCAGGCCTAGGCCGACGCCGGCCTCCATTGGAGATAGTCACGGCGACCGGCAGACGGGAACGACCGTGTGTCGTGGCGTTGTGATTGTGGTTGTCGAGATCGTTTGTCATGGCGCCCAACAACCAAAAGGGCAACAAAATGGTCCTTACCCCGCAGCCCAATGCAAGGCAGCATGGTAATTCGCCTACTAGCGACAAACAGGCAAGAAACTGGTCCCGAGACACGCATACGCACACGGTGGTGTGGCCGTCGAGGCGTTGGAGAACTCCCCCCGGACTGGTGTTGGCCTCGATCTGATAGGGCGCCGCGCTCGGGTCTGCGGCAAGCAGGTCGCGCCTCTTCATCTTGTGCGGCTTTTAAACCCAATTGGGAAACTTTCGTGACCAGCGAGCGACGAGGCGATAAGAGAGATACGCCAGTGAACTATCCTCCCCACAAGTTCTCACGTACCCCGGGAAAATCTGCAGCATGACAACCGTCACCACACCATCTTCACCAGCCCCAGACCTTATCGCGAGTCGCGACCGCCGCATGAGGTCCCCCTTGGCAATCTGGGGATCGACTATGAGTGAGATAGGAGTCGCCCTGTGAGCGCGCAGACCGGCTAGGGGCAACCCGGGCAGACGACATATAAACACTCGACAGCTGTCAAGTACCACGGACTCAAAAGGCGTCCAGACAGCAGACACCAGAGTACATCTCATCCTCATATCACACTTCCCACGAACCACACCAACACACTCCGTCGAGAATGCGCAATGGACACCGCCGCCGACTCTCAATTTCCTACCCCCCGAGCCATAGCGGTCGACCAGCAAGCCGCGCGTGATGAGCGAGACCTCGCGGCCATGGGCCACACGCAGGCCCTGCACCGCAAGTTCAGCATGGGCAGCATGTTCTTCCTTGCCTTCATCGTCCTCGGTACCTGGTCAACATTTGCCCAGGGCCTCAACAGCGGACTCGTCAGCGGCGGCCCCATCACCATCCTGTGGGGACTCGTCTTTGTCACATTTTGCAACCTGTGCGTCGCCGTCTCGCTGGGCGAGCTCTGCAGCAGCATGCCCACGGCTATGGGCCAGGCGTACTGGATATCCCGTCTCTGGCCGGGGGACTGGGGCCGCTTTGTATCATACATGTGCGCCTGGATCAACACCTTTGGATGGTGGACGCTTTCGGCATCACAGCTGGCGTTCATGGCCGACTTCATCCTGAGCATGAAGATACTGTACGCGCCCAACTGGTCGCACGCGTCCGACGGCTGGATCAACTTCCTAGTGTATCTAGGCCTTACCTTTCTTCTCACGGTGGCCAATATCGTGAGCTGCAAGCGGGACCCCATCCTACCGTGGGTCAATAACTTTGTCGGCGTTTGCTTCATCGGGCTCTTTGTCATCTTCTCGGTCGTCCTGCTCGCCTGCGTGGGCGGCAAGGCTGATCTGTCCTTCCAGCCTGCATCCTTTGTGTTCGGCACGTGGATCAACCAGGGCGGTTGGAACGATGGTGTCACCTGGTTCCTCGGTCTTGTCCAGGCGGCCTATGGGTTGACTGCTTTCGACGCAGCCATCCATCTGGTCGAGGAGATTCCCCAGCCGCGCAAGACCATCCCAAGAGTTCTATGGCTTTCTGTGACCATGGGCGCCATAACCGGCTTCATCTTTATGGTCGTCTGTCTGTTTTGCATCCAGGACCTGGACGCCGTGCTGAATCCCGCCACCGGACTGCCGTTCATTGAACTCCTGTTGCAGGCCACGGGCCTTAAAGGTGGCACGGTCCTACTGGCCTTCTTCATCTTCAACGGCATCGGCCAAGCCATCAGTATCTTGACGACCGGGTCCCGTCTTACTTGGGGTTTCGCGCGTGATGGAGGGCTACCATGGAGCACGTGCCTGAGCCGTGTCAGTGTCTACTGGAATGCGCCCTCGCGCGCATTGTGGCTTCAAGGCATCGTCATTGGCTTAGTGGGCGTCCTCTACACCTTTGCTGACACAGTTCTCGAGGCCATTTTGAGCGTGACGACCATTGCCCTCACGGTATCCTACGGCATGCCCATCATGGTACTGCTGCTGGTCGGCCGCGACAAGATTCCGCCTGGTGGAGTGTACTCGCTGGGAAAGCTGGGGCCCACCATTAACTGGATTGCGGTGATCTACTGCATCGTCACCACCGTCTTCTTCCTCTTCCCAGAGAGCCCGAACCCGACTGGGTCCAGCATGAACTACGCAGTCGTCGTGTTCGGGATCATGCTGGTGGTTTCGATTGGATTCTGGTTCATCAAGGGACACCGGACGTATCTCCGTTTCGTGGCTGTCGAGCAGGCTTCGATCACGGCACAGTCGATGGATGATCCCGTGGTTCACGAGGATAGCCAGGGTGGCAAGAAGAGCTGACTATATGGCATGCGGCAGTATATCGCGTTGCGCCTCTGATAGTGTGTAGTTGAATGACAAAGTTAGCTGGTGATTCATGCGTTTCTCGTTTGCAGTCTTCCTTTTCTCTTGGTCTCTGTGGTAACCGTGCGTGATCGAGTCGTTCCTGCCTTTCCAGTTGTTGTCAGAGAGCATGCTACGTCACTCCACCATACTCACCATGCGTTTCCCGTCGACATCTGCATCCTGCATCCTGCAATCGCAAACGCGTCTTGCTCGCCTGCACATGTCCACGCTAGTTAGATGACTGCATGCAGAGTCAGCCAGGAATCGGGGACAGCTCGTACGTAACAAGAAACCCTGATGATCGACGCGACCGGTCTGGAGCGATAACGGCCACGCCCCGCCATCGATGCACATCCCCGCCTCTATACCTAAATGGGCAACTTTGCTGCCCACCCTACCCTACAGTCGCCACCGGCCGGAGTACGTACGTGGTACGACGTGAGGCCTCACTAGAGCCGGTCCAGGCTCCGGTCCTGAGGCGGTCGTACGTAACAATTAGCGGCTGAACGTCCTCCAAGGCTATCGTGGCACCAAGCACAACGATAAGGGCATTCCCGGGCCCAAGTGGCACTCTTCAGTTGTCTCACGTTCGGCTTTCGGGCTTACAAGATCCGTCTGAGGGGCTGTGAGCAATCGCCAAAATCACCCAGAAGCAATCCTCACCATCAACATCCAGCATCACAAACGCCACGCCTCACCCCACGCAGCATCGACGAGCTTGCTGCCCGGCAGCGCCCAGGAGATGCTGGAAGTACGTCGCGCTCACCGAGAGGACGCAGACTCGTTCATGCTGCACCAGCGAGTCCAGTGGCTGAGCAGCATCCACGCCTCCAGCCGCCTCCTCTAATCGGCGCCATTTCTTCGCCTGCCGAGCACAAACGTCTCCATGGTGAGGATCCGGGTCGTGGAGGGTTCATGCTGGCCTTGCAAGAAGCGCCGCATGAAATGCGACCTCACCAAGCCTGTCTGTCTGCGCTGCGCAAAGTCGGGCGCGAACTGCGACTACAACGCCCAACTGATCAGATGGAGCACACGCGCACCCGTCCGCGCCGCGCCAGGCCTGCAGCAGGTCGTACCGGGGCTGGGCAACAACGGCCTCGAGTGGAGCGAGAAGAGGGCACTCGACTACTTCCACTGTCGCGTCTGGCCGCTGCTCCAGACATCCGAGGAGATCTGCCCCCCGCCTCTCCCCGTCGCTCTCGAGCATCGCGTCGTGCTTCTGGCCGCGTGCGTGCTCTCGGAGTCGCATCGCATTCTGCAGAACGGCACTGACCGGGGCTCTACCTTCAACGTCCGACGACTCGAGTGCCTCGCGGCCATCAAATCGGAGATTGACCATTGCTGCACCGAAGCAAGGGGACTCCCAGGCTCCTTGCTTGTGCTGCTCTTCGCTGTGGTACTACTGCACCTGCACGACGGATTCCTGGAACCGAACGGGGCCGATGCGTCGACAGCCAGTCATCGCCAGGGCGTTACAGCCATCCTCGCCCAAATGGGTGGCTTTGTCAGTGTTCTGCGATCCGGTCCAGAGCCCATGCAGATGCTACTGGCCGAGTTTGCGTCCGCCGACTTGACGACCGCAATGCTGCAAGGTACCGCACCGTCGTACGCCCCTGACATATGGCAGGCCGTGGACGAAGGAGCCGTGTGGTGGGGACGTGATCCCCTCGGACGAGGTTCGCTCGCCACGGTCCTGCGGGAGATGAGTGCCATGGCATTCTACCACGAATCCATAGCCCGGGGCGTCGTGGAACTGTCCATGGACGAGATCCGTAACTTTGAAGTGGCATTTGCATGGGAGAACATGCCACGCTCACCCCAAACCGTCGTGGACGGGGAGGCTAGTCCACAGGACAAGGTCTACGATACTGCTGATGCCGTCCACGCCATCGCGTTGATTCGGTCGTTTCAGTGCGCGGCACTCATCTTCCTCTATCGGGCGGTCTGCGGCCTACCGACCCACCACCATCTTGTGCAGACGAGCGTGCAATCCTGTTTGACGTGTATTTCGGAGATATCCAAGCCTTCCAAGGCGCTGCATTGTATCCTGTTCCCGCTGTTTGTGGCGGGCGCGCATGCGCTGTCAAGTCAGCAGCGGGCGGAGGTCGTGGACCTTTTGGACTTTATCCGCGACAAGATGCGTTTTGCCTCCATCAAGGCCATGGCAGACTGTGTGAATGCCGTGTGGGCGCAGCAGCCGACAGAGATGACTTGGACGGCCATGTTTTCTCATTTAGGGGGGCAGGTGCTCATCCTGTAAAATTTTCTATCTAATTCCTGTATCTTATCAATGCATGGCATACGCTTAACAGGTCAGCGCGAAGATGTACAAGTGCCAAGACTATCCATCTTCAATTCTACAGTCCGTCACTTGCCGCTCGAGCCAAGCCAGAGAGAGGAGCGTCCATGCGGGGACGTGATCATCAGCCTACATCCGACTCGGGACTCCAAGAAGGAGGGGACGCTTCTTGGGGAGGATGGCTGTTTTACCACTTTGGGGAATATTCGGGTCCAACACCATGGGCGTGTGTCTTTATGCTCATCCACCTGGCGAACCCCGGACCGGAACCGGCTGTTCAGGGTTCCCACCCCCACCTCACCGACGTATCTGTTGTGCCAGTCTCTCATCACCCTCTTCTCCAATGGATGGATGGAACATGCTACACTGTTTTTCCATGAGAACATGGGGGCATCCGCCTGCTCCGCTCCAGAGCCAGCCGAGGCGAAGGTGCTGATAACGCGTCGAGCTCCTTCACTTACCATCGCAGTGTCGCCTTAAAATCATCTCACCTTGCGATATCTTGCTCACTTACATGCCCCCCCCAGTCATCCCCATTAGAGCACCATTATCATGCCTCTCTCCGTAGACCTTGAAGCCCCCAATGGGCGCAAGTACACACAACCTACGGGTCTTTTCATAAACAACGAGTTCGTCCCTTCGTCGAGCGAGAAGACGATTACCTCGATTGACCCAGCGTGAGTCGCGCCAGACATGCCCTGGAAGGCGCAAGACCACTGACGTGTCCCAGCACCGAAAAGCCCATTGCTTCCGTCGCCGCAGCCAACGCGCAAGATGTCGACAAGGCCGTGCAAGCCGCGAAGAAGGCGCTGCATGACCCTGCCTGGGCAGACCTTGCCCCGACTGACCGCGGACACCTCATGTACAAGCTCGCAGATCTGATCGAGCAGAACCGGGAGATGCTCGCCACCATCGAGGCCTGGGACAATGGTGAGTGCCTCTCACCCGTGGACTGTGTGTGTGGTGTGCCCTGCTGACAAGCTGCGCAGGCAAAACGTACGCGGACGCATTGGAAGGGGACATTGTGGAGGTTGCCACGACATTTCGCTACTACGCCGGCTGGGCGGATAAGGTGTTTGGCCAGACAATCAGCACTACCCGCCAGAAGTTTGCCTACACGCTCCGTCAGCCCATTGGCGTCGTTGGCCAGATTATCCCGTGGAACTATCCATTGGGCATGGCCGCCTGGAAGCTCGGCCCGGCCCTCGCGTGCGGCAACACTATCGTGATCAAGGCGGCAGAGCAAACGCCACTGTCCATCTTGGTCCTGGGAACCTTGATCAAAGAAGCTGGTTTCCCCCCGGGTGTCGTGAACATTATCAACGGACTCGGTGCGGAGGCTGGTTCGCCGCTGTCGCAACACCCGCTAGTCGACAAGATTGCCTTTACGGGCTCGACAGCGACAGCCAAGCAGATCATGGGCGCTGCCGCCAAGACGCTCAAGAACATCACGCTAGAGACCGGTGGCAAGTCACCACTCTTGGTCTTTGACGATGCGGACCTCGAGCAGGCGGCGAAATGGGCCCATCTCGGCATCTTCTCCAACCAAGGCCAGATCTGCACGGCGACATCCCGCATTCTCGTGCAGGAGAGTGTGTATGAAAGCTTCATGGAGACCTTCCTCAAGACGATCAAGACTGTCAGCAAGGTGGGAAGTCAATGGGAGACCAGCACATACCAAGGCCCGCAGGTGTCAGAGGCCCAGTATAAGCGCATTCTGGAGTACATCAACATTGGCCAGGATGAGGGGGCCAAAGTGGCTACCGGCGGGAAGACACTTCGAGAAGACCAGGGCGGTCAGGGGTTCTTCATTGCACCGACCGTGTTCACAGATGTCAAGCCGTCGATGCGTGTGTTTAAGGAGGAGATCTTTGGTCCGGTCGTGGCCGTGTGCCGTTTCAAGACGGAAGAAGAGGCGCTGGCACTCGCGAACGACTCGACGTACGGTCTCGGGTCGTCCATCTTCACAAAGGATATGGAAAGAGGCCACAGGATGGCGGAGCGGATCGAGGCGGGTATGGTCTGGATCAACAGCAGCCAGGATTCGGACCCCCGGATTCCGTTTGGCGGTGTGAAGCAGAGTGGGATTGGAAGGGAGCTTGGTGAGGCTGGGCTGGAGGCTTACTCGCAGATCAAGGCTGTGCATGTGAATATGGGGAGCAAGTTGTGAGTGGGACGGACGGATATTTAGGAGGTCCATATCGGAACACAAAAGGGACTGGGCGAGCTCTCGAATGATACTATTCTAGCAAATCTTCCGTTTCTTCCCTAAGCAAGTCTCCCAGTCAAGCAAATTTTCCATGTTATATAGCCCGCAGTGTTCAGCTATTGATAACTGGTGTAGCCCGTGTATGTCAAATTCAAGCCACGCTTACATCCGCGCCATGCTGTCGCAGATCTCAATCAGCTTGGCCTTTATACCGTGTTCCTATGCATATGTCAGTGGTCTTCCTGCAGCCTTTTCTCGCTTCCTTGGCGGACGTACATTTGCGCTATGTCCAGCGTCGGGGATCATATGCAGCGTCGAATTCTTCAGCCCCTTGTGTAGCTCCCATGCGGTGCGCGCCGGGCACACCATGTCGTAGCGGCCCTGGACGATCTCACCTGCGTTTGTTGAGTTTCAATATCGCGACAATTTTATCAAACACACATACATGGTATATCCTTGATGCGCTCCAGGCTGGTCGGCTTCAGCAGGATCCCATCCTCGAGCCACGCCTGGTGAACAAAGTAATGGCATTCAATGCGGGCTTGTTGAATGCTCCAGTTCTCCGCGCGGACTATTTTTCGAACGAGACCCGGGTCGCGTGCCAGTGTACTGGCCGTGGTCTCGTACTTGTTCCAGACAAGCGCGGCGGCCTTATGGATGCGAGGGTCTTCGTGGCACAGGAGGCGATAGTACTCGCTCAGCATCGTGGCTGGGTCGTTCAAGCTCTGAGAGTCCATCGTGGACTGGGAGCGCAGGTGGTTCATGAGCTCGTCGTATTCTTCTGGGAAGACCTGGCTGATGACCCCGTACGGGGCGTAATTGTTCACCAGCTCGCTCTTTCGCACAGTGAAGATTCCTCGGAGTACGAGAGCGCCTGTCATCTGTGGGTGTGTCTGTGCGTACGCGAGTGCAAGGGATGATCCCCACGAGCCGCCAAAGACCATGGCCCATTTCTCGATTCCCAGGTGCTTTCGCAGCTGCTCAATATCTTCGATGAGATGGTGCGTGGTATTGTCGCGAATCTCAGCCACGGGTGCCGACTTGCCTGCGCCGCGCTGGTCCATGAGGACCACGCGATAGACTTTGGGGTCAAAGAAGCATGTGTTGGCGACTTTTGTGCCGCCTCCGGGGCCGCCGTGGAGGAACATGACAGGCCGACCGTTGGGCGCGCCGTATTGAGCGTACCAGACCTTGTGGATGTCGCCAACTGGAAGGAAGCCTGAGTCGAAGGCATCCTCGTGGACGTAGCCTGATGGGGTTGGCGTGGAAGACGTCATCTTGACCTTCAAGTTTGAGTAGGGTTTGTAGATGGGGCCAGATACGTTGAAAATAAAGGGAATCGACGGTAATTTATTCAATACAGGGCGACCTTTGTCAGAGCATGATAACTTTTGTATGTAAAGGTGAGGATGAACTAAGAACATGGAGACACATGCACAATGCGCAAGCAAATGTTCGTTGTTCACTCCCAACAGGTACCAGCATATGGTCACTCCGCATACGGCACACAATCACGGGATACATCCGGTCTGCGTTTGTCTGTCCGGATGTGATTCATGCTGTAGGCTGTTTTCAGAACTCAATTTGGTGTCCGTTGTTTTGAAGGCTAGGCGGCGAGGGGCATGGTGCTCCAATGTGGAAGATCCGGGAAGTCTGCAGTACGAGGTTCACAAGAGGCAGCAAGGAGCGCACTTGGGAGAGAGACAAGGTATTTGACCGTTGCGGCATTCTTCACTTTTTCAAGCAGAAGCAAATGGGATTCTTATTGTTGAATACCAGGTTCGTAGCGGGCTGGCAACGTTATGCTGCTACTCAAGGAGAGAAACAGAATATGGCGATCAAAGCCAGTTCCCGAAAGCATGCTCTCGGTTTCAGTATTATCTCGCTTATTTCTTCCAAGGTAACATATCTCTCTATTCTCGCGAGTTCAAGAATCCAAAGCGCCATGAAGTGGATACCACTTGCCGCTTTCTGCCGTATCCAGTTCACTCCGTACTTTAGAAGGCATAATTAATATGACTCAGGCATAGGCCACGTAGGGTAGTCATCTAGACCATCACTCAGTCGCCTTGCACGCTTCGGATATTCAGTCACGAATCTGAGGTACACTCGAAGAACAGACGACCCAAGCATAGAGATAACTCGATGATGAGGCGATAGTCTATTGAGCTGTTATCGCCATCCGGTTCTTTTTTGTTAGTTATCCGGTAAAATATTCTTCCTTCCCATGAGAATTGCTATTTCAACAACTAATGCTTCTCGCCAAGATCGCCATAGATTCACCAACCATGTTCGGTATTCTGGTCGATGAGCGACAACACCTGTGTCCAACTCCAACTCAAGGAAGCAGGGGAGCCATCTTCTGTTGAAGCCAACTTTGAGCCTTGCGGTCCAAGGTATCATGGCTGTCACTTTTCTTCAGCACTGGCTATCTGGGCCCTGCAGGTAGTACACTTGGTTGAATCTGCATGAGTCAGATCACGGCTACTGTGGGATGCAACTGTGTGGCTTACAAACTGAGGCACGTAAAATTCCACGAGGCCATTACAATTGTCCTCTTTTCCATCCGCCCGGAGCCTAGTCTCGTGTGCCATGGCCACTCAAACCGACGTGGATAGAAGCCAGTATATTCCCAGACCATGGTCGCGTTGGTTTTCCACGTATTTGGGTCGGCCTCATTCATGAGGAATTCACTACCTGAGTGACGTGCAGTCTGCGGTGTCCAATACGGAGCTTTATGGTTTCAAGGCTTCTTTGATAAAATAATTCCCGCAATGACAGTACTTTCTCTCAAAAGTAACATATACTAAAGTACCCCGGCTCTTGGATGCCCTTTTCATCTACCATGGCGGTTGCAAGTGGAGGATAAGGATGGAGATGACGGTGAGGGGTTGAGAGTCAGTTTGAGCTGACCTGGAACCCTTGGGGAACTGGATTCGCGTCACTTCCTGACGAGACCAACGGAATACACCCAAGACTAGCGCAAGGAGGCCGATCCGGAGTACATGAGATGGAACCCGCGATTCACCCCGGTGTGGTCCGCGGTCCGCGGACCCCACGCCGGCGGCCGGTCCCGGGAACACTAGTTGTTCACGTCGATTAAAGAGGCATTGGAAACATTGTAATTATGAAATTGAACACTCTGATTCCACCGCATACTGTCCTCTGTTAGTTGGACGCTAGTATCTAGAGTGGAATTACTAGTGAGTCCACCCATTTTGTGGTATTTTCGGGACAGAGCTATTGTGATCTAGCGCAAACTCCATGTCCAAATGCCGGTGCCAACAAGGCGGTTCTAGATGCATACATAAATCATCAAAAACATCCGGAATGCCGGAAAGAAGGTTCCACCAGTTGTAGGAAATATCCAAAGAATGAGCCATGATTTGAATGTTGACGTTTATAGACCTATCGTCCAGCAGGTGCATAGCTACCCGGTAACTCTACAGGGGCATGCTGACCTGGCATTTCCGCCGGATACATCCAGGTATTATTATCGTTACGGTCCTTCGGCTCGTGAATATCACTAGGAGAGGCGTGATACTCAACTGCCGTTGGATTCCTCGTCCTGTTCCGCTTCCTTTGCCGCCAGATGAACCAAGCGGCACCAGCAACTGCCAGAAGCCCACCGACTGTCACTCCAACTATCATGCCAATCTTTCCGCCAGAGATCCCGGACGTGGCTGCATCTCCCAAGTCCTGGGGCTGTTCCTGCCCAGTCTCGGTGTTCCCTGGACCACTCCCCGTGGTGCTGTAACTTGTGGAGGTCCGGTCCGTTTCGGTCGGTAAGCGGTCAGAAGACTGGTAGTTGATCTGAATCATGGGGGCCAGCAGAGTCATTTCGCGCCTGACTATCTCTGTCTCGGTAGACTTCTCATCGTCATCTTCCCGGGTGGCTGTAATAGTAATCTCGTCGGGAAACGTCGCCGCTCGGATGTTGGCAAGCTCGGTGCCTGAGCAGGTCCCGGTCTGTGCCACCACATTTTCACCCGTTTGTGTTCCCGCAATCTGGATGCATGTATTACCATTTCGGTTGGTACATTCGAAACCCCTTTTCGTATGCGAGTCAGTCAAGGGAGGCTTCCAATGCAGTGGATGGTGAACTCACGTTGGACAACAACCCACTGCCGTCTCGCCTTCTTGCAGATCAAACTGAATCTTCCACTCGGGTCCTTTGCCGTAGCGAGCGGTGCAAGCTGCTGAATATCCTGTGGGGCATTCGGTTCCCGGAGAGTAGAAGCCCCAGCCAACAAACGGATGTACTGGCGTGCCCGCTCTCGCAGTCGCTGGTGGCCAGCAACTGGTGTGATCCTGCTCGCTTGCCTTGCCATCCTGCCCAACCACGCATGATTGCCCACGGAAGCCTTCTGAGCATGTTGAGCAAGGCAGTATGTGCGCACTGCAGAACGATGGTGCTTCCCACGACGTCGTGAGAGGGCCGAGGACAGTGCCTTGAAGACCCGTGAATGTTCCCATATTGGTGTTTGGAAGTGTCAAGAGGTTCGGACTCGATGATAAATAGATCGAGTCGCCCGGAAAAAACGGGTAGTTCCTTGAGGAGTGTTACTTGCGTGTGCCAGGTAATATCACGAACTCAGCACAGATGAAGGAGACCAAGCAAAAGCGACGTGCACATGTCCAGAGACGGCGGCAATTGTCCCGATGCCACTGGACAGGGACACGATACCGAATCTGAGCCAAGGAGCTGAATCTTCGCGGCAGAGAAACAGGGGTGGACCAACAGCATGAGAATACAGTTTCTTCGCATGAAGCTGAGCACGAAAGCGGCACAGTCCATGTGCATGGGCGTCACTTGGTCCAAGCGTGCCGCCGTATTCTATCGACATACCTTGTTGACGTGAAAGGCCGCAAAGGCTATAGTTTCTGGATACCCTCAAATCCCTAATACGAACACAGGCTCTAGCTTCTGCATCAACGCGATGAATAGGGTGCCTCGTGAATCCAATCTTCTTCAGCGAGCCTCGTCGCAATCAACATCGCCGCAACCACCACTCTTGGCGTCAGGCCGACCTCAAAGATCCATGCCCTACTAGGCCAATCACTGCTTACGACAGGAGATGTGTTGAGAACGGGCTAATCAGATGCCGAATTGAGCCGCTCGAGCATCGGGATCTGGGGCCGCGAGCGCCAAGATGCTCAATATGGATTATCCCTGTCATGGGCCAATGGACGTCGTCTCTGAGCCATATCTCCCCTGCTCGCTGAGGACGTCCAGGATGCAGTTTGCGTTTGAGCAGAGCCGACATGCACATTCCATCGTCCGAAGCTGAACGATCAAGAGGATGATTCAAGACACTGGGATTAAATATTCAAAGCCTCGGACGGGCCAGGTCGTGATATTTCTCACTTGAATACTCAAGACCTGAAAGCAAGCTCTGCGCAATACTCCACTCGGCTCATTGGTCTAGTCATATGTACGTGCTGCAAGCTGACCAACGACAATCGCCGTCCCGCCTTGACACTAGCCACCGGGAGCCTTTCCATAATTAACCTCTCCCCATTCCTTTTTTTCACCTGGCGGGCCGCATCTACCTCGTGCCGTACCGTACCGTACCGCGCCTAGGATTAGGGGGCTTACTCACGACAAACAATTCCCCCCCGAGCGGTGGTTTCTGCACGCTTTCCTCTTCATTCATTTCAAGCGACGAGCGAGAGCGATTACTTCTACGGAGTAGATGCTTGTATTTCTGTTTCTCTTTTCTTTTATTGAAGTACTCACCTTGCCGACATCTCCGCCATGACCCCGAATTCGGGGACATCGCGGTTGTTCATGACATGGAGCCTTATTTCCACCAAAGCGATCATTCTGTCGTTCGGCATTTTTATTCTGACATTGAATCTCCTTTTTTACGCATCATTAGGTGCGGACACACTCAGCATATCGTCGCGCCCTCCCTCAACAGACGCTCCAGCATCAAACTCTCCGGTGTCAGTGACCTGCGACACGCCCGCGACGACTGAACATGAATACATTCCCAACCACGTCCACTTTGTGTTCGTTCTCTCGGACCCCGAAAAGGACTTTTCGTTCCAATTCAAGCACTTCCTTTCCATGTACGCTGCATGGTACTACTGGAAACCAGACATCATCTACCTCCACACCAATGCCGACGAACAAGGGCAGGCGATAACACGAGCACGCGAGGGACAGTCTGGGAAATGGAACAAGCTCATCTTCGATATGTTCGATAACCTCCGCATTAACACAGTCGAAGCGCCAACGCATACGAACACCGGCAAGGAAATCCAAGGCATGGAGCACAGATCCGATTTCGTACGGGTGAAACAAGTTCATGAGCTTGGTGGGGTATACATCGACTTCGACGTCCACGCGCTGCGAGACATACGCATCCTCCGAGAAAGCGGGTTCAAAGCGATTGCAGGCAGACAGCTAGGCGGCCAGATCAACAGTGGCGTCTTTATGTCCGTTAAAGGCGGAAAGATGGTCGAGCTGTGGATGCACGGGATGCACACTGCCTACACAGGAGGCTGGACGACGCATAGCAACGAGGTGATCACAAAGTTCGGAGAACGCCTCGTCCGCGAACCGGGAGAGATGCTCATCATGGAGCGCGATGCCTTTGCGCCTGGAAGCTGGGAAAATGATGATACCGACAAGCTTTTCGAGCCACACGATGATGTCCCATCCAGCTTGGTTAACGCGACTGATACAAGTCCGCTGCCGACGTACGACGAAGCATTCGATGATCGGTGGGAGACGCCTGGAGATTACCCCGACTGGGCACGAGACTGGTCGTCCACGTACCTCTTGCATGCTTTCACGGCGGCTCGATGGGGTCATAAAGTCCCTAATTTCGAAAAGATCACACCACGATATGTGTTAGAAAGGAGAAGCAACTTTGCGCGGGCTGTCTATCCTGTCGTGCGGCAGATGCATGAGGATGGTATATTTGGTATAGATGATCTATCATGAGGTACATAGGAAAGATTCTCCGTGTTTTGAGTTCATGATAGAATCTCAGTAATGGTTGACATAACACCTGGCTGGGTTTCTCCTGTGCGTATCCAATAGGTAATCATCCTTCAAAGTTGCTGCAATATTGCCACCACAGTTATGTAAATGCTTTTGTTTATGGGCCTGTGCTTGATTTATGAGCAACCGGCGGTACTGAAAAAGAGTAACTCGAGGGGTATAAACAATACTGAGTGATGCCCAGAGGAACCAGTGGTTTACATACCCGTCGCGCTCTAAGCGGCACGCTACAGGGTAGTTAAATCACTACTTCAACTCGTTCGTCCTTGACCTCGTCCATATCAAACAGCTGCTGTGTCAATTCTATCTTCGACATGAACATTTTGCAGCTGCGCATCTCTGGTGTTTCGTACGGGAACCAGACCACAAAGAGGGCCTTGCTCGTTGAGATCTGGGTTCCGAATAGGACCCCGTTATGTAATTAACGCATAGGATAACATCCCGCAATTCCCCAACGCTATACTTTCAGCAGCTCTCTTTCCTTGTGCATGTTTCCATCAACCAGAGACCACGCGCTTTTCAATCGGCCTCGCTCTTCAAGATGACCACGCCATTGACGTTTGACACGTCCGACGACTTTGATGCGGCCGGCGACACGCTGCTCATCCTCAGTCACCCTCAAACGACTTGGGCGAACGTGAACCTAGGAAGAGTTTGGCCGAATCATCTGCCACAGCACAGCAACCCGTTAACAAATCTGGGCGAGTTGATGATGCCCCTTGCCCTCGGCGGTCCATTCCCAAAACCGCCCGCCCTAAGTACCAAGCAACCTCAATCAAGGGCATACAAGATTTGTACTGATACGACCTGAAGCCGAGATCAAGATGCGTCTCTCGTCGCGCCATCTGATCTTGGCTTCGGATTACTTTCACAGTGCCTTGACAAAGGGGTTCGCCGAGAGCGTGTCCGCGTCTGGTGACTTCGCCCACGTCGTGCGTGCCGAGAACATGAACCCCGAGGCATTCCGGCTGGTCATGTCCATTGTTCACGGACAGTCTCACCAGGTCCCTCGGAAAATAAGTCTCGACCTTCTGGCTAAGGTGGCTGTCGTTGTAGATTACTACAAGCTGCACAAGGCTGTCGACTTCTTTTTCCAGGTCTGGGTTGAGCAGATCGAGAGCCCGGCTACCTGGCAGTACGGCGCTGACTTCCTGCTCCGGCTGCTCGTGTCCTGCATTTTCCAAGAGAAGGAAATGTTCCAGAAGCTGACCAGGGTCTATCTGTTGCATTCTCGGGGGCCGATACACCATTTAGACTTGCCGCCCTTGGCACTTATTCGAGGTACGTAGGAAGTGGGTGCTGTCTACACATTGCGTGCATTTCTAACCTTTTTCTTTTCTTTCATCTTTTCAAGATGCTCTTGAGAAGGCCAGACAGGACCTCGTGTCAAAAGCTATCGGACAGGTGCATGCGCTCCTGCGAAGCTTCTACAAGCATGAACCGCCTTGCTCCTTTAACTGCGCAGCGTTCCAGCTTGGCCTCCTTGCCAAAGGGCTGCATGAACTCGGTCTCCATGATCCTCCACCACAGGTGCCGTTTGATGGATTCAGCTTTGATGCAATTCAATCAGGCGTCGAGAGGATTCACGCTCCCCGGTACACGGGTGAGCTAGGACTAGTACAAGGATCCGTATCCTTCAACGGCAGACACAGGCACGAGTGCGACCTGACAAACAAAATCAAGCCCATCTTCCAGCACCTTCGTGATAGCACCCAGGGCCTCAGTTGGGATGCGCATTTTCGAGAAACCATAAAGAGGCAACCGACCGCGTAGAAGAACTATGTCCTGACACCCCGAACACCATTCCCGGGCCCGCATATCCTATGTACTTTATTTGAAGTATCGGCTTGGATACGGTAAATGAGTGAGGAAGATGGTACGCAATCAACTACACTTTGTTTCACAGCGGACGTACAAGACTTGTTTCTGAAATCATTTGGCGGCCAAGAAACCCTGCCGCAGCTAGGTACTAGCTATACAACTCTGCTTTAGGGAACCCAAGACAACCTTTACCCTTCATGCTTCTTCCCATTCCCGTGTCCGCTTCCAGAATGCTCCGTACCATTATCATAGGTATTATCATAGGTACCAGCCTCCTCTCCGTGGACGACACCGTTGCGGGCCTCGTGGACGCGCGCGACAAAGCCCGGCATAAGAGCCTGGGGCGCGGCGGTGATCTTGCTCTCGTTGCGGCGGTCAGGCTGGACAAAGACGTCAAAGGCACGGGGCACGATAAGACCGGCGACGGCGAAGAAGAGGGCGACGTGGGCAAAGGTGAAGCCGCAAATGTGGAGAGGGTCGAGGCGGCCGCGTGCGTAGAAATCCGGGTAGGCAAAGGAGGCGATGATGGCGAGGATGGGGGCGGAGATGTAGCGCATGACGGGGCCCCAGAACATGGGGATGCGCCAGTTGCCGCCGTGGCTGAGGATGACGTTAAAGTCACGACGCAGCTGGTTGGTGGAGTAGAAGGCGAGCCACCACCACTTGCTGATGATTGCGCTGCGGCCAAAGAACCGGGGGGCGACCGAGGTTGGTGTGCGGGCGAGGAGGACGCTGGCCACGGTGCCGACGACGAAGATGCCAAAGCCGACGCCAGCGCCGGCGGCTGGCGACACAGCCTGGCCGACGACGACGCCGAGGAACATGGAGAGGACGTAGGTGGCCGTGTAGAGGTAAAAGGCGACCTTGCCGACCTGGTCGCAGACATCGGGCTTGCGGTAGAGGATGGACATGGCGACAATCTCGGACCAGACGATGAGGAGGAGGGTGATGTTGTTGACCCAGGTGTCGACGGCGTCGAGGAAGTAGTAGCCAAACTGGGTGCAGTAGACGAGGGAGATGAGGAAGGAAATAAAGACAACGGCAGAGGCCGTCTTCCAGCGCTTGACGTGGTTGCCGAGCAGGCTCTCGTTGAGGATGGTGACGAGGGACTCGATGAGGGCGACGGAGGAGCTGATGCCGAGCAGGGCAATGGTGAGGAACCAGACGACGGAGAAGAAGTTGGACCCGGACATTTGGCTGAGGGCGAGCGGGTAGGTGAGGAAGCCGACGGTGAAGGTGCCGACCGCGGTCTCGTCGTCCGGGTTGTTGGGGTCGAGGCCGAGGAAGCCGACGATGCTGAAGACGACGAAGCCGGCGACAATCTCAAACATGGAGTTGCTGAAGGCGATGATGAGCGTGTCCTGCACAATGTTGGCGAAGCGCGAGCTATAGGACGAGTAGGTGGTAAAGTAGCCAAAACCGACGCCGATGGAGAAGAAGATCTGACCGCAGGCGGCCTGCCAGATCTTGCCGCTGCCCAGCTTCTCGCCGTGCCACTCGGCAAAGTAGTAGCGGATGCCGACGACGGCGTCGTCGAGCGAGGCGGAGCGGCCGAGCAGGATGATGAGCATGACAATGGGCAGGCCCATGGTGAAGTAGATGGCGCGGCCCGTGACGCCGACGCCCTTGAACATGCTGAGCCAGACGCAGAACCAGATAAAGGCCGTCCAGCCGACCGTCTCGCCGACCATGCCGCTGCCCGGGTAGACGGTGTAGCGGACGACGTCGCCGGCGGCGTTGATCTCGCCGGGGATGGGGTCCTTGTTGGCGATGACGTCCTGCAGGTAGAACTCGTTGCCGCGTCCGTCCCAGGGCAGCGGGCTCTGGAATGAGGAGCGGAAGTAGTGCATGACCCACGAGAGGATGGGCACATAGTAGCACACGACCATGTAGCCGGTGAGGACGACGCCGAGGCCGACACCCCTGGCGCGACGGTTAATGCCGTTGAAAGAGGTGACGACGCCCGCGCGGTAGGCGTTGCCCAGGCTGAGCTCGAGCAGCAGGACGGGGAGGCCGAGGAAGATGAGGGCGATGAGGTACGGGATGAACCACTGGAGGCCGCTGTTTTGGAAGACGACGGACGGGTAGCGGAGGACATTGCCCAGGCCCACGGCACCGCCCTGGGTTGTTAGCCTGTCTCTGAGAGAAGTTGGAGTCTGGTCGCAAGTGAACAACGTACAACGGCCGCGAGGATGAACGAGAGGCGGTTGGGGAACTTGTCGCGCCCGTCCGACTCCGTGTCCCCTGGAGGGGACAGCACGTGGAGGATCTTGTTTGCGAAGCCCATGATTGCTGGCTTGTCTCGCTGGCTGACCTGCGCTGGTCGGTTTAGCGAGGGTTTGAGTATCGATCAAGTCGAACGGAGGGTGGTCAGTAAAAGGTGGAGGAGAGGAAGAGAGGTCCGCCACGAGCGTGGAGTACGGCGCATTTAAGGAAACATCTACGTGTAGACTAGCTACCTACCTTTCTACCTACCTACCTACATACGGAGTGTGTACGTAACGACTGCACGTGAGCAAGTGCCACATACGTACGGTGCGGATAACTGTACGTACCGCGATATCTTCAGCCTTCGGCACACGGCTAGGAGCTGGTCCTTGGCAGCATGGATCCATGTCACACTCGAAGCACCATTGCGTGCGACTCGAAGCAATCGAAGCCTCCAAAGAATGAGCTGCCAGCAATCTCCCCCGGATGCACGGACGCACGCACGGACGCGCCGCGGCCGTCTCACGAGCCAAACAGACCCAGACATTGACGGGATCCTGGGGTCCCTGAAGCGGACTGGGCGATGCGAGGACCGTTGGCCCATTGGCTGGTCGACTCAGCCTTGCTCCATCAGCCTCCAGCGAAGAACCGTCTCTCCACACGGCCTCACCTTTTTATGTGTCATGCAATGCCAAACATGGTGCTGCCCCGGGCGGACGTTGACGTCTCGACTCTCGAACGCATCAGTCCACCGAGTCCACGCGGGGTCGGCCTCAAGCTTAAATGGAGATTGGAGGCTATGTACTGGAGCCCGCTGCGTAGCGCATTCCAGAAGGGTACGTCGTCTGTACGCTTATGGCGGATAGAGTTCAATGTTTAATAATGGGGTCATAATCCATGGACTGGCAGTCTGGAGTCTGGACACCAACAAAAGTCAATCCGCCCACCACCAACCAACCCACCCACGGCACAGGTTGGAGCCCGCCGTCCCGCCTCGTCGTCATTGGACGTGATGATGGCTGCCTCCTTTGTCCTTTGTCTTTGACGGCTATCAGTTGAGGCTGGGCTGAGCTGAGCTGAGCTGATAGCGACAATGTGACATATCTTGGACCCTTGCCGGGGTGAGTGCATATGCCGACGTGATCCCGTACGCCCTGGCCTCAGCTTCGCCCAAGTTCACACGTAGTGTAGGGGGAGAGAGAGGGTCGCTCCAGCCTCCAGTTCCCAGTGGCCGATCGGAGACGCCGACTGGGGCCCAGATTTGGGTTTGTCTCACGCGATGGACGCCTCGCGCCCCGCCCGTCTCCGAATGACGGTGACGATTATGCGACCGGATCACCGTGGCTGAACGTGGACGCGCACCCTTCTCGGGGGGCAATGATTGCACGATCTGAAGTGGCCCAGTGCTGTATCGGAGCATGAATGCTGGTCAGCCATGAGCGGTCGTTGGGTGCAGGCGATACAAGGTATCAGACATCAAATACGGAGTATTCATGTTTGGAATGGCGGAGAAGGGCTGCTTACCAAGACCTCATCTCCTCGACTGTCGTAGGACCATAGATCAACAAACTACCCACACACCCCTGTCTGTTAGAGAGGGACTCGATATTGGCTGGGCACAGCGCGGCAAGTGGCGTAGCGTTTATCAGAGCCGGTACCTGTTTTCGGGCACACTTTCGTCGCACAGGAAGTTTCTCGGATTCTGAGTACGCCAATTGGTCAGCCCCCGGGAGCACGGGCGTCGGTACATGTACATGTACATGTACGCATCATACGATACTTGGATGTAGCTACGGATACGGATACATGTATGTATAATTACTCCGCACACATGCACAGTAATTGATTACAGTCGTCACCTCGCATGCGGCTTGCGGCATGGATATGCAACGACCCCTACCTGCAGAGCCAAGAGGAGGCAAGGCTGCCGAGCTGCCGAGCAAGGGGCTCCGACTCCAGGTCACTTTCTGTGTTGGAGACACAGCTCTTTGACATTTGTTGTACGTACCGGTACGTGCGTGACATGCAAAGATCCTTGGCGGCCGTGCAATTGAGGTGTGGTGTCTGCCGAGATCTTGGCAGACTGGTACCACACCGCATTGCGGAACGCCAGTGTTTTCGGTCCCTCATGCATTCTCGCCCGACAGAAAGTTCATGATAATTTGTGGAACGCCTCTGCTTTCGGTCTCTCATGCATTATCGCCCGACAGAGTGTTCATGATTCTAATTCATCTGCTGATACGTAGTCTGATCGATAATTCCAACGTTAGCTGTGGGTCGGGTGGGAGCAACCGAGTCATGGTCCGCAGAGGGAAGATAAGGATGTCGCCAGGGGAAGTCCCAACGCTGTGGCTAGCCTCCGGCGTACGGCCGAGCGCCATGGTCCCAGCCCATGGCACGCCGGAGAATGTATCGCGGGAGTGGACAGTCCCAGTTGACATGTCCAACGAGACATACAGTCATGCCGCGGGTGCAGCGTTTCGCGTGCTGGTGCCAGACTCGCCACCGACAGCAGTCTCAAAGAGCTGGGCTCGCACATCGGCCCGGGACATGAGACCAGACATTGGGTGCTCAGCAGCAGACAGACCCGATCATGACCTCGAATGCTTGTGTTTCCGGATGGAAGAATGTCGAAGCCTAGCAGAACATCCCATCCCGGGAGGCCAGACAGACGCCCAGCTATGAGTTGGGTCCCTGCTGCCAACATGTCCGCCAACACAGGCCTTGGCCATATGAACTCTGTGCCGTTCACATAATCCATTCCCTGCACAGCGCTGTTCGACGGGGAAGAACCTGACAGTGGAGTGGACATGCGCTTGCGGACACGGACTCGAGCCCCCATGGGCATCATGATCCGCCATCTCATCATGGCCGAGGACGTCCAATACGAAATCACCCTCTGCGACATTGACTACCTCAACCTCCAGTCGCCCACCGCCCGCGCATGCTCGTCCGACAGATAAGAAGCATGAACCCCCACGTCCAACTCGAGGACGACCTCGGCACGTGGTACGGCAAGAACTGCTACCTCGCACAGTCGGGCTGGGGTTGACGGTTCACGCGAATATCAGGCAGGAGGAGGTGCGTTGGGGTCGCGGAGAGTGTTGCGTCCTTTTACGATGTGCTCGGCTTGTGTAGGCAGATGCTGTGCGCTGGTCAGTTGAAGCTCTTCCTTTGTTCTTCCGGACTGGCAACATGATGAGGTTCCGTGGAGTCCTTGGCGGTGTTGTTTTGGTGCTGCTTATCATGGACATGGCTTGCCGAGGCAATTGTTCCCGCGCAGAGTTTTGGCGGCGCTCACAAGGTCCTGACTTGTTTGTTGATCAGGGATTCTCCGACGCAGGGCCGAAAATTTACATCCTGAAAGGCAGCCTCCATGTCCGATTGTTCTTCCATGTCCCGTGGAGCGAGTAGCGTCTATTCACGTCAAAACCCGACCTGTTTGCTGACACCAAGGGCATCAACGCAGGCCTGCCGTCCGCCGTCATGCCACTTTCCGCACTACGCAGGCAAAGCCACGGGCGCGACAATCGCCAAGCTCATGTCAGACAGCCAGATTGGGGTCAAGACGTGTCAAGCGATCGGCCGCCATGCTGCGGGTTGTCGAATGGCGCCTCTTGGCGACGCCAGATGATGTAGTCTGGGGAGAAGCGGCAGTGAAGCTTTGCTTGTCCAATTGAGCTGTCTCGCGACCAGAACGCAAATTGACAGTGTACAGTAGGCTTGTTCCAACTGTTTGGAAACACTCGAGTGTCACAAACTTGGAGATTCGGGTGAACCGGCCAAGGAAGCATCGTGACCCGATGCAAATAGGTACAGTCATCACACGAGAGGACTTTTGTTGCACTGCATGGGACGGACTGGCCATGAATTACCTTTTCATGTTGATTGATGGCGACAAAGGGTCCATCCATGTCGGCAGCAAGTAGATCCTGTTGGAGCATTGCCAAACGAAGCAGATCATCAGCGCATGCGACATCTCCGCCTGTCCTGCCTGCCTGCCTGCCCACCCGTTTCAGCGACGTGCACTTTTGTTCAAGTCGAGCGATGATTGAAACACTGGCGCGAGAAACAAAAGAGGACGGAGAAATATCCCAGTCTAAAAAAGACAAGACGGATACCGAATTCCACGGCCGCCAGCGGATTCGTGCCACGCATGTGCAGATCACTGACGGGGCACCATAATTTCATATTGACGGAAAATTAGGCCCCTGAGTCCCTGACGTGACGAGAAGTCGACTGATATTTGTCCAGACGACGGACGCGTAGAATGGGATTGACTTGCGATCTACAGCGACGAGACGGAGACATTCATGCGTGGTGCGCGCAGTCCAGTCAATCGCTAGTCCAGTTCTCCCGCATGAACATGGCGATCCGTCAAACTTGCTCTCCAGGGCGTGCATGCCCTGCTGGCGTCGGCAATTGGATCGTTCGGCATGCATTTTGATTCCATGCTAGTCTAGACCACGATAGTACTTATCGCAGCCAGTTGTCTTGAAGGGCGAGAGCAGCGACATCGTTGGCTGGACGCGACATTAAAGGCGCCTCGGCACGCACCAGTCAGCGTGCAGCGTTGGACCGACGACAACAGGACGGACATGCATCCAGGTTTCGAGCAGCGTCGCACGCATCGTCGGCTGCCATTGCTCCATGAGAGGGAGCAATGAGCGGCGCGCGTCCAGTCCTCACGAATTTCTCGAAGCTTGACCGTCGATCGTCGCGGAGTCGTGGGTCGCGGTTCGTCGGTCAAGCCACTCACTGTGTGTCGACTCCGACACCGCCCAGCGATCGACGTCCTGTCCTCTCCGCGGAGCTCCTGGTCTGGTCTGGCCTGGCCTGGCCTGAATAGGGAGGCGCCACGACAGCAGACGACATGGCGTGCTTCATTGGCTCGTTCCCCTGGCTGGATCGTCGAGCGTCGAGGCGTCGTCGACGCTCGACTGGACGCAGGTACCCGTCACGATGCCGATGCCGATGCCTGGACGACTTAAAAGACACCAGAGGACGACATCAAGTCGTTCCTCGGCTCTCATCAACACTCACTCATCCACTCACTCATCCACTCACTCGTTCTAAGATCCGCACAGACTGCCTCTACTGTCTTTCACGTCCAGCTCAGCCTGTACATCTACACCCAGCCCAGCCTCGAACACTCACCATGCTCGTCTCTACTCTCCTCGCCCTCCTGCCCATGGCGGCCGCCGCCCCGTCCGCCGTCCGAGGCCCCGCCCCCGTCGTCGTCCCCCGCGGCGGCACCCACATTGAGGGCAAGTACATTGTCCGCATGAAGTCCAACACCGTCTCGACGGCCGTCCACTCGGCCATCAGCTCCATCAAGGCGGACGCCGACTACACCTACCAGCGAGGCTTTGCCGGCTTCGCCGCCAGCCTCGATGACGACGAGCTCAGGGCCCTCCAGAACGACCCCAACGTCGACTACATTGAGCAGGACGCCACCGTCACCATCACCGCCACCCAGACAAACGCCCCCTGGGGCCTCGCCCGCCTCTCCTCCGCCTCCCCCGGCGGCACCACCTACACCTACGACGAGTCGGCCGGCGAGGGCACCTGCGCCTACGTCCTCGACACGGGCATCGACGTCGACCACCCCGAGTTCGAGGGCCGCGCGCAGTGGCTCGAGAACTTTACGCAGGACGGCGACACGGACGGCCAGGGCCACGGCACCCACTGCGCCGGCACCATTGGCGCCCGGACCCACGGCGTGGCCAAGAAGACCAACCTCTTTGCCGTCAAGGTCCTCGACGACGCCGGGTCGGGCACCAACTCGGGCATCATCGCGGGCATCGAGTGGGTCGTCGACGACGCACCCACCCGCCGAGGCTGCGAAAAGGGCGCCGTCGTCAACATGTCGCTCGGCGGGGGGTTCTCTCAGGCCATCAACGACGCGGCCGCCTCCATCGCCGACGCGGGCCTCTTCCTCGCCGTCGCGGCCGGCAACGAGGCCGCCAATGCCGCCAGCAGCTCGCCCGCCTCCGAGCCCAAGGCCTGCACGGTCGGTGCGTCGGACGCGAGCGACCGGCTCGCCGACTTTTCCAACTTTGGCAAGCTCGTCGACGTGATTGCGCCTGTGGGTGTTCTTTTCCTATCATCAAGTATAGTCAGAGCTAACCGTGTCATCAGGGCGTCGGCATCCTCTCCACCGTGCCTGGCGGCAGGACCGAGGAGCTCGACGGCACGTCCATGGCCTCGCCGCACGTGGCTGGCCTGGCGGCGTACCTGCTCGGCAAGGGCGAGGCCATGGACGGCCTCTGCGGGTACATTGCCAGGACGGGCCTGCAGATCGTCACCGGCGCGCCCAACGGCACCACCACCGCGCTCATCAACAACGGGAACCAGTGAGGTCTCGATAGAACGAGAATAGCTGGGGGGCTTTGGCGAGGGGAGGTGATTTTCTTGCAATGTCTTCGAATGTGTATGTATGTTTTCTGAATATGAAATGGGCGTTGCTCGGTGAGCTGTCGTGAAAGCGCGAAGAAGATGTGATGTGATGTGCGATGGATCACGTTTTGGTCATGGACTCTGATCGGACATCGGCACCTGGAGGGTGGACGCGATGGTAAAGGTGAGTCACGTGAGCTCGTCACCCTGGCCCAGCGGAATGGCTTACCCTGGCCGGTGATCCCACCCCCTCGTAGTAGGCTGTCAGCCGACAATGAGCAGATAGATATACTATGCCCTCAATGAGATGAGGCACATGAGGCACCGATGGATATATGGTGTAGAGAACTGCATCACATACGTCACGAATGCATGTTCACGACGATAGTCGAGCCAAGCGTAGAGAATGAGACATGGACATTTCAGACTCTACCTGCTGTCGCTCAGATATTCAATGGTGAAAGACACTCCCGCTACGACGGTCGCCTATTCAGGCGTATAAGGGCCCGGCCCGTCCACTATGTACCTTATCCAAAATGCCCGACGGCGGGGCGCTCTGCCCACACAGACCCCTGTCACCGACGCGGCTCTAGGGTTTAGTGCTCCTGGTCAGTGATTCATTATTCCCGTACCGTATAAGTTCAGTGACTCCCAGTCCTTGCTTTGATACTGTCCGCGAGGTGTTATTGAGGAGATGGGTGAGTCCCCGGATCCGAAGGGAGACAAAGCCGTATACCTTAGGCTGTGAGGTAGATACCTCAACCGACATCCATTCGCGACTGCCGAGGGGAATGTCGAGATACCAAGTACATGTACTCCTCTGCTGGACGTATTTTGGCCGGTTAATGTGATCCTACACAGCTCGTTCCTGTCAATTAGCCGGAGGACGACCAGCGAACAACGATACGGTCGAGTCCATGATGGCTTGGCTTACAGCATTAGGGCGAGACAAACGACCTCACATCACAGACAATCACACTCGGAGAATAATGGACAGTGCCGTCCGTGTGTGCCGTGGCCAAACGGGTGCTCTGCATAGGCTGAATTGCCCCAGACCCGGGGACGCTTTCACCCAGCGAATGGCGCTGCCCAATGTATTTACCCGTCGTGATACCAGGGCCTCCCCACGATCAGTGTTCCTCCGCAGAGATACCGAGCACGGTCAGCGAGAGCATATATAGATGAGGCTGAGGAACAGTTCTGCTTGCCCCAGCACGTCTTGCAGTATCAAGATCGACCGTCAAACTCCACCAGACACATCATGGGAGGTGCACCCTCTGGAACCGCCGGCTACGATGCCGCCCTCGAGCGCCGCCAGGCCCTCATGGGCAAGAGTGGCCCGCGCGCCCTCGTCAAGAACTGGCGCGTCGCCCGCATCGCCTGCTTCGCCTGTCTGGGCGGCGTCCTCTACGGCTACAACCAGGGCATGTTCTCGGGCATCCTCGTCATGCCGTCCTTTGGCAAGCACACGGACGGCTACATTGACAACCCCACAAACAAGGGCTGGCTCACGTCCATCCTCGAACTCGGCGCCTGGCTCGGCGCCGTCATGTCCGGCGCCACCGCCGAAATCTTCTCCCGCAAGTACGGCATCCTCATCGCCACCGCCTTCTTCCTCCTCGGCGTCGTCGTCCAGGCCGTCTCCATCACGGGCGGCTACAAGCCCATCCTGGCCGGCCGCTTCATCACCGGCATCGGCGTCGGCTCCCTCAGCACCATTGTGCCCCTCTACAACTCCGAGTGCGCGCCCCCCGAGGTCCGCGGCGCCCTCGTCGGCCTCCAGCAGCTCGCCATCACCTTTGGCATCATGATCTCCTTCTGGATCAACTACGGCTGCAACTACATTGGTGGCACCACCCTCGAGACACAGTCCGACGCCGCCTGGCTCGTCCCCATCTGCCTCCAGGTCGCGCCCGCCCTCCTCCTCTTCTTCGGCATGCTCTGGATGCCCTTTTCGCCCCGGTGGCTGCTGCACCACGGCCGCGAGGACGAGGCGCGCCAGGTCCTGTCTCATCTGCGCCATCTGCCCGGGACCCATGAGCTCGTCGAGCTCGAGTTCCTCGAGATCAAGGCCCAGAGCCTCTTTGAGAAGCGCAGCATCGCCGAGAGGTTCCCGCACCTCCAGGCGCAGACGGCCTGGAACACCACAAAGCTGCAGTTTGTCGCCATCCTCGCCCTATTCCAGACAAAGGCCATGTTCAAGCGCGTGGTTGTGGCTACTGTCACCATGACGGCCCAGCAATGGTGAGTTGGAGCGTAGCCTTGGGTGGGGGGGGCGAGGGGGGCGATGAGAATTATGCTGATACTGAGCTTGTAGGTCCGGCATCAACGCCGTCTTGTACTACGCCCCGTCCATCTTCGAGCAGCTCGGGCTGTCCTCGACGACGACGAGTTTGCTGGCGACCGGCGTGGTGGGCATCGTCATGTTCATCGCGACAATCCCCGCTGTGCTCTGGATTGACCGCGTCGGCCGCAAGCCCGTGCTCGCCGTCGGCGCGCTGGGCATGAGTCTCAGTCATTTCATCATTGCCGTCATCCTGGCCATGAATATCGACCGCTTCGAAACGCAGCAGGCGTCGGGATGGGCTGCCGTTGTCATGGTCTGGCTCTTTGTCATCCACTTTGGCTGTGAGTGGCCTGGCGAAAAACGGTGGGCAAGAGTGCTGACAGTTCACTAGACTCCTGGGGACCCTGTGCTTGGATCCTCATTGCCGAGATTTGGCCCCTGAGCACCCGTCCGTATGGTGTTTCGCTCGGTGCTTCTTCCAACTGGATGTACGTGGACACTTTTTGCGTGACGCTCTCTCGTGGCTAACAGCGCAGGAATAACTTTGTCGTTGGACAGGTCACCCCCGACATGCTGGAGAATATTACCTATGGCACATATATCCTCTTTGGCCTTCTGACGTTCTTGGGTGCTTGCTTCATCTGGTTCTTCGTCCCGGAGACCAAGCGACTTTCGCTTGAGGAGATGGTATGTCTATTATGCTACGCAAACATCAACAGGGCTGACCCGTCACAGGACATCATCTTCGGCTCCGAGGGCACTGCGCAGGCCGACTTTGAGCGCATGGATGAGATCAACAGGGAGATTGGCTTGTTCGATCTGATCAACACGGGCCGTCTCGCGACGCGCCACTCGCACGACTCGGAGAAGAAGCACCCGATCGAACATGATGTTTGAGACTTGTGACTTGCTATCTTTGGGAAGAGGGTACAGTACACTTGCAGTAATTCCGTACAGGTAGTAGGCAACACTAGTCACTCGTAGAGATGCAATAATAAGCACTTGTTCATTGTCTGAGCTACCTCATCCTTTCCCACAGCCTCGCGCCCACAGTTGTCAGTCTGGTTGTGAAAGCGGGAGCGTTCACTCATGAACAGAAAAAAGAACAAGCCAAGGACAGAAAACACGGAGACTCACGGAAAACCAATAGCCATCACGAGGACTGGCCAAATAAAACACACTACTGCCACCAAAATCGAGGACCCATGGTGATGATGCGAATGGTGGGCGGCTTCTCCCACTCCCTAGCCACATCATTCTCTAGCGCCACCTCCTCTGAACACGCGCGATTCACATCATCGGCGGGCGTCTGGTCAAACACGGCGCGTACATACCGAGCTCGACGCGCAGGCGTCCTCTTGAGGTCATCCGCATTGCAGTAGGCGTCCCACTCCCACGTCTCGCCAAAGGGGTCGACGGAGTTGAAGTACGTCTTGTCCAACACCATGGTCTCCAGGTTCGGCAGGTCCTGCGCCAGGCGGTGGATGCTGTACATCAGGGACAGGCTGTGCCAGGCGATGACGACGTGCTTCACCTTCTTCAAGCAGCTCTTGCTGATGGAGTACCATGATGGCTCCGGGTCGTGCAGGACGAGCTGGTCGTTGTTGGGGTCGGTGAGGACCCAGGGCTCGTCGAAGATAAACCCCAGGTATAGAATGGACGTGTCGTAGTCGACGCGGAGCGTGCGCTGTAAATGGTCATAAGGGCTCGTGTACGTGAGAGTCTGGAGGTGCTCACTTACGGCTGCGTTGGCGTCAAGATTGACCTGGCTGACGGACGAGTGGACGGCGCCAATGACGCGCAGGCTGGGTATTCTTTCAATGTCGGAGCCGTTGCGCTGCTCGAGGATGTTGTAGGGGTAGTCCTGAAGTTTGGCCGCGTTGTCCCAGATCAGCAGCTTCAGCTCAGGGGCTAGTTGGGAGAACTGGGGGAAGTCTGCCATCTTGAAGAACCACGACCTGGGCGTGCGGTTCTTGGACAAGTTGTGGTGAGAGGGTAGGAAGGATTCTCAGCTCCTTGGAGAGGACCGCAGATCTACCCAAGTCTTTCTGAACATGGTGGTTGTTCGGTGCGCAAGTCACTTGTGGTCCCAACACCCACGGTGTTCTGTGAAAACGACGCGCATCACGAAGAAGACGAGTAGGTACTCTCACAGATAGTCTTGAACATATCAGGAACGAATGTGGACATCCTTTCAGACGTCTGACTTTACTGAACGGGAGCCATGTACTTGGCATGGCCGGCTTTGAAAACATTTCTGTAGCGAGGTGAAGGGTTCGAGGCTGCAAAGACAGCCTACAGACGAGCCTGCCTAGTCACTCTGTCCCTCTCTTTCTGAACGAGTTCCCAAGCATATTCCCCGAGCGGCTTGAAAGCTTCTGCGTAATGCTTCGCGACCAAGCTCGTCGCTTGCCTGCCAGCCACCCGGGCCGCAATGCCCTGACTGATGGCTGACGCGCGAAACACAGCAAACGCAACGGCCCAAGCCATGTCTGGATTCGGATACCAGCCCGACTCCTCGCTATACCAGTCCATGATGTCGTCTGGCGTCGGCAGGCCAGGCGTAGTCCCCGGTCTGAAGGTGTCGGACAGGAAGCCCAGCTTAGCCTGCAGGGGACCCAAATGGAACGCATGGATCATGTTGGCCAGATCCAGGAGCGGATGACCGACAGTGGCCATCTCCCAGTCGAGAAGACCGATCACTTCCGGGCGACTAGGGTGGAACACCATGTTGTCGATCTTGTAGTCGCCGTGGACGAGTGTGGCGCGGTCCTTTGGCTGATAACGCTTGTCGGAGAAAAAGGCAAGCATCTCGTCGAGATGAGGGATGGGCCCGACGGGTTCCCCTGTCTTGACGTCTACCACTTGTTCTTGAGACTTGGCGGGGTTGATCAGCACAGACTTGAGGCAACATGAAGTGAAAACACCTACTGCTGATATGTGCCGCCACGTCGCGACCTGCCGGTCATAAAAGTCGCTGTGTTTTCCAAAGTCCTCTAGCCCAACCTTTCTAAAGTCGACCCTGTGGAACTTGGCTAGAGTCTTGACGGCCGCCTTCCAATGACTGCTTCTCTCCTCGGCAGTCATGCCCGGCATACCTGCGTCCTCCAGGATCCGCCCGTCCAGGAATCCCATGATGTAGAATGGTGTGCCAACAACGGAGCCATCCGCGCACAAGCAGTATGTCTTTGGCACTGGGACATTAGTAGGACCGAGGGCCTCAATGATGCGGTGCTCGCGCTCGACCTTGTGTGCAGCCTGGGAAATCAGCTTGCCGGGAGGCTTCTTGCGAAGCACGTAGCGGGAGCCATCTGGACTGGTGAGCTGGTAGGTTGGATTGGACTGGCCAAAGCCAAACTATGCAGAGTCAGCTAAGCAGTGATGGCGTATGCTACTGAGCTTGATCTACCTGCTTCACGTCCAGGGGCACCTTGATGCCTGGCACGTGCTGACCTATGTAGGCCTCGAGGGCTCCAACGTCAATAGGCTGCCTTACTGAGACAGCCATTGTCTATTTTATTTTATTTTTGAAAGAGTGAGCCCATCTACGATTCTGCCCGTGAAGAGAATGAAATACATGACGGAGTCTCGGACAGATGTAGTGTGATGTGGCTGCCGAGGCCTGGGTGCTTCCCCGCACTCTCCCCACTACCCCAGACGGAGAATATCCTAATCTAGCTGACCACCAGGCATATATATTGTGGCAGGGCTTCTTCACCTCAAAACCATCACCAAGGCACTGCTGGACTGTCAATCCCGTCGCCATGAATTTCGATTATTCGCCTGAGCTCCAGACTTACCTCGGCAAGCTTGACGCCTTTATCAAGGCTGACATTCTCCCCATCCAGGAGGAGAACATTCAATTCTTCGATCACCGCCGAGAACCATCGCGAACGCAATGGGATAACCAAGGTCTGCCCACGCCTGAGTGGGAAGCACTCCTGGCACGGGTGCACAGGATTGCTGAAAAGTCAGGCTTCTACCATTTCGCGCTCCCCAGGGAATACGGAGGCCTCGAGCACGAGGATACCAATCTCTGGATGTGCGCCATTCGATTCCACTTGGCGTCGAACCCCCTGTACGGCGGAGGAGTGAGTCTGGCCAACGATCTGCAGACGGAGCACAGTGTCGTGGGCAACTTTCCGGATTTCCTCATGCTCCATCACTGGGGCAGTGCCAGGCAGAAGAACGAGTACATCCCGGCCCGACTCAGGGGGGATTTCCGTGAGTGCTGTGATCTCTCCTTGGAAACCCCCCATTGACAGGACAGGCATGACCTTTGGCTTGACAGAGATCCATCACGGCAGCGACGCAACGCACATGGACACCAAGGCCGCGCCCATCAAGCTGAAAGACGGATCGCCCGGTTTCAGTATCAGCGGCAACAAGCGATGGCAGACTGGAGCCCACCATGCCACGCACTTTCTCATCTTTGCGCGGACGGCGAGCAAGGCTGGCTCAGCGCATGGCATCACCGCCTTTCTCGTCCCACGCGCAACACCGGGCGTGTCCATCGCGTCGTACGAGTACACGCTCAACATGCCCACCGACCATGCCACGGTGCTGTTGGAAGACGTTCAAGTGCCGGACTCGGCCATCCTGGGCCCGTTGCATGGCGGGCTCGCCATCGCCCAGACGTTCACACACGAGAACCGCATCCGTCAGGCGGCGAGTTCCTGCGGCGCCGCCCAGTTCTGCGTCGACAGGTCCATTCGGTATGCGCGAGATCGTGTCGTATTCGGCAAGCCGTTGGCATCGAACCAGGCAATCCAGTGGCCTCTCGTTGAGCTCTCGACGCAGATTGAGATGCTCCGCCTCCTGATCCTGCGCACAGCGAGCGAGATGGACCGGGTGCAGCGAGAGTACGCGTCTGACAAGGAGGTCCCGGCGTGGGTGGCCATTGAAGAGCAGCTGGGGCACAAGATCAGCATGTGCAACTACTATGCCAACCGACTGGCGTGCCAGGCTGCCGACAACGCGATCCAGGTCCATGGAGGCAACGGGTACAGCCGGCATCAGCCGTTTGAGCACATTTGGAGGCACTTTCGTCGGTACCGCATTACTGAGGGGAGCGAGGAGGTGCAGATGCGCAAGGTGGCGGGATACTTGTTCGGGTTCAAAACAGGGCGTGAGAAGAAGGGAAAGTTGTGATGTTTTGGGACATTAAGAAACTGTGTGTTCCGGTGATGTTGCGTGTTGTTCTGGTGTAGACTCGCGATGTAGCCTCGCGAGTGCTGCCTACCCTACCTACCCTGCCTACCCTGTACCAAATGGGCAAGGTACGTCATGTCCCGTCGCGTCAAGGTCACAACATCCTGTCGCGCCTCCGGCGACGTGTCGAGCTGCATCACCACCATCACAATATCAGCACCCATCCATATCCATACTCGATATCCTATTGTCGCATTAGTACATCAATCCTGTGCTCGTGCCCAGAGCACGCCTGCGCATTCTGCGCGCGCCCTCACCATGGACTCGGACCTCTTTGATAACGTCAATCCGGTGCACATGTCTGCCGAATCGTCCAGCAACGATGATTTTCTGCAGGGCGCACAAGGATCGCCGTTCCGGCCGTTCATGGAAAACATCTATCCTGGCGACGGCATGAACCAGGACGACACAATGTCGGGGGCCATGCCTCCCTCGACGGCGACAGCCACCCAGCAGCCCACCATGTCTGGCGCGCTTCCAGACGACGCATCACAGGCGCCAGCGCAAGACAAGGATGTCGCGCGCGACCTGTCGCCAAGCATCGCGATGCCATCTGCGCCCGCGCCTGCGTCCGAGCCAGTGCGCGAGACCATTGCGACGACGGACGATACTCCCTCAATTGATACTACGCACGCGCCACCGTCGCCGGCGGGACACGCGACCGCCAACAGCACCACTACTGTCGAAGACGACTCGCCCTTCGACGAGGCTGCCCCCACGGCGGTGGCGGGAGGGCGAGAAGCGTCTATCAACCTGGGCGACGACCAGTCCTGCGTGCGTACACAAGAATCCACGGAGATTACTGAGACCGAAATCAACGGGCAATCCGTCGTCGTCGAGTCCCACACAGAGGTCATTGAGGAGACCCACAAAGAGGAGAAGACGGCGAGCGCGCCGCCTGAGCCGATGTCTATCGAAAAGCACGTGGAAACGGTCGTTGAGACACCAGTTCCCGCGGCGGACATTGACCCTGAGACGCGCGGGGCTTTGAGGATGGACACGGTCTGGGACGTTGCCGGATCGCCACCAGCTGACACTATTGAACTGGAGATTCCGGAGCCCCCATCACCAGACTCGGGATCCGATGCTCCGATTCCGGCCGGGACACCTCAACAGCAGCACCAAGAGCCGATCCTTGGCTCCATGTCCGTCCCGCCCAAGAGAGGAGCTGCAGGTACCTCTACGGACTCCGGCGCCAAGCGACGTCGTCGCACGGCTGCTGATATGCTCGCCGATGCTAGTAGTGCGTTTGTTTCATCAGACTACAGCGACCGAAAGAAGCGCTCGGCGCCCATCCAGTCAAGCAATGCCATGACTGCGACACCTGTCGAGACACCCGGTCGCAAGACCAAACCAGCTGCTGTACCGCGTGTGGCTACACTCAAGACGCCAAAGGCCAAGCCCACCGCTCGGAAGAGCATGGCTGCAGGCAAAACGGCATCACCAGCAGTCAAAGTCCGCACACCGCACTCTGCCCCTGGCAAAGTAGCTACAAAACTTCCCAAGAGCGCTGGAAAGACCCCCGTCAGTGCGAAGCGGCCGGTTCCTACCATCACAGACGAGACGCCGAAGCGAAGGGGCAGACCCCCCAAGGCCCCCGACAGCGCCACAGCCGCACGCACGCCTGTCAAGACACCCGCAAAGGTTTCCCTGAAAGCCCCTGCCACAGAGCCTGCGCGCAGGGGGCGGCCAATCAGTGCTGGCAAGCGCACGTCTCCTCTTAAGAAGCGACACTCCCTCTCTGCCCGCCTGTCCGCGCCCAAGGTTACCAAAGCCGACGCAAAGTCTACCCCTAAAGCCAAGGGGGCGACTACGCCCAAGAGCGGTGCGAAGGCCGAGGCCGTGCCCGCAGAGCCACCCAAACGTCGTGGTCGTCCCCCAAAGACTGCCCCCGACTCGGCCGACGTTGCGAAGAAAGCATCTAGTGCAAAGTCGGAAGAGACGGCATCCAAGCCAGCTCGCGGCCGGAAAGCAAAGGTCGAAACCGAAGCAGTGAAGCCGACTCGGGGCAAAGCGCCTGCGCCTGCCCCTAAACCCACACGAGGTCGGGCTGCCAAGGGAGCAGAGCCCGCCACGCCAGCACCAGCAGCAAAGCGACCCGGGAGGTCGGCAAAGGCCGAGGCAAAGGCCTCCATGGCTGCTATGACTACTACTGCGGCTAAAAAACCTAGGGCTGCCCCCAAGGCCAGCGAGACTGTGGCAGATGCCCCCAAGAGAAGAGGCAGGCCACCCAAGGCCACTACCGCCGCGGCTGTGGCGCCCCCGGCGTCCAAGAAACGTGGACGCAGCACTGACGCCAAGGAAGACGTTGTCGAACCCGAGCCGAAAAAGCAAAAGACAACGCGCCAGACCAAGGCGTCTTCCGCGTCCAAACCCGCGCCTGAGCCCAAGCCTGAGCCAGTCAAGAAGAACAAGGGAGGTCGTCCGCCCAAGAAGACGCCCTCGACTGCGACCAAGCGCGAACCTGCTACTCAAAAGACCCAGGCACAAGACCCGGTCAAGCCAGGTCGCGGTCGCCCAAAGCAGACCCAGCCTGCAGCGCCCGAGCCCGCCGAGCCTACCCGTGGCCGAGGCCGTGCGGGCATGGGGGATGTGGCGCCGGTCAACGAGAAGCCGGCGGCCAAGGCTGCGAAGAACAGTGTGGCTTCTGGAAGAGTGACAAAGTCAAAGCCTGCGCCCAAGGGTGCTGCCGCTACTCGGAGTCTAAGGAGCAGGGCATGAGAAAGGGTGCACATGGCGGCTGGCCATTGCGCCATGTGAATGTTGGGCATGGCGTAAGAGAGCAGTCATACGAAACTGGAACTGTACGTACACGACGTACACGACCCAATGATATTTCTTGGATGCTGTGCTGGTGATAGTTGTCGACTCTGTAGGCACGCGCTAAGCCGAAATTGTATACAAAACCCGAACCGTCATGATGCATAATTATTGGATTGCCAATTCAATTACAAAGCTTCACGGAGTTGGGGGCCAACGCGCTTCCGACATATGATGGAGGCTGCGGAAACCATGGGACGATTCATCGCTTGATTCTCAATCGGATTCGCCGTGTGTACTTGAATTGCGTGCCAATCCAGCCATGTCTGTCCAAACAATGCTCGTTCGCCATGGAGGTTTCCATCATGGCGAGGTGGAAATGCATCGCCTCCTTCACGTTCCGCAGAGCGATGACCCGACTGCCATGGGTCTGCCCCCACACTACGCCAGTCGAGTGCGTGCCTCGCCTCTCGTGGCATTGGGGGCACTCGATCACCAGGGCCGGCCATGGAGCACCGTATGGGGTGGAGAGCGAGGGTTCGCGCAGAAGGTGGCCGAGGACGTTGTTGCACTAAATAGCGTCGTGGACAGGCGCTGGGATCCGGTGTTTGAGGCGTTGTGGGATGGGCAAGATGGCGAGAGTGAGGCTGTGGTGCAGGGGAACGGCAGGTCAATGAGTGGCCTGTCCATTGACCTCGAAACAAGAGATAGGGTCAAGCTGGCTGGCAGAATGGTTGCTGGCGCAGTGGCCAAGGACCAGAATGAAACGAGGGTGCAGATGGCCATGGCCGTGGAGGGGAGCTTGGGAAACTGTCCCAAGTACCTGAACAAGAAGGCTGTCACGCCTCACCATTTGGACGACGCCGAGTTGCTGAGCTCGACGCTTCCTCTGCATCCGCAGGCGGTGGATCTTCTCACCCGTGCTGACCTCTTCTTCGTGTCCAGCACTAACGGGGAAAGCTTGGACACGAACCATCGAGGCGGACCACCCGGGTTCGTGAGGATTTTGAAGAACCAAGAGGGCGAAGTCGTGCTTGTCTATCCCGAGTACTCGGGTAATCGCCTCTATCAGACCCTGGGAAATCTCAAGGTCAACCCTCTGGTGGGCGTGGTGGTACCCGACTTTGATACAGGAAACGTCCTCTATCTGACAGGCTCAACGACCATCCTCGTCGGCGAGCAAGCCACATCACTGATCGCTCGCACAAAACTAGCCGTCAAAATCTCCGTCACAGATGTGCGCTTTGTCAAGGCTGGCCTACCCTTTCGCGCATCCTTCATCGACTATTCGCCTTACAACCCGCCTGTCCGGCAACTACTCACCGAACAACCCTCCCATGTGTCCTCTGCCTCACATAGTACCGTGGCTACCCTCATCGACCGTGTGGCCCTGACCCCGACCATCAGCCGCTTCACATTCGACATCTCCCTGCCTGAGAAGGAAGCCGAGACGAATGAGCCGCTTTGGCAGGCTGGACAGCACGTCACATTGGACTTTTATGACAGATTGAGCTATGGGTACGCACACATGAACAACGCGGATCCACAGAGTCTCAACGACGACTACGTACGAACCTTTACGGTCTCCAATGCGCCGGGCAAGAATCAGCGCCGTCAGCAGATAGAGATTACGGCCAAGAAACATGGGCCAGCCACGGGCCTGATGTGGCGGCATCCTCTCGCCCACGCCCACCAGATCCCCTTGGAGATCCCCGTCATGGGTTTCGGCGGGGAGGAGTCGTTCCGCATGAAAAATGGGGAGAAGAACGTCTTTGTTGCCGGTGGTGTGGGCGTCACGCCGATGCTAGCGCAGAGCGCACAGTTGCTGCTGCGCAATGACGCTGCGGGTGACAATCTACGACTTGTATGGAGCCTGCGTGCTGAAGACATCCCACTGGCTGTCGACTCCTTTGAAAGGAACAAGGGCCTTGCGAGCGTGACCAAGCTGTTCATCACCGGGGACGCCGGCGCGAGCCTTGTAAAGCAGATGGAGCAGTTGGGGGCAACTGCCGAGGCGCGAAGGCTGGGTCCGACGGACTTGTCCAATCTCAAGGGGCGCAAGTTCTACTTATGCGCAAGTCCAGTTTTGCTACGGAATTTGAACGAGTGGCTGGCCGGGGAGGATGTCATTTGGGAGGATTTTGGATACTGAAGAGTCAACGCCTGGCGCGGGAGGGTGTTTGGGATATGTTATCTGCAGCAAGGGTATTCAGCGTTTACTTTTGGTGTTCTGTGATTTTATTGTGTGTCCTTGATATCTGAAAACTTGACGGGTCACCACTTGGCGAGGTTTCATAGCTTGGTGTTTCCCACTGGTGCAGGATAGACTCGGGCGGTGAGGCAACTTGGACTACGCTACGGTCGATTTCATGCCACGCATTGTCGCAAGGCATCAGTTTCATGAGCTCAGGATTATCCACTCCTAGATGCTCAATGGAGCTAGTTGGACGGAACGTCGAAGAAGATTAGCTCCACTATTCGTGCGAGAGACCTGTAGAGACTTTGTGTATGCAGCGGAGGTAAGCAATACTTTTGATACACTGGCTTAGACCGCATAATTACATGGGGCCAACTCCTGATACCAATTCAGTGCCTAACACGTGCCGAAACACCCTCCCAAATACGAGACCCTGTGACCTCGAAGCTTTGCCTAGTGCGTGGAACCTCTGAAGTAATTATGGCTGATGTCGGGAACCACGGGATAGTAAGGGATCGCCAGTTCCGAGCCACCCGCCGCCCTCGACCTGGGCAACCACAACGTCAGCAGCACGCCCGTTCTGTCAAACAAGGGCTTCAGATGGAGCTGCTGGGACAAGACATCCCCCAAAGCGGTCCAGCCTGCATCGCGGAGATCTCGTGCTGCCGCCGAAGGCTCGGCTACGCCTTGTTTCCTAAACGCCAACTGCAGCCCAACTTTCCTCGTGCTGGGATCGTAGAGAAGCCACACGGACGCGGCGTTTCCAGTCTCTGCAGCATTCTTCACCTTTGCGTACAGCGACTGGAGCTTGGGTTCGGCGTCTGGCTCGGAGCAGGACCAGGTCTACAGCCTTCCCACTGCATGCTCCTCGACCGGCGCAAAGCTGTGCGCCCCAATCACCTTCCAGACCTGGTCCGTGAAGGATTTGAACATGGGCTGCTCGGTGAACTTGACCTTTGGCTCGCCGACTTCGAATTCCTCGCTTGCCCAGCGTATATAGTCCTTTGCATCCTCGTACGTGTCAAACAGGTACAGCCCGCCCGTGAGTAGCTTTCCGGTGATTCCGTCGTATAGATAGGGGAGATATTTGAGGATTATCCCTGGTCTGTGGGACATGGTCTTGCTGTCGACATATTGAGAATCGATGAGTGCCTGGAGAGTGACGCCCAAGTCAGCGATCACAATGTCGACAGTGACGCAGCCCTTGGCGGCGATTTCGCCAGGCTCGTATCCCCGGATATTCTGGTTCGGTTCAGAGGCTAAGCAGTTTACTTTTGAGCCATAGTCCGCTGGTCAGGTGCGGTGTTGCTTACATGTACTCATTGTAGCCTGTTTCCGGTGAGCCTAGTACTCGTGGGGAAGACGAGTTCTGCATGAGATGGGCACAGCTAATGTCGTGTTGCTGTATGTCTTCACTATGTTTCTGACGTGAGGTCTTGTTCACGTCACCTCCGTGTAAGTCAGCCTCTGACGGCACGATGACTTAGACACCACGATCCAGATGTACACGGTTGACTGGACCAATTCCACGCGCTATCCCCGTGCCATTCAATTCTAAGAAAGCTCAAGATTAGCGTATACTCGGTTTCAGGTCTAGGATCATATTGAAAACTCCATTGAACCAGCATACATTCATGTCAGTGTCGTGGCGATGCCTGTGTATGGCAAAATGTCCAGGGTAGGCATTTTTCTCGCAGGGAGAGGAGGTCAGCTTTGCTGGAGTGTCTGATACTCAAATAGGCAACACACCCGAAATTCTGCTAGCATGCACATGAAACTTCATACAGAAGTGTGCGATTCCAATCGGGCGAGGTCTCTCTTCGTGTGGTTCCAGACCTTGAGTCGAGCCGTGCGTGCGTCCCGATCACCTTCCCAGTACGGACAGGTGTGCCAACAACCCCTATCTCACCTCCGACATTTCGCATCATCGTTGCAGACGGATGAATGCACACTAATTGTAGCAGTCTGGGATTCAACTTGGTCTGACCATCAGAGTAGTCTGTGGTGATGCCGCCTCTATTCCTGTTTCTACGATGTGCCACTCTGTTCAGGTCATGTTCCCACTGACCAGTACTGGAGTAAAGGGGCAGGTCGGCACTAGGCAGCCAATTCTCCCCGCGTTAGATAATTCAGGCCATGTTTCACGGAGACTAGAGTACCACGAAGTCCACTAACTTATGCTTAAAGCTTATCGCCGGTAGTGTGTTGGGGGGGGGGATGGATGTGGTCGATGCACGGTAATACTTGGTATACCACTCTCAACTTATTCTCCACGTATGTGCTCTTGGCTCGTGGGGTGTGACTGGCTGGAAAGTAGTTCTCGCCAAGACCAACTCGAGACCATGATCCCGAAGAGGAAAGTCTATGGACACTGATACTTGCCCAATGGCCTCGACCGACGACAATGTTGCGACGGCTTGGCACCTTGCAACGCAGGTTCAAGATTTACTTACGTACATGCTGCATCTGCCAGCACACTGGAGGGAAAATCAACTTGAACATGGCGAAAGCTCCGAGTCTGGTGCCACCTCCTTCTCTGAACAAGGACCCTCCTGTCTCATGCTCCTGCCCCCCAATCGGCAGTTGAGCGATCACGCACAATTGCCCCCAGTCCAGAAGCCGAGATGGTATGTGCTCTTCTCCTCCGCTTTGGCCAGAGACTATGAGTGGATATGCAAACAGACGATGCGGTCTTTGACCCGATCACGTTCGGATGGTCAAAACACTCGGGAGATACGCCCAACCCACGAGATGCTGCAGCTTGTCGTCCCACGAGACATCATGAGTGCTATGCCATCGTCGTCGAAAGGAGGTTCGCAGTACAAGCACTTTTAGAGGATTCAAGGTGTAACATTGAGTTCTTGGCTAGAGCAGCCCTACCCACCCCGGCGTCTGGGCCAGCGGCTCTTCTTCTTCACAATTCGCTGCCTCCCCGGCTTTCCCCCGCCGTAGATTGACTACCGATCCCTGGCCCTACCTGCCTTCCCCTTTTGCTTTGGTGCCCAAGCCGTGATGTGCAGTCTAGTCTTGTTTAGAATGCGTTTCTAAGGCCAACCTACCCCAGTGAGCCTAGCGGTGCCACGCGCGTGTGTATCAACAAGATTCGTGGTGCAGCTTCTTTCTCGGATGATTTACTCGCCGCAAGACTCTTTAGGCAGGAGGCTGCATATCAATGAAGACCTGCTCTTTTGAGCCGACCCGCGGTGCTATATTCGACGTTCTCTATCTACCATGAAGCGTCCATGCGATGCCAAGGCCTGCTTCTTCCTCACGACTTCTGCAGCCACGAGCTATCTCTCATCAACATCCAACGACCGGACGCCTGCCAGTATTAGGAAAGTGGCATCAAAATGCTCTACATGTGATTCGACGAGCATGGACTCAACAGTGCATTGACGGCTTGGTATCCACGACTTAATATATCTCACCGTGCTCACTCATGTCTGCCGCACATCGTGAGACCTGACACTCGCGTATAAGAACGCCCAAGCGCCGTGTCTTTGTACGAGATATCCCAGTCCTCCGCCATCCACACATTCTTCAGTCCTCGGTCTCCTCCTCTTCGCCCATCATGAAGTTCTTCGCTGCCCTCGCCATGGCCGCCATGGCCGTTGCCGCTCCCACGGAGAAGCGTGCGCCCACACCCCTCGACGTCAAGCTCGAGCTCGTCGGCAACTCCGAGGTCAAGGCTACTGTCACCAACAACGGCAAGAACAACCTCAAGCTGTTCAGCACTGGCACATTCCTCGACGACGCCCCCGTGGAGAAGGTCTCCGTCCTCTCTGGCGGTATGCTACCCCTTTCCGAAGTAAATCTCTAACCAAGCACTTCCCGGCTGATACAACTACAGACAAGCCCGTCTCCTTTGACGGTGTCAAGCTCCTGGTCGCCACAGAGAACCTGGAGGAGGACGCCTTCACGCGCCTCGACTCTGGCGAGTCTCTCGAGGTCACCTTTGACATCGCTGAGTACCACGACCTCTCGGCCGGCGGCGCCTTCAAGATCTCCTCTGAAGGTGCCTTCTCCTTCGCCGAGGCAGACTCGACCGAGCTCGTCGGCTCCGTCCCCTTCACCGCCAACACCGTCGAGGCCGAGGTGGACGGCGCGTCCGCCGCTGCCATCCACACAGCCTTTGTCAACGAGAAGCGGACACGCGTCCAGTCGGACTGCTCCGGCACGCGCCTCTCCCAGACCCGCAGCGGCCTCAGCGGCTGTGCCAGCTGGGCCGCGCAGGCCCAATCTGTCGCCCAGTCCGGCTCGGCGACCAAGATGAACGAGTACTTCAAGTCGTCCACCTCGACCACACGTAGCACTGTCGCTGGTGTCTTCTCGCGCATCCGCTCTGAATGCAGCTCGACCAGCAGCGGTGTCTCCACCTTTTACTGCACTGACTTTTACGGTGTCTGCGGCGGGTAAGTCTCCTCCTTGATCCTGGTTGAGTCCTGATCGACGCTGATCTCTCTAGTGGTGTGATTGCGTACACTGTTCCCTCGCTCTCCGCCATGGCGTACTGCCCTCTGCACTTCAGCCTGCCCGTCGGCCCTACTTCTTGCTACGGGAATAACCAGATCGGCACTGTCTTGCACGAGGTGACTGTAAGTTTCAGCCGTCCTTTTCTTTCGCGCCTGGGTGCAGAGACTGACGGACTTCCCTAGCACTTGCGCCAGATCGCCGGCACTGAGGACTTTGGTGGTTACGGCTACAACTTCGTCCGCTCCCTGAGCTCCTCCCAGGTAAGCCACATGTGACCGCTCGCGATTTTGCAGAATGTTTGTCTGACAAGATGTAGAACCTTCGCCACGCAGACACTTACACTCTGTTCGCACAGAGCATCAACCGTGGCTGCTGAGTGTCTTCTCAACGAAAGGGGGAGAGAAGCGAGCCTGCAGTGGATAGACAGGGATACCTATTATCTATCCCAGAGATACGTAGGATGAGGCATGTGTTGGCCATTGTGGTGGACGAGTAGATACATGGAAGGAGGCGGGGGGGGGAGCGAATTTGATAGATGAAAATGAATCACTGCTGACCTTGAAAGATGTCATACCATTGCACTGCTGCGTGGCATAATGTAAACAGGGTGTTAAATAAAGAATGATAGGAGAACCCCAACGCCTCCCATGCATTGATTCTAGAAATGAATATACAGAATCTATACCGGAACCTCTCTCAGTCCTCATCTTCGTCCCGTTCGCCGGGCAGGAACACCTCATGCCCGCTTCCCTCGTGCATCCCCAACGCGGTCAGACAGCCAAACATGGATGCCGCGGCCACCAGCCACCAGCCCCACGCAACCATGCCAATGTCCAGGCCGTAGCCGTACCACCATCCGCCCACAACAGGTCCGACCGTGCGAAAGCCAGCAGACACGCTCTGCCCCAGGCCGTGGATCGTGCCGAGAACAGAAGGGTGCGGGCTGCAGTTGTTGAGCAGGATGATGCTGGCAGGGAGTGTGAACGTGCGTGCGGTCACCTGTAACAAGAGGACGAGAATGATGCCCGCCCAGATGAAAAATCCAGAGGCCGGCTCGGGCGCTGGCGTCGAAGATGGGAGAATCGACAGATAGGGCGCCAAGAAATATGCCACAGGGAAGAGAATGAAGAAGTATCGGAACGAGCGCATAGTCCCCAGACGGGCCTGCACGGGTGGATACAGGGTGACCTGCAAGAACATGCCCAAGAAGCCCAGGATAGACGTCGCCATGCCCACTGTAGATGCCGGCATGCCCATACCACCGGTGAAAAGCATGAAAAGGTCGCGCTTCTGCGTCGCGGCATCTGTCCCTTGCTTATTGTGGCCACCAGTGTAGTGGCGAGGAGTAGACAGGTAGAGGGACCAAATATTCGTAAAGGCGCCCAGATGAAAGTCGAAGAAGGCGATGGATATCAACGTGAAGATGACGTTGCGCGTCCAGAGGCGAGTAAAAGGCAGCACGCCCGAAGAAACCTTGGCCCTGCGCGGGGCCTCGGGCTTGTTGAGGCTCTGTAGGGGGACGTCCGCCTCATCGTAGAGAGTGCTGACGCGTGCATAGCCATCGTGAGAGCGACCACGGAAGATGGCCTGCTTGAGGCGACTCCCAAGATGGAGGCCAAGATCAAAGTTGCCCTGGCGCTTTTTGGATGTCTGCAAACACACAACGTTAGCCTTGCCATGGCACGCGAAAGAAGCTCAGCTCACCTCTTCCAGGAACAAGAAAGCGATCGCCGTCGCTGTGCTGAGAAACATAAAGTTCATAAGACTTGGCAGAGCATAAGGATAGCTGCGAATCCACTGGAACCCGAATACAGCGCCATCGCCAAATACGCCCGGCAAGTTGACAGCCGGGTCAGCCAGCATACCACCCATGACTGCCGTGGTCAGTGAAATCCCCCAGCTATGTATCGGCGACTCGAACTCACTGGGTCCCAAAATGCCTGCCACGTTGAAGCTCATGGGCAGGATCAAGAAGGCACGCGATTGGTACTTTTTCTCCACGGTGAACTCGGCCACCATTGTTCGGCTGCAAAATATCCTTGCGTCAGCGACATGCTACGTAACACAGAAGATGCTGGCAGCAGCAAAAATGTTGTCACACTGCATGCGGCTCTTACTCACATAATGCCCACCGTGCCGTTGATAGCACCACCAAATGCGCGCCAGAACGCAGCCCAGAAAAATGTCGTCGCGAATCCGTACCCGATGCACGAGAGCGCCGTGCCACCCAGACCGATGACCAGCACCCATTTCCGACCACACCAGCTCGCATCTGCCGCCTTGCCCCACAGGATCGCGGTGAGGACCTGCGCGCCCGTGAAGCAGCCCTGCAGCAACCCAGCCTGCTGGGAGATCTGGGCGTCCGACAGCGTGTTGTCAAAGTGCTTCAGCTGGAAGAAGACATAGGCCTGCATCGAGGCCACCTGGAGGAAGTCGACCAGGCGGCTGATGAATAAGATGAAGAGCTGGTCTTTTCTCGGCAGCGACATCCAGGTTACGCCCGCTCCAGCGCCTCGCCCTGGCGAGGGCTTCTCGTCAACCGGGGATAGCGGTCGTTGCGACTCGGCATCTTGCAGTGCAGAGCTCGCCGTGCCGGCTCGATGATGCGGGTTATTTTCGTACATGGCGTCGCGCTCATTCTCTTCGGATGACCGTTCGGGTGTCGTGGGTGTTGTGGGCTCCCAGCCGTGCTGCGAGGCGCCTCGTCGATGCTTGCGTGGTTCTAGCGGCTTGAGTGTCGCTCGGTCATTGCTGAAAGACCGCTGGTGACCGGGCATAGTCCTGCTGTGATGTACGAAGGATCGAGCCGCGGGGAGCTTGCGTTCCAGTGGCAGATTGCTTGCAAGACTGGCGCGTTGGCAATGGTCACTGGCGAGCGAGTGGCCACCTGGTGCGCACCCACCCTTCGAGACACAGGTCGCAAATGATGTTTCCTAAGGAGTGGCACCGGTAGCACATCGGCCGATGATGTGACTAAGTACGGCAGAGGAAAAGGTAAGGTGGTGGAGGGATGATAGGAACAACAGACTGGAAACGAGTGAGGGATGGATAGCTTGGAGGGGGACTGTGCTCGAGTGTGGGATTGAAGTTGTTGCTGGCTGTGGATTCGTCGGGATTGGTATGCGGAATTGGCAGGCACTTGCGACACGCTCTGCGTACCTACCTGGTAGGCTTCAATGCACAGCGTGACGCGGCTGCCCACGTTATTCAGAAACAATTCAAAACGACTGGAGCCAGACTCGGGCAGTGACAAGACTGCAGACACTTCTCTTCGTGAAAGAGCAATTCGGCGTACCATGCCGCCTCGTGCGCCGTATTGTCCTCCCCAGTCACCAGTGGATAATAGATAGCAGGGGTTGGATCATTCTACGCACCTAATGCACTGCTTCATTTCGCTGGCTGCAGCTCATAATTAGTGCCTGTATCCCTCTAAGAAGACACTGGACGTCCAGTCGCTGACATGCGCGGCTATCGGTGGCTCGGCGCCGAGGACCCCCGACTATCACTACTAGATCAGCTGTCGTCTATGACAATGAAAATGATGCTCAGCTTATCAACGCACAACGTCATTACATCCTGGAACGTGAGAACTCCAAGTCAAGCCAACTCGAAAACAGCGCTATAAATTAAGTATCCACGATTATGACCTACAAACGTGTGGCGGGGGGCAAACCGCTGGCTTGTCTATAGATTCGATACTGTCGGGTCGTCGGCCAGCAGCAGACAAGGTTGGCGAGAGACCGACTGGAACCGCGAATGAACAAGGGCCTCAGTTAAGTTTGGCTGCAGTGCTTGCTACTTGTTATGTTAGTCCCCCAAATTTATAGCCTACACTAAACCCTCATTGAAAGACGAAACTCGAATTCACTCGGCTCTTGATATAGACAAATTAATAATAGTCCGGTCAACAATAGTGGGATGCTCTCAGCCTTATTTATTCCAGACCAATCACTCGCAGGTCTGGGCGAGATGGCTCGTGCTCCGTTCAATACTACCTCGCTATCCGTACTAATCAACCACATTCATTGTTTCGAAACACGTCAAGCTGCCCATGTTACGTAGACCAAATGCTTTGAAATTTTCAAAGAACCAATTCTTCCCATTTCCCAAAACCTGCGCACATCTTCCTTCCGATACCCGTCTTCCCTGCTGTAAAGTCAGGGGTGTCTCTGCAAAAGTGACTGACGGGAGATGGGTGTCGTCAGCGCATGAAGGAAGAGATCGGCGCAGACACTGATGATACTTCACATGAAAGAAAAGACCATCGCGCGACAGAGGGGGATCTGCCCTGAGGATACATGACGACCAATAAAAAGATTTTGATTAATTGTATGGTGATCAGCCTGCCTGACCCAGCGGCTTCTGAGCTCGGATGTTGAGTTTCATGTGCACAGAGTAGTAGCCTGCCGTTGATCATTTCAGGGGCTGTTTTCTTGTTGATTGATCCCCGTCTAAATGGCAGCAATGGGACCTGTCTTATCATTCCTCTGCTGAAGATATCCAATGCAGCACGGAGCATGCACAACGCTTCATGCTCATTTTAGCTGCAGGTCAAAAAAAAGAGCGGGTGAGTGTGGGACAATCCGACAATCTGGACGACGTCTCTCGTTGATTACTACGGAGTAATTACGCCTTCTCCTTCCAAAACGGACAACTCCCAGCCGACGAGCCACTTGAAACCGATAACAGAGCACGGCAAATCAGGCCGCCTCGCAGATCGACTTTGATCAATGCAAGATCATCAGTGAGGCTCTGTTAGACATAACCTCTTTTGGTGAAGACATTCAGGAGGTCGCGGCAGGAAATGAAGGTACGTACCTGTAGCCGACTGAGAGACTACGCTGTCATTGGCCCCTTTCTCTTAGTTGCCAACGGGCGATCGCGGCGATCCTTTCATCAACCAGCGACGGCCCGAAATTTCAAAAAGAGAGCGGTCACAGTGTTGAACATGTCCCAGCCGAGCATTCCTGCGCACCTGAACTGCGTACTAACCACTCGAGTGTGTCAATCTCGCGACACTCTAGGCTGCCTTGTCGACGATATTTCGATAACACGTGCCTGCTCCCAAGTATTACACAGAAAACTGAGACCTGACCAGAACCATCGTGCCGTGCGCAAGTCCTTCCGTGGCTCCAGGCGGCGACTGGAGACCACAACGTGAAACGGTCGAACTTGACGTTGGACAGCCGATCTCCCCCAGTCACCAGGGCAGTGCAGGTGCAGATTGCAGTGCCTGTCACTGCATGCGAGTGAATTAGGTGGCTTTCCTCCCGCTTCCACGCGTGCAGGTCCAGCCAGTAGTCCCACCAATCAGGCTAGCGTCCAGAACCTCAGACCCTGGCTGGAGCCGCTGGAGCCTGGAATGCGCTAATGGTGGTGGGGCGTACTTCCCAAGGGGCCAAGTTCATTCATCCATGTCGCTTGCTCCATTTTCTTGTCGCGCGACTTGTTGGTGGCAGACAAGCAACCACCGTCTTCTCCTCCAAGAAGTTCTCCTGAATCATCCTGTGTCCATTAATCAACCTTACTGTCACTCCTTTATCAACTCACTTTTCCATCTGACATTGTGCGCACGCCTCTCTCTTCTTTCAATTTCTACTTGTAGCACCATTCATTCCATTGCCACAGTTAATATGGCCTACTCTGCCAAGTATACCCCTCGACCCTTTACCGATGTCTTCACATCGGACACCGACATCAACCGTCGGGAATGCACCCGCAAGGTGCCCATGAAGGTTCTCATCCTGGGCTTGGGGCGAACGGGTACAGCTTGTAAGTGTGACCGTGCCCAATGGCAACAACCTGATGCTGACCAAGTACCAGCCATGCGCGCGGCCATGAAGCAGCTTGGCTACGTCGACACCTACCACATGATGAACTGCTCGATCGAGAACCCGCCCGACGCTCTCATGTGGATGGACGCCCTGACCGCCAAGTACGACGGTGTCGGCAAGAAGTTTACACGCGAGGACTGGGACCAGCTCCTCGGAAACGCCCAGGCCGTCTGCGACTGGCCCTCGATCGCCTTTGCCAAGGAGCTCATCGAGGCCTACCCCGAGGCCAAGGTCGTCCTCACGAACCGCGACGTCCACACGTGGCATGCCTCGACCATGAAGACCGTCTACTGGCGTGTCACCGATCCCGAGCTGCGCTGGCTGTCGCACTTTGACTGGGCCGCCAGCATGTACCAGCCCATGCTGCAAAAATTCTTTGACACCTTCTTCAAGGGTGATTTCCCCAACAAGGGCAAGGAGGTCTTCCTGGAACACTACGAGGAGGTCCGCAGCCTGGTGCCCAAGGACCGCCTCCTCGAGTACAAGGTCACCGAGGGCTGGGAGCCCCTGTGCGAGTTCCTCGGCGAGCCCGTGCCCAAGGACTCACCCTTTCCCAACGTCAACGACAACTCTGACTTTGTGACTCGCTCGCGCCGTCGCAACAGGAACCAAATGTACAACTGCCTGCTGCGCTATGCATTCAACACATCCGCTGCTGTCCTGTCAGGTCTGGCGGTGTACCACGGTGCCGTGTACCTCGACCTGGTGGACGCAAAGTCCTCGTTCAGCCCGGCCACCATTGCATCCCTGTTTCGCGGCTCTTCGTGATCGTCTTTTTTCCCCTTTTTTTTTTCAGAGGAAGTGTTCTTTTTAGACATGTGTTGGTTCACACGAGGGCGTTTTTTTGCTTTGAAGCACTGGATACCAATGAATAATTTGTGGAGTCCAGTATGTATCTGGCGAGCTATTCCAGTCGAAATAGAATCACGGCGTTCTCTTCTACATTTCCGTGTTACAACTTGTATTGAGCGACGTAGAAAATAAGCATATCGACCGAATTACAAGCAGGGCGGCCGCGCGTTGTGACAGGCCGAGTCGTCCCCGACAGCGGCCTGGACTGGATCACGAAGTCCCACGAATTGCCATTGTTAGCGCGTTACGAAGTCCAGATGCCTTCGGCTGGGCTTGCTGCTGGTGACTTTTCTGACGATGTTTTACTCAGCTAGAGGTCTTTACTCAACGTATAATAGGGGTTGTGTGAATCAAAACATGCCTGATACTATAGGTAAAATAGGTGCCTTTGATTCTCACACTACCGTTCACCTTAGCGAGGTGGGGGCGCGGCACGAGTACAAGTCGTACGCTAACAAGTACAACCCCTGAGGCCGTACTAACGACATGCCCCTATCCCCATCCCCCTGATTGCATTTCTCAGACATCATGAAAACTTGACATCTCTTTCCCCATGTTCGGCTTTGTATTCCTCAGTTATCCAGACTTAGCGTCGTAAATCTGGTTCGAGCACATCTGTCGACAGGACCATGAGAGGAGGACCAGCAACAAATGACATGGAGATAGGGGAGTTCAACTCCAACCTCACGGTTTGATTTACAATTCATCCGAAAAGCAGTTCCTCCGCCTGGATTTTCACATACTATTTGTTAGTAGTCTTTAGTTGTGCCTCGAAACGGCTCCTAACTACTTGTAGAACGGCCGTCTGTCTGCCATCGTACGGACATGGCCTTGCACGATGGCCGGCATTGACAGCTCTATGCAAGTCATGAACCTCGGAAGGGTGCTCACAGCTTTTCTTTAGACTTGCCTTCCTAAGAGTTGATGCGTTCATATCATTGTACAAACCGGTAGCAACCCAGGGGTTGTTGTGCAGACATCCTTCCCGATGGATCGCATAAACTAGACCAGGATCTGACGAGACATTGTATATCGTAAATGGTAAAAAGCAGTCGATTTTGCATATGAACAATGCTTCCATGTCATGTTCTCACCTCTGTGTGTTTGTCGAGCAACACCCAGCAGAATTCTCATCTCAGAGCGAGCATCGCCATACGGAGCGAGCTTCCCGTATGACTTGGAACGAGTCCAGAACTATACATCGACAGAACCACTCTTGAGGATATGCATTAGGTCACTACAGGGTTCAATGTCTGATTATGCACAGTGTTTGTCCCCTTGTCCGGCTACCTCACGACATCTCCAGATGTCCCTACTCAAAGCCTCCAGAATGTCCTGGAAGCGCAATCAATGCTCACATACCGCTCACCCGTGGTCTGCATTACAAGCGAATGCAACGGGTTACTCCCGGCTGACACTGGACGATCTTGATCGCAAGGCGGTCCTCGTGAACCGAGTCGAGTATGTGGCATGGCCGAGCTCAAAGTCATCCCGACCTCTCATCGTAGTGACTGCGCAATGTAGGTGCGAAACTTCTAACAGTACAGCAAGAAACTATCCCTACGGCATAAGAAGGCAGTACAGAATCAGAGGCTTCCATTACGCCTGGTGAATTTGACTGCCTGTCATCAACCTTCATACTCACGTTGCTGCCGCGGTCCATCACCATGATGGTTGTGGATCCTGCCTCCGTTTGAGATAAAGGGGCTACGACGGAATTGAGTCTAGAAGCTAGGATTTGCTTTGTGGCTATCAGGCTTCATTCACCCTTGCGGGTCAATGGCAAACAAGGCCCGAGGTAGAAAGCCCAAGTATACAGGTGGGACATGTCAAAGTACATGATTAGCCGGCTGGTGAGCTCTCAAGCTTTGTTCAGGCCTTCTCCGTCCACAGATAACTTGGCTGCTGACGTTGGCAGACTCGTAGTCTAAGTAACGTTTACCAAAGCCTCTTTGTTGATGTACAAGAGGTCCAAGGACAACGCGAGCCCCCTTTTGTCCGAACCTGATCGCCGCGATGGCACGCTGTGTACCTGCAAACGGGCGTGCAAGCTCCTGACTCAAGAACCTTTCAATATTCAAGCACCAGTCCGTCGTCGGCGCGCACTCGACTTTTCTTCTCACGTGCGGGATTTGGATTGACTTTGCAAACGTCCTGGCCTTGCATGAAGCTGTGGTCAGCCCTAGGGACTGGAGAAAGCCTGTCGCCTTGACTCGCACCACTTGAGGTTCTTTGCGCGTGTGAAGAGTCTCGAACTCTTTAAGGGGGGTTGACGAAGGGGTAGAGCGCTGGCAGTTCATATCCGGTAGAGTCCTAGGCTTCCTGACTGTATGTGGCACCGCTCAACGAACCAGGTGTTGCATCGTGTGTGGTATCTTGGTCTCGCCGAGTGACTTAAGCAGGAATCTTAAGCAGCGGGCGTTTACGACATGAGTTGTTACTCACTTGTCGAATGATCCACGGCCCAGAGACATTGTGCCATTGCGTGTAAGACCACAGGTCTGTTGTATATGCACGGCGTCCTTCACCTTTGGTCTGTGAATCAGGCAATCACGCGAGACATACCACGGTACGATGACAAGTAGTCCGACATGTGCCTCGCGTGAAGGCTGACTCTACCTGGTTCACAGACTGTACTCGCAGGGAAGGATCCCAGAGCAACTGTTGTGACAATACATGTACAGCTTCAAAGCTACCTCGGAGAAGAGGATATGCAACTAGTCTTGACTCTTCATGTTGACATCCGCGAACTAGACTCATCAGTGTCCGCAAGCTTAGCGATGCTGAGATAATCACTCGCACTGTCGCACATCCATACCGTCCGCATCGTCACGAACCAGCTCTGGAATCGACCGCGCCAACCCCGTAGCCACATGCGCCACCACCATCCACAGCTTAAGCACACCCACAAGATATCTCCATTCCTCGTCTTCGCCCCCGCCAAGGGCACAGGCACCGCTCTCGACCAAGCCACATCCATTCCTCCCGTGCCACGGAGTGAACTATCTCCCCGCCTCATTCCCAGGACCCTCTGCGGCGGAAGTCTATCCCATCACGGGCTCGCATGATTGGCCGAGTCTGCAAACAAGAGCCTTGTGACAGGAAAAGAAACCTCCATGGTGTCGGGTGAGGGTGGGCACTGGGAGACAGAGCTCCGACTGGTGCATTCTTCTCGAGAGTGGTCGAGAAGAACTTATTCTCGTGCAGAGCCTGTAACGTACGGGCAACGGGACCGTTTGCCATCTGACACATTCCAGTCGGGGAGAGCCTTTTCACCTTGGTCCATCTCGCCTCTCGGTGGCAATTGTCGAGACAAATTCGGAATGCAGCAGTGGCTATGTTTCTTGTGGTAGATTTCGACACGTCGAGTAATCATGCTAGGCCAGCAGCTGCTTGCTGGTGGAGCTGTCGATCCAGCGACAAGTCGCATATGCAGGCGACGATGATGACGGGCAAGAGATATCAACTTTTGACTTTACGCCAGAAAGCGGGAGCGGATGATTCCCCCCATATGCAAAACTACAGCAACCTCATGAGTCGCGCTGGGCACGAGGTGAGCTGATCCGGAATAATAATGAGAAGCGCCATCTATCCCCCCCTTTCGAGGAGAAATACCCCCGGCAGTCAAAAGTGCCTTGAACGCTGTATGAAGAACGAATGTGCGTGCGTATGAGCATCGGAGAACTGACAGGAGAACCGGCGGTGAATGAAGCACACGAGACAATGCTCACACAGCAACGAGCATGAACGTAGACGGCCCAAATGAGCGGTGAATATGCAATATTCTGTGCGCGCTTCACCGTTGCATCGCCCTGCATAGGATCAATGGCACGACCTCACAATCAACGAGAACTCCCCCCGCTCCCCTCAATAAAGCACCGTAGCTGAGGAGACGGAAACGCATGATGGTGACTGGCGTACTGCCGTGAGTGGCTGGAATAATGAAGCGTCGGTCGTGCGTGCATGCCACGCACGAGTCGTGTCACATTTCGAGTGATGATTGGGGCGATACGGGTGGTGCTCGCGCGTCACTCGCTGACATGCATGCATGCGTTCATGGTGATGCTGGGAACATTGGAGCTGCAGCATCACCATGTTGATCACCACCATCGTCAGGGCAGGGCGAACATTGCTTGCTTGCTTGTGACGAGATGTCTCGTTTATTGTATTCAAGGGTGTCTTGCACCTAGCCTGAGCTTGGTATCTACTTTCATGCCTTCCGTCCAACGTCCTCCTGACCTGGTATCTAATTCCGTGTCTGTGAACCCAACTCCTCCGATTAAAAGAGCACTGTTGATTTTTTCTTCGTCGTCATGTTCATGCCTCATCATGATTGGTAACTCCTGCCCTGGTGTAAATATGAAAATGAGAAAAAAGCCAAAGTACAGATAAAAACTCCTCGCTTTCCGAAAGACAAGAAGAGGTTTGAGAGAATATGTCCAGAATCCATGGTCCGGAGAGGGTAATAATATTTCGATCAAGTGTATGATGTCCGAGAAGTGCTCCGTTCGCTTCGTTCAGAAGCATCCCTGGAACTGAGGGTAAGCAGGTACCTGATGATGCGGCGCATAGAAATGCGGCGCGCCCTGCTGGACGTATCGGCCCAGCGCATCCCACAACGGAAAGTAGGACTTTGCTGGTGCTGGTGCTGGTGCTGGTGCGCAAAATGGCTGCGCATTTTGCGTTGCCTGATGAGGACCAGGCGAAGGAAGGGGTTGATGAGGTGTAGGCTCAGTGTAGTGCTGGGGGATGTATTCCTGGGCGGCGTAGTAAACATCCTGTGGAACAATCTGAGGTTCCTGTCCGTAGAAATGAGCCTCAGGAGGCGTGTGCATCTGCTGCTCCTGCATGAATTCGTCGTCCGAATCCGAAATGGTGGAAATGTCAGAGGATAGGGATCCGTCATCTGACACGCTGGGTGTGGGAGACAGACTCTCACATTCCTCATACTCGTCCATGATCGCCTCCTCGGGAACTCCATAAGGGTTGGAAATCTGATCGGGGGTAGCGGGCGGGCTGGGTGGCATCTGGGGGCCCACGGTCAGGCAACGACACGCCATGATCCTCTCGCGCAGCTCGGGGAGGGTGATCCTGTGAGCGGGAGAAGGGTTGAAGATGCAGGCCAGGATGTCATTCAGCTCGTCCGTAATGGGTAGTATGGTCTTGAGGAATTCCTGGGAGCGGGCATAGGCACGATAGGTGGAGTCCTGGAAAGAAGCCTGCTTCCACGGGTTGCGACCACACGTGAGATTGACCAGGATGACACCTAGGGACCACACATCATTAGGAGCGCACAGGTAGAAAGGCTTGCGCGCATTAGAGTCGAGGCACTCTATCGTTCGGGTCAGTATGCGTCTCATCATAGGATCGAGCAATTTCACTCACCAGGACTCATGTAAAAGGTGGATCCGCAGCCATAGTCCTCGGATCGATCCTCGGCAGTCGCCAGTCCAAAGTCAGCCAGCTTGACAGTCTCACCACAGTCCGTGACCAAGATGTTTTCTGGCTTGAGATCCCGATGGTAGATTCCAAGCTTGTGGCAGTGCTCCACGGCGTCCAAAATCTGGAGAAAGACCCGTCGAGACAACTCGTCGTTGCCAACGTACTGGCCACGCTCCGTGATGTTGGCGAACAAGTCACCTTCAGGACAGTACTCGAGGATCACGTATATGCAGTCGGCATCGTCCACAATCTTGTGCATCGACACGACATTACTGTGTGCAGAGGCCAAGTAGTGCAGACGGATCTCGCGCGACTGGTAGGCCGCTTGCCTGCGTTCCAGCGGGGTTCCATCGGGGTTGAATTTGGACAAGCACTTGACAGCATAGGGAATACCGGTGTTCACATCAACAGCGGTGTAGACGACGCCGTAGGCGCCGGTGCCAAGGACCTGGGTCAGACGGAGTTTCCCCTCGAGCAGCATGCCTAGCCTATCCTCCGCGACAAGGGGCACGCATCGTCGCGGTCGTTGTTGTTGTTGCTGGCGGGAAGCGGCTGCGGTTGGCGGAGGCTGGAAGGCACACTTTTGCTGCTCGAAAACCTGGGGTGATGCCGGAGGCGACGGGATTCCATAGGCATATTGCTGCATGATCCTGTGGAAGAAGAAAGAAAAGGTTCCAAAGGCAAGAGTCCTTATATCCGGTCCAATCCAGGAAGACGTAAGGAGGGCAAGTAGCCGGAATACAAGAAAAGAAAAATAGAGGATGAGTAAAGTCCACGAAAACGCTGGTACACTGGTTGGATCCTGATCCGGGTTCTGGTATGATTACAATAGGCCGTGATGTTGGCGTTGGTGGAACTTGAGATGTTGTCGCCGTACACAAGCTCGGTGGTCGGTGGTATTATGGCCCGGGTGGTAGTAGGATACGTACGTATGGCAATGGGGCGAGAGATCCTGATGGCCGAGCGAACGGGTCAGGGAGAGAGATTCAACGGAGTGAAGGAGTGTCGTGGTGTTGAAGAGAATGATCCATGGAAGAAGCGATGTGGGAAGAGGTGAGGTTGAGACGTGGTTTGAGGTCGTTATCAAGTGCTGCTGCTTGCGACCGATGGGGGTGGAAGACGGTTGTCCGGGCTTGCTGCGATTGTCGATAGAGATGGCACAGAGGACTTCCAGCTATCAAAGGGGTGGGCTTGACTGGGTTGATAAACAGGCCCATCGACACGCCGGAGCCAACAGGTGGGTGAGGCGTGACTCCACAGCAGCATGCCGAGCCCGAACCAGCGAGCGACCCAGCCCTCCCATCCGCACCTTGCAAGCAGGGGACCGGACTGGACTGGACTGGACTGGACGCTGGGCCTGACTGGCCTGGTGGCTCCAGTCCAGGAGCGCAGTGCAGTGCAGCAGCAGCCTGCACGCCCAACAACGACGAGCTGGCCTGCCTGCCTGCCTGCAGCAGGACCAAGAGAAAGACAGACCAGACCCGCCCGCCTGCTGCTGTGCCTCAAGACGCACGCGGCCGAGAGTGGAGCGCTCGGACAGCCTTTCTCAGGAGGCAGACCTGGTCCCACACACACCAGCAAAGCCAGAGATTGCTTCCAGTCCATCCCTGCCTGGCACGCCTGCTGTCTTAGCTTGGCCCCGGCGGCACACCAGTGAGGCTTGTCGACCAGACATTCTTCACACACTGGCGTAAGCCTGGCCTGCCCATGATTGTGCGAGACGGACAAGGGTGGAGCCCACCACCACCGTCTGACACAGATTGTGAGGCATACGGAATACCTGGCTAGCCGCCCGTTCGCAGTGCCTTCGGGCGGACCTGACCGCACCACCATCCTGCCGTTGCGTAATATAATGCCACGGTGTACGAGTGGCATTGTTCACTGTGAGCAATCAACTAGTGCTGAGCGTGGTGATGGATGCCCAGTGCGGCGCCGACCGCTAGGAGCGAATGAGCCCCTCCAGGCTGCCCCAGCCAGTGAGTAATTAGCTTCATCTGCCGCTGGCTGACCTGATCGACGGCCGAGGCTGTTTTTGCCGTCAAGGCGAACGAGTCAAGCATTACCAAATTGCGAGTAATAATAAATCTCCTGGTGATGTCTGCGGGTTGTAATGCTGGCACGATGAGATTGTCGACACAACCTCCCAGATCCCGTCCAGGTCTTGCGACGTGGCCTGACCGGCCTGACGCGCAAAGAGCGGGAACGTGAATGACCACAAGTGATAACTATTAGGTGGACCATCGAGCCATCTGGAACGCCCAGGCAAAGTTTGTTTCGTTCTGACGTTCTTCTGGCATTCTTCTGCCAGCAGCAGCAAAGGGGATGCGCGCGGTGGTCATTCCAGCGCTGCCAGCGTCATTGATTAGTCGCCCGCGATGTTTCCTGTCCAGTGACGAAGGATGCCAAAGAGATTGCCGCCTAGCAGGTGACGATCGCCACCACGATGGGGACGTGTATTCTGTCACCCGAGGCTCCTCGCATCGCACCGTGCTCTACCGAGACCTCACCTGCAGAGATCTTTTTCAGGGCCAATGAGCAGCCGCCCTGATGAGTTATGCAATGCTTAGCCTCGCCACCCCGTGACGCACAACGATGGCTTGATCGTTATGCAAGGTGCATTACGACACAGCCGATGCACCAGCGAGCACCACAAGACCGCTTTAGTGCGTGCTACTACACTGTGCAGGATCGTCCACCACGGCTCGTCCGGGAGAAATGACCATTGACGCTAGGCTCTCGGTCGCACTCGTGCCTGATCCTCAGCAACAGGCTACGTAGTTTACACAGTAGGACTATCATTAGGAGCTTGCTAGACACTTTTGCTAGTCTCGCTAGTGTCACGGCAGATTCAACACTTCCCAGGTTCCTTTGAGTTGTTCTGTTGTCGCAGCTTGATGCAGCATTTGATTAATTACTTTCTTCAGAGCAATATCGGCCATGCGCGCCGATAGTCGTTCCCTGCCGCTCAACGTGTCCTCTGGAGTCTGCCGTCTCTGACAGGCAAGACAGGGTAGTTGGGGGCAAAAAAGAGAATGGGTGGCTTCCCGTCAGCTCAGTGATTGGCCTGCTGCCACATCACACTGACTGAAATCCTAGTGGGCACTTGGCCATTCAAAGCACACGGATCTGCCAACATGGAGCCAGCATGATGCCGGCGAACTGCAAGACTGCGAGTGGGGAAGAAGTCTGAAGAAGCAGTGAAGCTGTGGGGCGCCATTTCGCTGGTCTGGCAGGCACGACACGAGGTCGAGCTAATTTTGTTGGTCAGTGATGTGCACGTCAGTTCATCACATCGTGAGCTTATTCAACCGGAGATTTGTGGTCGCTTTGGCTTGCTTGAAGATAGAGAATCCGCTGGAACTGTCTCGTATAGATATGCGCAGGAGGAGCATTCTTGCGAAAGTGAGGCAAAGGACCCCCTCGCTGGGTGGGACTTGGGCTGCGAGATTTTAGTCTTTTGTTATTGTATCACTTAAATGATCAGTCAGTATCAGTGTCTGGGGCACCCTGCGACGGGTCGCGGAATGGACTGGAGGCATGTTTCAGTGTTCTGAACCACTGTTGTTGATTGTCGACGCTTCTGCCGTGCTCAGCTTCGATTGTTTGCTGCGGGCAGGAAGGAGGAGTGGCGGTCAGGCATAGAGTTGCTGCCTCAGGCTTGAGCGCATGAACCACACTACGGCGGATTCGGTCAAGACGCGGGTATCTTGCGGCGCTTGCCTTTTCTAGGCTAGGCGCCAGATCTGCAAATCGCACGCGGTGACACGAGCTCCGCCTGGGCTGCGACGCTGCGACTATCATTGATGATTGGCTTTCATTGCCTCACTATGAATAACTATATGTACTGTGGTGAACATCAGAACTTTGTCACCTAACGAATCATCAACGACAATCTCAGGGGCTCCTCTTCACGCAGATCACTCAGCACGTCTGTAAACGCCAACGACGTCAATACGATCCGCGCATAAGCGAGGGAGGCACTTTGGCTGTTTGACTCTCGACCCGTGGTTGGAGCGATCCCTCGAACAGCGATCTTCTCGCGGATGTAGCCAACAACTTGCAAGTGCCAACCTTGACTATCGCTTTGGTGTTGTTCTACCGGGCGTCATCATTCAGCCATCTTTGCACAAACAGGCCAACGGTGCAGCGCCTCCCTGCATATTGGACGAGGATGCCCGATGCACCTCCTGATTCGATGCCCTCTGGCTGGGAGGGTGCGTACCCTGCCCAATCACGCTGCTCCACGGTCTGGCTTCATCCAGGCCACATCGAAGCAGTTAGCGTCAGCTTACCCTACGCGGCACTTTTTTACAGATCACGGCGACGCCTCTAGGCCATTTCCACGGAATTGCCATTTCACTTCCTTTTGAGGTCTGAAATAGTATTATGTGTTCGCACTAGTTGACGTGAGATTGTATAATAGCATTTCATGGCACAAAATGCGGGCTGTTACAAGTGGCAAAAACAGGAACGCGCCTAATTACAACCAATACACACTCAATGATTTCGGCGCAAGCGCTTGACACATTCAAATGTTCTACTCCGTAGATCAGCCCAAATTCGCCTCCCGACTTGCTTATGCAATTTCATTGTCGTCCATAGTTTTAACATTGCATGTGGCTGTGCCCAGAATTTAGAAGCACCATCGTCGCGATCGAGATGATCAAGCTCGCTCATCAAGAGTAACACGATTTATTGGTGTCTATCGTCGACCAACCGATAGTCCGTTTCCGCGACAGCCAGTGGCGCTCCCGGACGGAGTTCCCTGGTCGTTGGTTGGTTGGGTCGAAGGATGGCCCAAGAAATTGCGCACATGGCACGCGAGCCTTCCCGTGAACTATTGCCTAGTTGCCTCGCACCCGATTCGAAGGGACAGAATCGATAGTCTAGCCCATGATGTGACAGTGACCTAACCGAGTCTTGTTGAGATCCACAGCCACAGCCGTGTAAGTGGCATCATGATCTGGCTGAGACCTGCCAGCACAGAGTGAGTCAATGATTAGGGGTCCCCGCGACAAACCGTCACGAGACCTGTTTCTAGATTCCAAGGGAGGCTCGGCTGTCCCTCCCAAAGTGCACGAACGTGGAACATGAACCACCAACAAAGACCCTGGGGCTCCGCCACCCTAGAACTTTCCATCAAGTCTTCTGACTCCCTTGCCTACGGACAACGTGTCCATATCGCCACTGACAGGTAATACGTACCAGGTAGCTACCGAGACCTGCCAATGCGACGAGGCATTATGTCAAGCCCTGGTGATCCGAGATTCTGAGACCCGAACTGACGACAAGACGGGGCTGGGCAGACGACTCAGACACGGAATCTTCTGTGCGTCCAGACACCCAAGACCCTTCATTCGAGAGGCACGGGACACGACACAAACAAACAACAAAAAACAGACCACCCTGTTCCCCTTCTTTTCTCCGGTTAAACGCCCCTACCCGGCTTCTCCATCTGCGACCTATTTAGCTTAGCTTGTTGCTATACTGGGAGCCTGTAGGCGTCCACGTCGCTATTGAGGCTCTGCGCTGCACATCCCTAGAATAGGACTGGAGCTGGACAGATGGCTCTCCACTCACTACTCTCGAGCCACTCACTATACGTACGTAGCTAACGGTCCCGCTCACTGATGACTTGCATATACGTACAAACCAAGAGAGGTGAAATGTCAGTTGAGAAGTTCCCATGGAGGCTCCCACAGCATTGTGGCTCTCGACATGTGGCGGCTATGCGCTCGGACAGAAGAAGCAGTGACAGGGTTGAAAGCGCGTGTGACTGTCGTACCATAGGCAGTGGCTGGCCGGCCACGCCACATTCATAGTGCCGTGGCCTGAAGCCTATGGCGTGACATCGGGGGACCCGTCTTCCCGCCTTGTCTAGACCATCGGAGCGGGAAGACTAGACCGTCCACCACACAATAACATGCGAAAGCTCATACGGCACAGTTGAGTAGTCCTACGCAGAAGCATTTATCCAAGTGATATTCCCGACGTAACACCACGCATGCACACTCCGGCGGCGCCATGTTGGCCTGGACGTCTGCTGTTAACTCGTGCGTATCCTGCAATGTGCTCATTCACATCCCACCAGCCCGCATCACCCGTCCGCCCGTCTGTTTTGTCTACTTCCTGCCGCTGCTACCCCTGACCGACGTTGTGAAAAATGGATGTCGCAGTGCATCAGCCGGCTTCAGCCTCTTGTCAGGATTCAGCGCCAGGCACTGCTCTAGCAAATCGATAAACTGATGGAGCTCTCGCGTCTCGCCCTCGGCCATGCCACTCGATGCAGCCATTAGCCGCGTCCGTAAGTCGCGGGAAGGCTTGGCCATGGACAGAGTCTTCACATTCGTCTAAAAGATCGTGTCAGCAGACCGTTGCTTCTCGTTCAGATGGATCTGGACGGGGGTTTGAAATGCAACAGGATCCGCGAGCAAACAAGCCTCGCATAAGCCTTAGTAAGAAAGGGACGGATGGGCCAACATTCCGAATGGCCGGGCAACGGCTCACAGAATCACATGGCCAGGAAGGATTGCGACGAAGCGCCCCCCCTGCCAGCTCACAGTGATTCTGGCCCAAGGCCAAGGCGCCGTTGGATGCCTTGCATGAGCAGGGCGCCAAAACGCATTGCTCGGCGACGGCACATGCGGCACAAGACCAGGAAAAAGTGCAACGTCTGAAATGGATGGGGGCAGGAAGTGCAGGCAATCAAGAGCGAAACATACCTTTCCGAGAACGCGATCGCGCTCAATGCTGATGAATTGTCCAGCTTCGTCAAAGTGCTGGGCTGACAGCTGACCCCGCTTGTAGAGTTTGGGCGTAATGCGGCCACGCACATCCATGATGGCCTTGAGCATCTGATTGTTGCTGTCGCCCGCAAACAGAATCTTGCCTGTATACAACTCGTACAGGGTGCAGCCGATGGACCACATGTCGACGCCGTAGTCGTAGGGCATGCCCAGGATGATCTCGGGTGCGCGGTAAAATCGACTGACCAGGTACGGCGTGATGACCGTCTGCGCAGTCGCCGCGTCGGTCTTGTCAATAGCCGTTCCCAAGTCGCAGATTTTGAGCACATTGTGACCCTCGTTGACCAGGATGTTGTCAGGCTTGAGGTCGGCGTGTACAATACTGCACTTGCGCATGTGTGCGAGTGACACAAAGATCTGGTACGCGTACGTCCGCGTTGCACCGAGGTTGATGCCGACATTGTTGCCGAACTTGCGGAGCACCTCGCGCAGGTTCAGGCTCAAGTTTTCAAACACCATGCACAAGTGACCCCGATAATCAAAGTGCCGCTCGAACTTGATGATGTGCTTGCGGTCCTCCGGGTCTGCACTGTTGAGTTTCTCGAGTATTGCAATTTCGGTATAGCCACCCTTGCGCAGGGCGTCGTTGTTACGCATCACCTTGATGGCGACGAGCTTTTTGGTGGTGATGTCGACAGCTCGCAACACATTGGAGAACATGCCCTTGCCCAGTGTTGCCTGCACCTGGTAGCGTCCGCTGAGGATCTCGCCCACGCGCATCTTGTAGTAGCCGTCCTTGTCGTCGCCTTCCAGGATACCACCTTTGGGCTCGTCGCCAGCCTCAGCGCTTTCAAGGGGTGCCGCTTTGGGCGCTGCCGTGGTGGCGTACTTGTCCTCGTCAAAGTCTTCGGCAAACATGTCGAAATCGTCCTCGTCCTCGTCACCATCCGTGTTGTTGCCAGTCTTCAGTGGTTCCGTTTGCACCTGCTCGGTCGTCTCGACGACTTGATGCACTTCACCATGAAGGACGACCTGGCCGTGACGAAGTTCATCTCGGCGCTCATCCTCTTTCATGTCCACTGTTGGATCGTAGTCAGCAGCCGATGGTCCATCCTCTTCTTTGTCTTTGACGTTGTGCTTGTTCATGAGGTTGCTATCATTGGAGAGATCAATCCCGCCAGGAGAGGACTCATCACGAGAAGCTGGGGAGAGAGGAGACCCGTGATTGGAGATTGGCGTCCTCGGTGTCTGAGGCGAGTCAACGTCCATCTGCGAACCACCAGCTGTATTCAGTGCTGGTGAGCTGCCGCGGACTTTATCCCCAGCACCTACAGCATGTAGCAGAAGGGGCGTTGCCGAGCTTGACTTGGCCAGAATCTCTTCCCGTCGCCTCCGTCTTCGCTCGATCTCTGCTTCTTCGTCAACCGGCTGGGGCTCTGCATAGTCTGGTTCAGGTTCCGGCGTCTTTCGTGTTTCCATCGGAAGAGCTTCATCAGCCGCTTGAGCACCACCTTTCAATGGTATGGCGTCACGCGTATCGTCTTGGGCTGATGTCCTCGTCGTGTCGGAAGCCCTCGGCTCTCGTGGACGACGACGTTCGTCCTTGCGATCGTCATCATATCTCAGCCCCCCATTCGAGCTGTGATGCCTGTTCACAGGACTTCCCCTCACAAAACGGTCAAGTCGTTTGTTATCGGCTCGACGGTCTCGATCGGGTGTGCGGCTGCGATTGCGCTGTCTTTTGTCGGGGTATGGATCGCGGAAGCGATCCCGCTCGCGACTCCGGTTACAATCTTCGTCTAGGTCGTCGTATGAGACCCTAGGGCGGTGATATCGATCTCCTCCGCGATCATCGTAGCCTCCTCTGCGCCCATTGTATTCCCTGTCATTGCGGGACCGCTTGTACCCCCTAGGCGATCGACTCCGTCGGGAGGAGGCGCTGTGCCGCGAGGCCGTGTCATGTTCAGGCGATGTATCGCGATGTCTGTCTCTTCGGTCAACACCGTTTTCTCTAGCAGCGCGCTGCAGTGAAGATGCCTTCAAATCATGGGGCGCATCAGAGATTTCGCCTTCGTCCGAGCTCAACGTCATGATGGGGAGCAATTGCAGTGTAGCTGTGCGCGCGCGTACAGTTTTCGCAGCTGGATCTAGATCCACAAGGGATCTTCAGAGCGTAAAGATGGAAGGTCAGCAAGAAGGCCTTGAACAGAGTGTGCAATGGAATAGTGCCGAACCAGATCAGCGTGGACTGCTCAGGACATGACAGTTGAAAGGGTGCGACTCGATGACTGATAGTGCTCAGATCAAGCAGACAAGTTGGAAAAGTGCAGATTCTGGTCAAGGTAGACAGTGCTGGTGGCGTTGCAGATGCACACTGAAGCATGCGATGATGACCAAGGTGAACGTGAAGTTTATCCCAGACGGCGGTTGCCGGCGATTGCAGGCGATTGCATAGGAGGGACCATGTGACCCACTTATTTGTCAGCAGCCTGGACCCTTCATCCCGCTTTGGTCGAGAAAGCCGCAGCGCCTGATGGTCAATTTTATTTTCGCCAGCGCATTGCGACCCTAAGTCTTCCGAATTCCCTCATCTTCCTCCAAAGACCTCATATCTCCATAATGGGTGGTTCCAACCGAGAAGGTACGGACGACCCGCCCAGCGATCCCACAATGTGCGACTAACCCCTCGTTCAACAGGCGGCAAGGCCAAGCCCTTGAAGGCTGCGAAGAAGCAGAACAAGGACCTCGACGAGGATGACCTGGCCTACCTCGAGAAGAAGCGTGCCGGTACGAACCCTCGAGTCGCAGTAGTGATCAACAGCTGACCCAGAATAGACGAGAAGGCACGGAAGGAGCTGGCGGCCAAAGCGGGTGGCAAGGGACCGATGAATACCGGCAACCAGGGAATCAAGAAGAGTGGCAAGAAATAGACGACTGATCTGGGATTGGAGGCGACAAGGCACGGCTGGTAGTCATCGGGAGCCACGGTGTTTGGGCGTAGATATCGCTGCGATGGATTGACGACCTACACGAAAGCATGATTTCAAGGCTGACCCATTCTTCTCTGCTCGTGATGCCCAACTCACGAATGAATAACGAACAGCTAAATCTGCAGAGACTATACCAGACTCAAAGTTTGCGACAGTGACACCAACTTAGCGTCACTGAGCAGGCGCTCGATGAGCGCCACCCGGAGATGCTGAAAGCCCGTCCTTGCACCACATTTAATTATATCGTCCTTCGTAATCTGATCGACCAAAGTCGCTGTAAATGTCACGTTGCGACATGTCACAGGCGCAGCGGTGCAGCTGATACCTCGGACGGGGCACTTCGACATGTGCACGTACCGCCGGTCTCAACAAATTCATGATCCACCACAACCTCTCAACATCATCAGTGACAGTTGAAAAGGCCCGACCGACCCCGTCTCTCCTGACATGCCACCATAAGGTAACAACCACAAACACACACAATGGGCGACCAGAGCACCCTTCGCCAACGCCATGTTGACCCCTCAACACCAGCCGCCCCAGCGCCTTCCACCAAGCCAACCATCTCCAACGCCCTCCTCAGCTGGGATGCCATCGACCACTGGCGCCGCGATAATCACTACATCACAGGTGGATATCGCATAGATAAACCATCTTACCACCATACGTTCCTTTCCTTGAGGCATCTTCACAATGAGAGCGTCAACATCTGGTCGCACCTACTGGGCGCCGTCATTGCGGTCTTGTCCTCGACCTACCTCTACACGCAGATCAAGCCACGCTACGAAAATGCGAACCAGCAGGACGTCCTTGTTTTTGGCTGTTTCTTCACAGGCGCGTTTCTCTGCTTGGGTATGAGCGCGACCTTTCACGCCTTGCTCAGTCACAGCCAAGACCACGCGAAATGGGGCAACAAGCTTGATTACATGGGCATCGTCTTACTGATTGTTGGTAGCTACGTGCCAGCACTCTACTATGGCTTCTTCTGTGAGCCGTTACTCATAAGGTACTACCTGGTTCTGGTAAGGATATTCCCGGTATCGCTGTTGTGTGGGCAAGCTAACGAACGACCAGATCTTCACCCTCGGAACTGGCTGCGCTCTCGTCTCCTGGGTGGACAGATTCCGCACCTCGGCGTGGCGACCTTACCGCACTGCCATGTTCATCGCGCTTGGCCTGTCTGGCATCGTTCCCGTGGCCCATGGCGTCACCATCTTCGGCTACTCTGGTCTCGATGATCGAATGAGCATCAGCCTTGTCATCCTCCATGGGGCAATGTACATCTTCGGCGCTGTACTCTACGCCTCTCGATTTCCCGAAAGAATGGGACCGGCCGGCCGCTTCGACATCTGGGGCAGTTCGCATCAGATCTTCCACCTCTGTGTGCTGCTTGCCGCAGGTACGCACCTGTACGGCATGGGCAAGGCGTTCGACTACCACCATACCGGTCTTGGCTCGACGTGTGTGCTCAATTGATCACTTCTTGTCCAATCCCAAGTCGAGTATCTGAACCAATCCCGAGCCCACGGCCACGGCAGCCCAGCAACCGCATCCTTCGTTCGGGTTCCATTCTACCGCCGTGACGCGGGTCAAGGGCTCGTGAATGACGACCCTGGACCGGTCCTGCGTCGATACCTTGGCAGTGCGCGACTTGACATGATCCGCCTCCCCGTCCACCTCCTCGTCGTACTCGTTCTTCAACTTGCCCTTCTTGGTCTCAACGACGGCGTGGCGGCTCTTTTCGGGCTTAAAGCCGCGCATGAATCTCGAAGCACCGCGCTGCGAGGCGGGTGAGCTCGGCTCGAACCGCTCGGCGGGACGGTGTTCATGCTGGAACACCTTGATTCGCTCAGTGAGCTCGCCACGGATGTTGGTGAGCTGCATGACCTCGAACTGCGGGTTGATAGCCCAAAGTGACCCGTCGGTCGTTCCTATGAGGGCGAATGGGTGCGTTTTGCCAATGGCAAGGCAAGTCAAGCGGCTGTCGCCCGTGAAGACTCGTTTCGTGACGGGAAAGGAGGCGTAATGCGAGAATTGGATGACGGAATTGAAGATACTCGATGACGGATTCATGAAGAAGTAGCCTTGGAGGTGCTCACTCCAGTTTAAGATGTTGGGTGTGGTGTTGACAGAAAGCATCGGAATTTCCGCCGAGTCGTTGCTCGGCCTTCGCAGGTCGACAAGCCTCACCATGCCACCGATGGGTACCGATGCCACAAGGTATGGTTGGGAAGGGTATCCGGAAGCCATATCGATAACTGGACTGTGATGGACGGCATGGCGAGATAGAAGTCGCTCGGGGTGAACGGACCAGAGCGCCACAGAGCCGTCGTTGTAACCGATAGCAATACGGTTGAAGCCAACCCAAGTCATACTCAGGCCTGGGACATCGTCATCTAGGCGGAACTTCGCAATTTGCCCTTCAACCTTTTCTAATTGGTGTCAGCGTTTGTGATTATTTGACCCGCACGAACCAGTGGACTTACGATAGAGTGTGTCGCCGCCTGCCAAGGGATCGATGACAAGGACAGATCCATCACCACAGAGGATGGCCAAATGACGGCATGCCGGACTCCATTTCAACCGCCGAGCTCTCCCACTTTCAGCGCAGATGGTTCTCAGCAGGATCGGCTGATGCTGCGACATTGTCACACTGCCCTCCGTCACGTCGCTTTGGCACTCCCAGATTTGCACTGTGCCGTGTTGATGGAAATCTGGCCTGGCTGACTCCTGGTCGTAGTCATAGGTCTCCTGATCCTCTTGGGGGATGACAGCCAGGGCCAGTAGCTGGGTCTCATGCGGCTGTTTCCTTGACCAGTCCATGTTAAGCACCAAACCACCCGCATCGACCACCCACCCACTGGGTGTCTGCTCGTGCAACTGCTCCTGTGGAATGAGCAACCCGTTGCTCTGAATACTGATAGATGTGCCAAAGCTCGTCGACTCCACTTGCGGGTCATCTTGACTACCCAGCAGAATCTGTAGATTCTTTTCAGGGTGTATTCGGTAAGGCTCGCTTTCCTCGTCAGACAAGCCAACAAGTGTCGTCCGTTGCGAGGAGTCGGCCTCCAAGCTCTCCCTCCACCTTGGCAGAAAGCTTGCCTCGCTTTCATAGATTCCATCTTCCCATACACCCTTCCTTCCACCAACCGGGATGGGAGCGCTTGGTGGCAGGAGGGGCCACTGTAGCCACCTCTCCAGTAGACCAAATGCCTTGCGCAGCATCTCCTCTTCAGGCCCATACCAGGTCTTGACTAGTGTAGGACCTCGAAAGTACCGCTCAAAGGAACCGGCATAGCCTCTCGGTGCATCCATGGTCCACGCCATGGGCTCTAGAGGCCAGTACTCCTTGCCTGCGCCGGTAGTTCTCAACTTTGCATAGTTGCCTGACTTGGTGCTTTTCTTCGCGGGCGTTGATACAAGCGTTGGTCTTTCACTCTCATCGACGGAATGGACGGATGATGATTCTTCGCCTGAGTCGTCGTCCTCAGAGGGCGCGTCTTGTTGCGCACTCGCAGTACCGTCCTCGTCAAAGTTGGAGTCGTGATCTGAAGCATCGGCGTGTCGGCGTCGGGTGCGGGAACTTGCTGCAGCTGACTCTTCGATTTCCTCGTCATCGTCCTCGATAAGTAGAGGGTCGAGGACGAATGATTTTGATTTATTGCTTTTGCGCGTTCGCATTGTGCTCTGGTGATGTGAGGTCCATGAGAGATGAGAGGGTCTGAATTTGGAGTGAAAACGCGGGATGAAGTCGCAACTTGTTCGCGCCTTTCAGATTACCCTAGAGACGGCGTGTGAAGATTCTGAAATCTGAACCGCATCCATCATCCTGAACCTTGAGCTACTCTCGTCCATGTACTTTGCAAAAATGCGTCCAGTGGAGCTCGTAGATACGTTTTATTATCTTCTTAAAAACGCCGATGCCAGTTTCGGCTGGCCGTAGATGTCTGATATTTATCGCTGCCACATTGCAATTCGACATTGCTCATGCGGAATGACAACCGCCAGCGCGACAACGTTCCTCACACGCCCACATCCCAAGGCGATACGAGCGACAGAAAGCTTCAATTGCGCGGCAACGAGCATCATCACTTCATATGTTCATCTATCTCATCTGACTAGATTACACGCTTGTTCAAGCAAAGCGGTGGTGGGCAAGCTCGTACAGATACCCAGAGGTAACCTTGACGTGCTCCTTGATGTGGTCGTAGCTGATGTGCTCCATGGTGTCGTTGGGCGTGTGGATGTAAGGGTTGTGGTTTCCAAATGGCGCCTCGAAGAGGAAGCCGGACGGGAAGCCATTACGGTTGGCCGAGGCATGGTCTGAGCAGGCATAGCCGCAGGTGGACTCCTCGTAGCCAATATCGGCATACTCCTCAATGAGGAGCTTGAGGAACTCATTCTGGGCGGGGTCGACGTTGTCGACAATGAGACCGAAGCGCTCGTTGCCGTCGCGGCCGGCGTAGCCAACCATGTCTTGGTTCAGCATACCCTCGACCTGGATGCCGAGGCGGGCGTAGGTGTTGAAGAGGTCCTGCGAGCCCAAGAGGCCAGTCTCCTCGGCCGAGTACCAGTGGAACTCGATCGTGTTGAGGTGGTCGCCCTCGGCGATGCGGGAGTCCTCGAGGAGAGCAGCGAGGATGTTGAGCTGCATAATGGACGCAGAGCCGTTGTCGTCAGCGCCAGGGGCGCGGCCGGCACCACGATCGTTCGAGATGACCGAATCAAGGTGAGAACCGGTGATGACAGTCTTGAGACGAACCTGGCCAGGGATCGACACGACAATGGAGGGCTGCGACCATGCCTGGTGCTGGATGAGGCGTGACGAGGCAAAGGGGTGACCGCTGTTCTTGATCACCTTCTTGACCTCCTCGTACAGCCATTCGGCGGCCTCGACACCGTACCTCGAGTTGAAGTAGCGGTTGTGGAACGACGAAAAGCACTGCATCTGTTTCTTGACCTTGTCGAGGTCGACCTTGGCGATGATATCCTCGACGGCAGCCTTGTGGCTGACCGAGCTGGGATAGGTGCGCGCAGCCATGAGTCTGGCCTCGCTGTTGGCGGGTTTATGATCCTTCCACTCGGTGATGTCGAAGAAGTGGATGTGGTCCTGGGCAGTGAAGATTAGCACTGGCTCCTTATCGCGCAGCTAAGATGAGCACCCACGTCAATCATCTGGATTTTCTCGTCCTCGGTCACCTCAACGGTCTCACCAGGCGCCGTCTCGAGTGTGTACAGCTTGACCGCACGCTCCTCCAGGGCCTCGGACGGAGCCATGCACGACGCACTGGCTGCGAAGGCAGCGACGATAGGGATGGAGTAACGCATCTTGACGGGAGTGTCTATGTGTGGTTGAGACGAGCAGACTGGCAAGAGTGGTGAGGGCCAATCCTCGTCTCACCGACGCAGACTTCCCCTCATATAGTCGTACAGAGTGGCGGGGATCGCAGCCCGACGCCAGGACAATAGTTCCTCGCAGTTGTCCCCCAACCGCCGGGGCATCTCAGCCAAGAGCTTTGGCTCACCGCATGGGGAAGCTCGGTGGGCGCACCGGATGGTCTAGCTGCAGCGTGCTCGTGAGGTCTCGCAATCGAGACCCGGAAGAATCACAGGTTGACAGAAAAGACCCGCGTCTGTTCCTGGAAGTTGCACAAGGACCCCTTGCGAAGTCCCCATCGGCGAACAGGAAGTTGCAGAATCCCCGCATAATGCAAAGAGACCAGTCGCTGCTTCGGGAAGGTCGACCATATGGAAGGGCTTGAGCTGACAAACTACTGTGAGCCAAGCCTTTTGCCGAGAGGCTAGCGATGCGTCGTGAATTTTGTCGAGCAATTTGTTTATGGTTGTTTTTGAGCTTATTCGGAGCCACTCGAGCCAGCCTCCTCACCGTCCCAGATCACTCTTCGAGGTTGCTTGAGGGCCGAGTTTCATTGCCCACATGTTGTCCAGGCTGCTGCGCGCTTTGCAGAGGGTTTGAATTGATATCACTGCTTTCTCCGGACAAATTTCGTACGCGAGGATTTCGACTTTTCACATTGGTTGTGAGGTGGCGTGTGGAATGAGCAACCGCACCCGCATCTGGCCAACTGAGGAGAACCGAGTCAAAGCCGGAGAGTGGTGAAGTTAATTGTCGGGCTTGAGTCGTGACCGGGAGCGATCTCCGTTTTCTTTCTCGACGTCCGGTCTTTTGGGTCGACAGAGATGGAGTGCAAAAGAAAGGACAGAAGGGGTTCTGGCACCCTTTTCTACGCCCAAGTCTGCGCCATCAAGGTACATGCATCATGGTGCGTCCAGGGCTCTCGTGCTCTGGGACCGGGGACCGCATTTCACGACGAATAAGATTAGTGCTCATGAATAGGTGCCGCTTAAAGTTAACTGCCCTTATATTGCATGGCGTTCCGCTGTATCTGTTGCTTCACTACAACAACACAAAGTGATCGGAATGTCCCTTGATATAACTTTTTATTAGCCACGGATCACCAGATTCCTACTGTAAGAATAGCTTAAAGATAAATGTTCCTACCGAATTCCGAGATAGAAGACTTCGTGGATACTACCGAATTCCTATATGAGGGGATTATATATAGTATCCGTTTACTGAGATGATAGTTAGTGAATCTTAGTATAAGTGGAACAATTATAAAAAAGGTAACATATATCTACTAAAGATGAGAGGCTCTTTTGAATAAATACAACATGAACTATTCAAACGCTAATTCTCATGGAACAGCAAGGCCGCATGGACATCAGGGGCAAAACCCTTCCAGCCAACCTCAAAGCCGGTCATCACACTTGTAGTCTGGCAGCGGATAACTATTTGTTACTGCTCGCAAAGGACCCTCCAAACCACCCCCAAACGTTTTGCATGTAATTTATCAACCCACACCGAGCCAGGAAAGCAAAGAAGGTGTTTCTCAAGGCCAGCCACCACTGGGTCTGAGGTGCCATGAATGACATGCCACCAGACGGCAACTTGTGCATGTCCTCAAAAATTGGCCTGATCCGGTCTTCATACGCCTTGAGACCAGCGGCGACGTCGCCTTTACTCTGCGAGAGCTCGCCAGCCAGTACATATCCGTCCGCCAGGGCAAGAGATGTGCCCGCGCCTGGCGCGCCGTCGTAGCCTGCGTCGCCGACCATGGTGAATCGACCTTTCGGAAGGGTGGGAGGGTTCACCTGAATCCACTCTCTGGCGTAAAAGTCGTCCGTGGCTTCCATATCTTCCCGCATTAACCGAGGCATGATCCAGCCCATGCCCCCAAATTCTTCCATGGCATATTTCTTCAACGCCTTATTTCCTGTTTGCTGGCTTCTCGAAAGGGCAGGATATGATCCTCGCTGTCCCGAGGGAACATGCGCATCGCGACAACCCGATTGCCGCCTTTGGGGGCTGTCTGCACCGCAACAAACTTACCAGGAGCAGCATTGTGTGCGTGTCCAAGCTTTGATCCGTCGAAATAGACGTGTTTGGTGGAGAAATAGGCGGCCCATACGTTGAGGTGTCGCGCGTGGTCTCGAAGGCCTATGCCAAGTCCGAGGGCTCTGGTCCGGGACGTTGCGCCATCACACGCAACTACGAGATCGTACTCTGCGGGCGGCATCGTGGTTGCGAATCCGACCTTGATGGGGCCATTGTCCTTCTCACCGTGCTGCAGTGAGGAAATCTGCTCCCCAAAGACGCAGCTGATGTTGGGGTTGTCCTTGGTCTTGTCGTAGAGAATCCGAGACAAGTCGTCCCGGAAGATCTCATATTCTGAAAGAAGCGACTGCTGGTCAGAGTTGCCCGTGGAACGAATCACACCATATGGGTGGCCGTTCTCTCGTACGAATGCAAAGCCCTCGATGGGCGCTCTGTTGACTCGTACCTGGGCTTCCATATCACCCATGTTCCTCATTGTCGTGACGCCGACAGTCCGGATATCTATGGCATGGCCCCCCCTTTCTTAACCTGGAGAAGAGCTCAATGACCGTGACTTTGGCGCCTGCTTTGGCGAGCTAGTAGGCCGTGGACGGACCGGCGATGGACGCGCCCACCACAAGGACTCTGAAGTTGGACATGCCGCATAGTGACCGTGGGCGTGATGAGAAGAAAGTCAATCACATGGCAGTCGCTCTTCGAGTTTTATCGCACTTATATCAGTCCCCGAACTTGCCACCGACATTTAGTCGGAGTCCAGCAATCCGAGACCACGCACGTACGCCAACAATACGGGTATCACTGCTAGTTCACGATGCGCCGGCACGGACTAGCCGGCTGTCAACCTCGTGACTGCCGGCTCTCGCTAACTTGAATGCAACGGTCTACTTCCATTGGTGCATATCCGAGTGTCTGCGCCATCGACGACTGCTCGCCATTTTCCGTCAATCATGCTGCATTAACTGCATGCTTAGCCTCAGGGTCTGCCCATGCTCCATACCCGTCGGCATGATGTTCGCCATCAGCCGCTCGAGACAGCTTGATGAAGGGTGAGCCTTTGAGTTGTTCCTTCGCAAGTGAACAGATGTTTGTCCAGCACAAAACTTAGGTATTGAACACGAGCGAGATTATTCAATCAATTAAAGTCTCATAGCATCCAGGAGCAAGGAGAAGCGTATGAATCAAACGATGTTGTCTCTGAATTCTTCCGCCAAGGTCTTAGCTCTCCATGAATTCTCCCACTTCAGCCACCTTTCAGCAAGAAAGCGTTGCAACTGATCCCCAATCAATCCATGTTCATGATCGCTGAACCACTCTTCGTTCTCCTGCGTAATAGAGTATGCTAAGCTATTCCTCTGCTGCACATGCCAGGCCATTGCTGGATCCAGCTCAGTTGTCACCTCCTCGATGAGCAACGCCTGGCTTGCGAACGTCTGTGCTTCCACCTCACTCGTGGCTCTCTCCAGCTCGCTCGGCGAGAGAGTCGCCAAGACACGGCATACATACATCATAGTATATATAAAGAACACGCGAAGCCGGATGCGATCGGGTGACTCAGCTGAGGTTGGAAGGCCGAAGAGGGACTGCGGGTGTGGTGCTGCATGCTGATACATAACGTGGTCATTGTGCAACACGTCATGCATACTATTCGCCTGCTCATAGATAGCCGAAATTCTTGTAGAGTAGTCGCATCGATGTGGTGCCTCTTCCAGGAGGCTTCGTAGATCCTTCAGTATACCAGGCAGGAAGGCCGTTGTTGCAAAGAGCTTCCACCAGAGCCGGCAGTCTGTGTCCGACTGGAGACCAGAGGCGCGCTGAAAGGCCCTCTGCCACTCCTGAGATGCGAACATTGACGGTTCATTCCTGTGCATCTCCTCTACTACCTGTGAGACGATCAGTTTAGCTGGAAGGGCGACACCGCACAGGCCGTGACCAACAATGGATGGCCCTTGGCTTTTGAGAAGCATCCAGTCGAATTTGGACGTGTAGCATCCAGGGCCTCGGAGCTCAAGTAGCTTAATACCACCTCTGTGATGATGGGCTAAGCGAATTATATCAGGGGGACCGATCAACTGCATGACGGTACTGTTAGGCCATCATTTCCTTGACTGAAACCAAAATAGGGGCTTCTTACCTCGTAAAGTACCAAAAGTCGGGTCACACAGTAGACGTCCGACCCTGTGCATTCCTTACTGTCCCAGAGGGCAGCCTGCAGGCTTCTCAATGCCCTTCCATAGAGAACAGAGGGCGTGGATTTGGGCATCGGGAAGCCAAGCATCTGGCCAGCCTTTGCAGCAACACAATGCATAGCATCATCCAGACAGGTGCTGGAGGCGCCATAGCGGCTTGGCAGTTCAGCCAAGAATGAGGAGTGCCGTTTCTGAAGGAGGCTGGCGAGGCGATGTGGTTCATCTCGCAGTAGACGGCAAGCATTTGTTGCGAGGTCCACATCCGTGAAACTGGTCAGATCCGTCACATCGAAATTATACTTGGCCCTGAACGTCTCGTATTCACTGGACACGGGCTGTGGCATGATAAGACCAAGGCTTGGGACGTTACGCCTGGGATTCCCCCTCCACATGCCGTCCCTCCTTTCGGCAGCCTCAGGTGTGCCTCGAGCGTTGCCTCTTTTGGGGATCAGCGCTTGAGAATTCGGCAAGGTGCCGATGGTTTCCTGACTCGCAGTTTGACCTTGGCGACGGGTGCGGCCCGCTCTTGCAGCCTGCTGCCGGACGATAGTCTTTGCCTCATTCTTTCCAAGTCCAGTCGAAGGAACGCCGCTGGTTTCCACGAACACGAAAGCCGGTCCGGCCTTTGCACGGCTGCGAGGCTTTCTGAGCGGCAGCCCAGCTAGCATGGCTCGTGCAATAATGGTCTAGGAGCAGGATGATAAGCGGAGGGAGAGTCAAGAACACCCGCTGACAGCCAATTGAAGACGGCATGAGGCCACCCAGGAACATGCAGCTGGCCAAGGCGCAATACTTTAGGCCCTGATCGGCTCGCCCGACAAGAGCTTCTAGGACAAGACAAAGGCTCGAAATACCCATATTTATTGCACAAAAAAACAAACCTTCCCTTTTTCAGACAGAATCCCAAAATACGGGGCCTATGCCCCTGTCCACGAAGTATCGCGCTAGGCAGGGATTCTCACTATACCAAATTCTGGCACAGACACTTGAGCAATTTTGAGTTTCTGGCGTTTGTCCGGGTCACGTTTTATTTATATCACGGACAAGATTGTGAAGCCGGACAAAGACAGTACGGGAGGATTTCCCCACTATTTCACAACCATAGAAGTCTCTTCTTTTGTCTTGTCCTCGAGTTTGTCGGGCGAGCCGATCAGGGCCTAAGATATTGCAGCAGCCAGCAATGGCGCAGCATTTGCCGTTTTAGGCGTATGCAGGGCCCGCGCGCTACGTATGCACGCGACATATGATTGCAGTTAGGGCGAGAATAGCCAAACGGTTCACATCGAATGGCAGCGGTCTGGAATTCCCATTTCTGCGATGCCCGGCTGCATCCCCCAGTAGGAGTGAAGCACAGAAGCAGAAGGATTTCTTTCACACCGTGCATGCAGCTAATAATGCTTCATTGTCTATTGGCTGAGCTAAATGCACCTCGCCGAGTGATTATAGGCGAGAAATGCGTTTCTGCCTAGCGCCAAGATGTGCTCGCTCTATGTCTGCTTGGTGGAAATGTGAGGCTGAGAGGATTAGCCCTACGTACATGTAACATCCAAAAGTATGTTTTTAAATATTATCCACCGTCAAATGTCGCAACATCACCCATTTAGATTCGCTACAAGCAGCAGTTCCTCGAGTATTACCTCTTCGTTTGGTAAGCGTTCGCTGCTATACACGTGCATCTATCTCGACACCTCTTCAGAAATCAAAATTGCACCACTGTGCTCGCATCATGACAGTAACAGCGTGCCACAGCCATTGAAGAAGAACCATGAGACAACAATATGACTCGATAGCAATGGAATACTGGCCTTCCAGCGATCGCAGGCCACAACGCACGGCTCGGATCTGCAACTACCCAGACGTGGCCTACAAGCTGGATGCTGCGTCTATCAAGCATTCTCCGGCCTGGTTTGAGGCCTGGGGCGGCACCATTCTCGGATGGATCATGGTCGTGCTGCTCACGCTCTTCCAAGCGGGCATTTTTGCCATAGGAATAGCCATGATCTACACGAACGATGCCAGCATCGATGAGAGCAGTCCCGATTTCGCTCTTTACAAGAACTCCCGCTTCCACGAATGCGTCAATACCACACCTGAAAGCGTGGACTGCACGTTGCTACAGGGGAATGCGATCGATATGTCCACCGAGGGAGACGAACAGAATCACTTCTTGATAGACATGGTGTTCCACGATTATCAGAACAACACTACTGAACATCCCACATATACATGGTGCGAGGTGGTCAGCTGCCTAAAAGACTTCAAGATCCTTCCGACAACTCTGCGCCCATCAGCTCTGCAACTCCCCAGTTGGAAGACGTGGTTCCAGTGCAACATCCAGGCGATCATCGCAGCATGGGCTGCTCGCACATGGATAGGCGCGCAGTCACGCAAGTCTCGTTCGGCATGCAAGGGAATCAGCATCAAGGACTGGGGGCCAGCCGTCTACACCATCGGCGCCACAGTGTACTGGTGGGTGGATTTCATCCGCTGGTGTACCAGGCCGGACTACCACGCCTTTGTCTCCGTCATCGAATGGATCTCCACTTGGACGTTAGCATACAAAATGGGATATCACCCATTTTCTTGCATATTCAAAGAGGACTCGAGGTGGCGCAAAGTCCTTGCCGGGATCCTGTGGACTACAACTGTCGTCCAGTGGGTTATCAGTTGTTACCTCTTCAGCCGCTACTGGAAGGAATTCTTCCCCCCAAGCCTCGAATTTGCGCAGAGATACGACTGCGTCCAGTCACAGGTGGCGTCTGCACCGGGTCAGTCGTCGTGCACTCCAGACCAGCTCTGTTCGATCCCGTGGTTATTGACCAATCCCGGGTGGAACGGATGGTCTATGGAGGCCGGATCTTCAAACTTCTTTGCCCAATACGACATTGCAAACATTATGCTTGCACTTTTATTCTTCTTCTCGACGTTTACCTTTGTGTCTGTTCCTCTAGTCGCCACGGCCACAAGAACTTATGCAATTCTCCGTCCTGATCGGCATCCCGAAAGATCGCTTTTCGGCGACCTGGTCTACTTCAATGATGAGATTGGGGGACCTGTCATATCAGGAGCAGTGGCTGCGCTCGTTTCTCTCTGCTTTAGCGCCCTCTTGCTTGGTCACACCCCTGCAACATGGAACTCATTGAACAGAGAAGGTCCAGTGGCCTACGACTTGGATTGTAGTGCGGTCCATGTCATTGCTAGTCCATGGAGGCAGTATGTGGACATTGAGTATGGCCGCGCTTTGAGGTTCGTCAGGATGTGGTTTAGTATCTGAGGCTGGAAAGGCAGGCCGAAGAGCAGAAGGGCGGAGAAGGATGAGAACTTCATCAGACACACAAGGCCTCAGATGTTATCGTGGTATTCGGTGCAGCAAATTTCTCAAGTTGAATGTTTACTAGAGTACATGTAAATTTGGGTGACATCCCAATTACCTTGGTGCTCAAGCCTGTGCTTGTTAGATGTACGCTCCAGACAACATACAGGACGACCAGAAAAGCTGCAGCTGCATGTGTCATACGACCATATATGCAATGCGTCTAATGAATGGTACTGGGGGCTGGGAGTTGCGGTAATTTTCTCAATCGACCCAAGACGGTACTTTATCGACTTCCGCTGGAGCGACGGCCTTTCAAGCAGAGCCCTGAGGCTCAAATTGGCATTTTGCTGCAACACTGCCACTATTACTTATTTATGTTTCGTCATATGTTCATCTTGTCAATCCACGCATAGCCCGTACTGTGGCCACAGGGCCATCGGATGGACTCAGGGGTCCCTGATACTCCCCACCCAACATGCATTCTACCCTGGCCGATAAACAGGTAGCGAGGCTCACAGCACAGAAAACCCTTGCATCTTGAATCCTTGCAATGGAGAACCTCACGTTGATTTGGCACTGCTGCACATGAATAGCCTTGATGCTAATCATAGCGTCTCTCGCCTCCGTCGTCCCAGCCACGCCATGCATGTGGTCTCAGACAGCATGACTTCGCCGACCTAGTGCGCTCGCCGACGTGGTGCGCCGGCACTGCGTACTGAGGCAAATCTCTATGGGTAGCTGGCCTGGCGAATATTCTGCTGTTCCTATAGTGTTGGCGGCAACCTCGACAATCAGCTTCTCGTATGTTGGCAAGACGCTCAAGTCCATCGCCAAGCAGGAAAGACGCTCACCATATCGCCAGCAATGTCCCTCGAAAGCGAGAGAACCCACGATGGGCTCAATACGAACAAAAGCCCCGGCGAGGATCAGGACGAGGATAGACAATTGCTCCAGACCTCGGTGACTGCAATCAACAGGTAGGTAAAATGCAAATTCTCGAGACAGCCACAGCCTTGGCCGTCATCGCCCAAGGTGTTGATACTGATAGGGACTCCCAGGGCTGATCACTATGCAAATGCCGACTATTTGTCAAATTTTGTCCCGGACTTTGAGCAGGAGAAGCTGCGCCCTCGGCACATGAAGGGTCGAATGGGCAAAATCATAAAGATGCTCAGGACACAGATCGCAGTTGCCGCATTGATATTCGCGACCCAGCTGGTTGTCACAGTGTGGGCAGTCCTGGCGTTTCCCCCAGACGAGCGAGGCACTGGGACCTTCTTCTGGGGCGACTGTTCCAGTATAGACACGACTGATCGAGCGGTTCATGTGGCTCTGAACATTGTGTCTTCTATCTTCTTGGGAGTCGGGCACTACTGCATGCAGATCCTCGTGGCCCCATCTCGCCAGGAACTGGATTCTGCGCACCGCAAAGGAAAGGCCATGGAGGTTGGAGTGCCCAGTCTCCAGAACCTGGTGAGGGTTGAACCGAAACGAGCGGTCGCTTGGACCGCGATTGGGGCCATCGCGATACTCTTGCACGTCTTGTGAGTCGAGTCCAAGGAACCACTCTATCGAGGTGCTTGGATGAGGCTAACATGGATCAAATTTATAGCTGGAACTCGTTCATCTTCACGTCACTACCCATCGCAGTCATCCCCGTCGTCATAGCCACGGCAGATTTCCAGACAGCACCGCACAACTGGACGGCTTCCGATCCTCTAGCTCACTTTTCCTCCTGGTGGGGTCGTATGCCTGGCTATGAGGAAGAGCAGAAGTCGATGATTTACACCTTGCAATCTGCCGCTGCGAACTTTACTCGCATCGACGTTGAGTCGTGCGTGCGACGCTACGTTGACCCGAGGGAACCCACCAGTCCGCTCATCGTGGTGGCTGGGAATGTGACCACAGCCCAAAACAACGGTTCCTCGCTGATAGACGGTGGGATACTTGGATGGTTGGGATGGGAGTGGTCCAACGCCTGGATCTGCCAGGCCTATCAGCCCGAGATATGGCGATACTGCAACTGGGAATTTGCAAAGACGTTTGTCGACCAGTGGACGCTGGGACAGCAGAGGGGAGTCCTGGTTGATCATTGCCTGGTGGGAGAGGGAGCCGACAACTCGAAAAGGTGCGGCCTCCATTACAGCACACAGGTTGCCGCCATTGTGTGCATCTGTACGTTTTTGGGGAGCGTGTTGGTATGCTGGACTGCATTTCATCACATTAGCCATGTGAACAGGGGGCGATACACGCAGGCCTTGATCACTACAGGAGACGCGATCCAGAGCTTCCTCGGCACTCCAGACATGCTCATCGACGAGGCTGTGGAAAATGCAACGTCAGGACACTCTAGACAGGCAAGTGTCGAGCTGAAAGTCGCGACATGGCGTACTCGGGCTCGCATCCCGTGGTTTAAAGCCATCGGCCCCTTTTTCTGGACGACCTCACTTGTGCTGTAAGTGATCTTGGTTCAAATCTCTTAAGCCTTTATGTGAAAGCAGTACTTATCGAGACAATAGTTTTGCCACAGGCGTGCCAGTCTGCTCGTATGCCTTCTGGAGGTCCATTGTCGGTCGGAAGGCAGCTGGGCTTGACACGAGCCTCGTAGGAGTATGGAAGGACGGCTTCGGCGTAAGCCCAACGATGATCGCCAGCGAGCTGCCTGGCGCCTTGTCGGGCATCGATGCTTCGGGGACTACGGCACTGCTGGCCAACATATTGATTGCCAACAGTCCCCAGGTCATGGTCAGCTTCCTCTACATATTCTACAACGGTATTCTCACACGCCAGCTGGTCGCCGATGAATGGGTGCGGTTCCTTCGCAAGGATGGCAAGAAGGCTTTGCACGTGTCGTCTCCCCTGGGGATGCAGCGGTCATCTCACTTCCTTTCCTTGCCGTTCAGGTATTCGGTACCCCTGATGACAGCCTCCATACTCCTCCACTGGCTCATATCACAGAGCATATTCCTCGTTCAATCCAGTGCATTCAGTTCGGGAGCCGACAGCCAGCGTCTTCGCATGTGTGACTATTCGGCCCGGGGGTTCACTTTGTTAGGCACTGGTCTGGCAATTGCCCTTGGACTAGTCGCTTTGGCAGCACTGCTACTGAATTCTCTCCTCAGAAGCTACCATGATATTCCCCCGGGGTTTCAGCTCATGGCGTTCCACAGCATGGCTATTCAGGCGGTTTGCCAAAGGCCAGAGGGTGACTCGGATGCTGCGTTCTTCCCAGTCAGGATCGGGGTGGCGAGTGCGGATGCGGGAGCAAGTGCGACACCCTGTTGGCCTCGAGTTGTATTCTCCACGGATACGGAGCTACGGACACCGCAAAACGGGGAACGTTACGTACAGCCCGTGTTCGTCGATGAAGCGAGTCCATGGGGCAAGCTTCTTGTCATGGGATGGGGAGCTATCGATCGGGTCTGGGCGCCTGCGAAAGATTTCTGGAGTCGTCTTGTCTCTGAGACGAGGCTCGAGACCCGTACTCGTTCAAAAGAGCTAGAGCAGAGCGATGAAGATGGCATTCCGTTGTGTCAGGAAATACGTGAGTTTATCTTCCCGGCCCAGTAGTTTTAGGGAACACGCGCTGACGATACTAGAACCTTTCACAACGACCATGGCGCCGCCACATGCTTCAACTCCCCGCTAGATTGGGGGCATCTTGTACATGTCGGTCTGCCTTTGGTGTTGCGATCAGGAATAGTAGGCTACTTGTCGCTGGCGGTCATTCCTATACATGTCCCTGGTGGCGGGTCTAGGAGCATCTTGGTCAAAACAATTTGGCTTCTTCATGAATTTTCAATCGGCGTTTAAATTCTCTGCTTGTGTTGATTCGAATCGGAAATACGAGCCCTTGTATTGGCTGCGTACGTGTAATTACTGGCCACTTTCGCGTCGCCGTTGGGGAATGAGAACATGGACGCAACTGAATCACGTGACGGAACTCATTTTGAGCGGATTTCCACAAGCTGCGAATTTACTCCTGACGCAAACAGATTCCGAGTATGGGCCGCCAAAACTTGAATTCAGCTTGACACATCATGACGCCGAATTACTTACCCAGAGACCTCATGGAGGTCCAGATCGGCGAGGTCGACCTTCTCAAAGCAATGTATGCATCTGACCAAGAGCTGCATATGGACGAAGCGTCGCAACAGCTGTTGGAGTCGCTGCGGCATTGGTGTGAAAGCGATGGAGGGAAACTGCCTGACATGGAGGCATCGGCTATATCTGTCCTCCTCAATCTTTGCCTCAACGAAGCCAACGAGATGCGCGATCTGCAGCTGGGGATCTCCGTCCCGGTGGTGTTCCCACCCGACCAAGGGCAGGCAGACGACGACACGGAACCACCGAGGGCCAAGGTCTGGATTCGCCAGTCAACATGGATGAGCAAAGCCGAAGCCGCGCGGTTGACCGACGAGATTCCCGACGAGGACATTCTGAGCGGCATTGAATTTGCCAAAGAGGCGGCATCACAGCTCCTCGATCGAGCGCAGCAGAGGGAATCGTCGTCTGCCACGCCTACAAGTGCAGAGGCCAGCATGGTGCGCATCTGGTTCTACTTCCCCTCGATCAGCACCCGCGCGAAGAGGGACGACATTGTTCACCACGCCCCCTCGTACGGCCTCACCGGATTTCTCCTGGCTGGGAAACCGGGCATTCTGTGTCTCGAGGGCGGGTCCCAGGCCATTGATGACTATATGAAGTTTATCAAGACGGAGAGCTGGAAGGACATTCCCTCGCAGCACAAAAAGGTGAGCGAGAGATATCGACAGGCTGGTGTCGATGTGACCCGCGTGTTTGACGACATGCAGGAGATCACGGACGAGTTTGGCGATACGAGACGAGGCGCCCGCGGAAACCGCAATGACATGAGTGTGCTCAAGGCATGGCTCAACGAGCATGGCGTGGGCGATGCATTCGAAAAGGTGTTCATTTGAGCGTTGCGTTCATGTCAGCGCACGTCGCAACCTACATGCTGACCCAATCCACTCGTGAGGGGTATGTGGTGACCACGGGCAGACCGCATGCAGTTACGAAGGATTGGACCCCAACGATGCGGTCAACCGCCCAAGCTACCTGCAGCCCTGCTCGCACTTCAGACTATTCATATCGCGTCGCCGCCTGTCGGGTGTGAAGCCTCCAGTCTCAACAGTGCCTGGCCCTTGCTCCGTCCTCTCCCACCGTTCACACACGCCACGATGGCTTCCTCAGTATACGACTTTGCCATTGTCGGAGGTGGCCTCTCAGGCTGCGTCCTCGCGAGTCGTCTTCGCGAATACAACCCGGCAGCCAAAGTCCTCCTCCTCGAAGCCGGCGGGGAAACGCGCGACCGTCCAGAGGTGCGCGAGCCCCAGGCCCTGAACCTGGGCGGCGACCTCGACTGGGCCTATGAATCAGAGCCCGTGTCGCAACTCGGCGGACGCGCCGTCACGCTGAACGCGGGCAAGGGACTCGGTGGCAGCTCGGCCATCAACTCCTGCGGCTGGCAGCGCGGTGCCGCCGCCGACTACGACGAGTGGGCTGCGCTCGTGGGCGACGACCGGTACAGCTACAAGGGACAGCTGCCGTACTTTCGTAAGTCGGAGAGGTCCTTCGACGACGTAAATCCGGAGCACCATGGCAAGGATGGCAACATCCACGTCATGACATCGGGTGCTGCGAACCGCATCTACCCCCTCAGCAAGCAGAATGCTGCGGCGTGGGAGGAGCTTGGCGTGACTAGCGTGCCGAACCTGGACCAGAACGCTGGGCAGAACCTTGGCCGTGCGTATCTCTGCGAGGCAAGGCGTGAGGGAAAACGCCAGTGGGCGGCTGACGCGTACCCTCTCGAGGGTGTCGAGGTGCGGTTGAACACGCTCGTCGCGAATATTGTGCTGGTGAAGAGCGACAGCGGTGTGAGAGCCACTGGCGTGGAACTGGCGGACGGGACGTCTGTTGCGGCCAAGGAGGTCATTGTGTCCGCTGGCGCTTTCCGCTCACCCCAGCTGCTGCTGTTATCAGGCATTGGCCTGGCTGAGGATTTGAAGCAGTCCGGCATCGAGCCTGTTGTCGACCTACCCGAGGTGGGCCAAGGGTTGATGGACCACATGCTGTTCTTCCAGCACTGGCGGGTCAAGGATCCCTTGGCTGGATACACCATGGGTTCTCCGAATGAACTGTGGGCTCAGCCTCAGTATGCGCAGGGCATGCCCTTTGACTGGATCGTCAACACGGGTGTACCAGAGGATGACCTGAAGGCGGCCATCAAGAAGGATGAGGGTTTGGAGCCGGACAGCAATACGCACAGACTTCTCAAGACCCCTCGCACCTTTTTAGAGTACATTGTGGCCTACGTGAAGCTGCCATTCCCCGGCACGACGATGGACGCGGAGCACATCACGACCGGAGTGGTCTCTTTTCTGCCCACCTCGCGTGGATCAGTGTCCTTGAAGTCAAGCAACCCTCAAGACCAACCAAAGAGTGAGCACATAACATCCTTGAACTACACCAGCTGACACTTTTTGCCAGTTGACATGAACTATCTTTCCACCGAGGTGGACAGATTCGTCTATCGGCAGGGCCTTCGAAACATCACCAAGTTTATGCTTGGCACCCAGTTCTCTGAACATGTTTCTGGGGAGACTGTTCCTGACATCCTCCCCGCGGAGCCTGCAACTCTCGAGGATAGCGACGAGAAGCTGAATCAGAGGTTGGCCGTGGCCAGCGGAACAACGTGGCACGCCTGCGGCAGCTGTGCCATGGGCAAGGTGGTCGACACTGCTTTCCGAGTCCACGGTGTCGACGGCCTCAGGGTTGTCGATGCCTCCGTGTTCCCCGTGCCACTGAGCGCACATATCCAGGCGCCCCTGTATGCGTTGACGGAGCAAGCCGCGGTTATGATCGCAGGCAAGGCTTGAATACAGTCGTACATCAAGGCATTCGAGGCGGGTTGGACAAGTTCGATCCAGACACGCCCACGGACGTAGCCTTGAAATTGACCACCTTTTGAAATGTTTGCGGGGATATGCACTTTCAGTGGCCACTGGTATCTGGTGCTACCCCATGATCAAAGTAACCTATTGCAGATAGACCTTTTGTGAGGGTCGCAATAAGGCGGGCCAGGGAGCGGTTGGCTGGCTGTATAAAGCATAGTAGGCTGGAGGGAACAACCGACTTCTATTCAGAATCGCATCTCATACAAGTCCATACTGTGCCTCTCTAGCTAGAGTCACCCCTTGCCATCCGCATGGCGACTCAAGACGCGGGTGAGAAGAAGTCGCCCACCGACGCGGTCAACCCCATCGCCGTCGACCCAGAATCAGGACCACCCAGCAGCACAGCCGACGACATTGAGAAAGCACCATTCACCTTTCTCGTGCAAGGCAAAGATGGAACGGCCCAAGAGGTCATCTCGGACGATGATCCCCAAGTGCGTGACATGCCACCCTACGTGCGCCAGATCGGCAGCTTCACGGACAACCGGAGGCTGCCCACGCTGACGTTCCGCTACTTTGTGCTCATCATCGTCTTCATCATTCCCAATGTGTTCCTGAGCCAGTGGAACCACATTCTTGCAGCCGCCTTTGACGCCGGGTTCAGCTTGAACATGCTGCTGTTGTTCTTCTTCCTTGGCTCTGGTATGATCATCTCCATGCCGTACTGGTGAGGCAACGCCGAGTCGAACAGTGAACGATGCTTTGCCCTCAATTCGTAGTAGGGTTCTGCTATCGACACTCAATTCCATGACATGTGTCCTCGCAGAAAAGAACGTATTCCAAAGTATTTTGGTCATTATTCAATACAGTCGTCAGTGTGTCCTACAAATCCTACTACAAAACAGGTCTACTCTAGTTCTAATCGTCTACTTTGTCTTCGTCCAGATTTCCAATGATATCCAAGTGTATCTGCGGCTGTGTCCTGCACGCGGCAATCACCTGCCGCGGGACTCTATGCTCCTCATCGTCCACCACAATGAAATGTCTTAGGTGTTGGGCGTTGACCTTGATTTTCTCCAACGTGTACTCGAGAAGATCCGTCACCTCGTCGTCCGTCCCAAGGGGGTTGAAGAATTCCAATGTCTCTAGGTTGGGAGGCAGCCCGACAGAGTGCATCCTCGGTTTCGCCGACGACTTGCCAAAGAGCTGATAGTCCCAGTTGATGCGGAGCGTCTTGAGGGCCTCAAAGTCTCTCATACGGAGGGCTTTGTGGCCCGACAATGTAGGGAAATCAATGGTGATCGTGACTAGTGAGTGACAGGCGGACTGCAGGGCCAGGATGTAGTGGTCCATCCGATCCGAGCTCTCTTCGAGTTCCGGGGAGGGTTCGCTGGTCTGTGTCATGACGAACTCGGTGAGTGCCTTGGGAAACATGAGGATATCGGTGAGTGCGTCGTCGTTGAAATCGCACTCGATGAGATGGAGCTTCTCGAGGGCCGTCTCGTGAGGTTGCTCAATGTAGTCGAAACCCGTATGGTCCAGCTTGGCCCGCTTGATCACCAGGGTCTCGAGGGTCGGGTGCGCAAAAATGTGAATGTTCTCCTGCAGGTCCCAGTACTCCCCATGCTCCGTCTGATAGAAGAGAGTACATGATCGGAGACAAGCCAGGTCGAACGGGCCGCCGAACAGCTTGCCTATCCCCGGGAGGAGCCTGACGGGCACGGCAATGTCCAGGGTTTCCAGGTTGGACATGACAGAGATGGTGCGTGATAGACTGTCGTAGCGCACGGGTGCCTGGTCGTAGTAGGAACCATGGACAGGCGCCTCGAGCATCAGCTGTGACAGCTCGGATGCGGGGTACGCCAGCTTGAACTCGTGGATGGCCGAGCCACGACGTGGGCGACGCTGGAGGGACTGGCTGAAGATGAGGTGCAGCTCTGGGTCAGAGAAGTGCAGTGTCTTGTACAGGATCGCGTCGGCGACGGCATGGTACCGCTTGCTGAGCCGGGATACTTGGCAAAGGGACCGCTTGGACATGTGAGAGACAGTCTCAAGGATCTGCACGAGGATCTGGTCAGGGAGCCTCGCGAGGAGATCGTGTCCAGGGCGGGATCGACGAGGGCTGGTTGGGCTGTTCATGGTGTCGACAGCCCGGGAGGACGCTGTGGCACGGCGTGTTGATGGCTCGAGTGCATTTGATGGAGGTGGTGTGGTTGAGTTTGATGGAGGATACCGGGAGCCGGCAGCCTGTGGATGAGTTTGAGCCTTTGAGGGATCTCGGCTCGGCTCCAGGTCAGGCCAAGCCAGATTGCGGGGGAGGGGCAGGCCACAGCGCTATCTTCGATCAGTCGTGGTCGACGAATCGGAAGCGCCGAGTAATTAGATTAGAACTTGATAGCGGGTCCAACACAAATACGGACTGAATACGCCTGTAATGGGTACCGCTGTTAGTTCACAGTAGCGCTCACGGCAGTCTCCAACTTCCCCCTCCGTCCACAACATGGGCAGGCTTCAGTAGACGATGATATGGCTATAGTGAGATTAGGAGAGCCAGTGGAGTCCAGTGGAGTCTGGAAAAGTTGGCTACGCTGAGCTAGACCTGTCTGGTCACTCTGGTGAGGACCCGGCGGGAGGCACCATGATAACTGCCACTGGATGGCATGTTCCCCTTTCATATTCCTTTGATGAATGCTGCGCCCGACTGAAATGCAAAAACCGACTTCACAAGAGAGGGAAAACAATATGCTGGTGGCTTTGATCTCGTGGGGAAAAGGCGGCACCAGGACTGGCAGCTATAGACAGCCGGAACACTTGACGTTGATTGAGTAGCGCAAGATATACCAGTAGTGTTTTCAATTGCGTCAAAGACAATAGCTACAAGTGCCAGTCCATCCATAGTGGACTCGCCCGTTGCTATTCTCCCAGAAGTGACGAGCGGAAACTGTCCAGCCCGTGAGTACGCGCAAAGACCCCGCCGTCTCGGATATTGATCTCTGCGTCCGACGGCAGCATGTCCCAGATGTGCAGACTCCTGCTCCCTGCCGCGAGCAGGATCTTGACAGGTGCTGAGATAGCACCCGTTCGTTTGCCAACGTGGACGAATCTTTCGAATGACGCAACAATGACTTCCAGCTCCTGGTCCCAACCATCCAGACTGGTTTCAAAATACGATATGTTGTCAATGATGCACCAGACGGGTAGTTCCCGCGGCAACTGACAGATGATGGTTTCAAAGAGCTCACACAAGGCCGATAAGGACCAACCGTGTGCCTCGGAGAAGTTCTCGTGACGGCGCGGCTGCAGGTTCAGGGGTACATTTCCTGGCCATTGACAGAGAGCCTGGCTGATCAGGCTTCGCATCATCCCTTGAGGTCCTTCGAGCCCGCTAGACTCGGTCGCATGATGGCCACAAAAGAACTCCACGATGATGAAGGGCGACTGAGGCAGTGAATTCTGGCCAGGAGCTCCAAAGGTGTCGGTCAGACCCGCACAGAAGACTGACAACGGCGATGTGCTTCCAATGGTGTCCCCTCCGGAATGACCATTGACAAGTATGATATCGGAATGAAGCACCCCGACCCATTCCCCAAAGCGAGCATTGGACATGAGCTGATTCGCGCGTGCTAGAGCCTTGGCTTTGAATTGATGATATTTCCGCAGGACGGATGCGCGATCTTCTGCCGGCGCAGCCCTCTCGCGCGAATCACACAGACTTTCGAGAAGATCCATTCTTGGGTCCGTTCTTGGACTGCTGATATATGCAGCTGCTTGCTGTGCTTGCGCTAGAATGAGGTCCGTTAGATGCTGCATGGAGCTTGAACAATTTGCTGGGGCTGGAGGAGCGCGTACCTTGGAAAAAAGTGTTCATGCGTATCTGATCTTGTACGACAATGTACACGTGATTCTTCATGTGTTGCACAAACTCATTGTGTAGCGTAGTCTTGAAAGTCTCAAGGGTGTCCTTGAGAGCATTTGGCAGGTTCGTCTGCGTCTCTTGTACCTCCGTCAGCTTCCTTGTCACCAACTCCAGCTGCTCACGAGTGGCATCATGCTTTTCCAGAGAGATATGCGACAGTTCGACGGTTTGCACGACGCCTTGCGAGAGTAATTCTCGCTGACACTCCTCCAACCGTGCCTCAGACTGTTTGACTGGCAACAGCAGCTGGTCCACTTGAGCCGCTGAATCTTTGAGAAAGGTGTTGCTGAGTTTCTTCAAAGCTGCGAGCGTTAGGCGTGTGGAAACAACGTTGAAGAAGAGCGTGGACACTTACGTGAGTGGGGTTCCTCCCGGAGGAGTATCCTAATCAGAGAGGGCAGACACCTGACGAGTGCGAGATACAGATCTCGCAGTGCAATATTGAGCGCGTGATTATTGCGATGTATGTCTTGCAGACACTCTGCGTGGCGCACGCATCGTGGAATGGACTCGAATAGCTCGAATATCTTCTCGCACGTGACTGTCCTCCTCTGGACGGCCTGTGAACTTCATCAGCAGCTGCGATTCTCAAAAGCCTGGCGGTACGGTGCCGGTAGTTTCTCACATTGAGGACAATCTGCATAGCCCCTTTGATGAGACCCATCCCATTCTCTCCGGGTACAGCTTCTGTCAAGGGCTTGACGTTTCGTTGGAACCCATGACCGTGGCGGAGACACCTTCTGAATGGGTTTCTCGTGGCTTTCTTCTCGTATACCTCCTTTGCATGCCAGACTTCATCAAAGACCTGCTCCCAAGAACACTCATCCAAGTTGAAGTCGACAAAGAACGACGACTGCCCTGGTTGTTCCAAATGTAAATACTGCTCGATAGCTTCCTTTAACGAGCTACGTCTTGTGAGAACTTTTGTACCGCACAGTGTAGCACGTACTCACGCTTTGTCCTTCTCATCAATGACCGAGGCCACGCCCAGATCATGAACTGGCTCAGCGAGCCTGCCCGCCGCCGAGTCGGAAAAGCTACTTTGGTTCCACCAGCCTTCAAAACCGGCCCTTTCCTCCGGTCGACTCATCTGTTGTCGCAGGGAATAGGGTAGCTCATTTGCAACGCTCGACATGATGTCTGCGTCTGTTGCACAGCACAAAGGTGCTTGACTTTTGAAGCGGTCCGAGCACTGGAATGTGGAGAGAATGTGAACGCGTATCTTGACGACGGGGCTGTCGAGTCCCAACATCAATGTCTGACTCTAACAAACACCAGCTGCAGCCTTGGCTGCTGTGGGTTAGACGCACATACAGCCTCCGAAATATGAACAAAGTCCGACATTAAGTGATTCGTGGGGTTTGTTGATGCGCTTCCTGTGTGCTCTAAACGATACACTCAACGCTGGCTAGAAACCACCTATTCCTCAGTTGTCAGACGGCTACTATAGGCCCGAATTTCAGCGAGCGTCTGGACGTGCTGCCAAGGGCATGAGGCCTTCGATCAATTTGATGTCTCGAAGTTCTGCCACATCAAGCTGCGTGCTTTTTTGTCAGCATTCTGCCGCCTGTCAGCATTTAGCCCCTCTTCAATGCCGCCTTGGTCATACATGATACGGCGCACCAGACGTTAATTACTGGCTAGTCGCATATGCACCAGCTGGGATGCGCCTCATCCTTAGCCCTTCTTCCTGATCATGAAACAGCGCGGATATAACAGAGGCTGCCAGTGTTTGTCGCGGTTGTTACCCAGGCAACATTGAACACAATCGCTTTGATGGTATGATAATCTATATGTTCACCCTCAAGCTGGTGATGGATATCCGCTGGTGTTGCACATCCATCAAGATTGGGCCCGGAGGTCTTGGCCTCTTGATAAGCGCCGGGCTGCAGAGTGCAGACGCATTATGCTGCTTATGCGGCCTCTCAATCACCCGTGCTCCCTGCAGGCTCGCAGCCCTGCAATCATCAAGACTTGGCCAGCTGGCCCCATAAGAAGCTCAACAAGCTCTCATTGCACAACATCATTTTCTTCAAAGAGTGCTGCTTTGTTGGCTGGGACATTATACGCAACAAGTCCACCGAAGCAATGGAGAGCCAGCCGCAAGCGCAGCCCTCAATAGGTTCAGTAGTACCGACGGTCGCGAACACTTATCAGGTCGAAACGTCCATTGGCACGGCGACAGACACCAAGGATGCCCAGCAAGGAATCGCGACGCCGGCCGGCGCCCAACAACAACAAGGTAAGCTTATCCAGCCCACGTCCCGTAGGGGCGAACCATGAATTGGCCTAACGCATGAGCAAGATCAAGATGACTATTGGGCTCAGAGGGTGGTATCAGATGGCCTTGTAAAAGGTGTCGTTTTCGAGTGGTTTCAAGACCTGACTAGGCGTATTGCAAGCGTTGAGGGGAAGATACAGGAAAACGCAACCCAGGAGGCCACCAATGGCATCGAACCAGCTCAAGATGCAACTCTGCAGACCATGAAGAGAGTTCCCGAGGTAAGGGAATGTAATTGGGAGCAGTTTAAAAACAGATACCATCCGGAGCAAGGTGTCCCAGCCATTGAGACGCTTGTTGCGGACCAGGGCCTAGATCGAGAAATGGAAGAGGAGCAGCTCAGGCGCCTTGATTCGGATGCCAAAAACACCTTTCTGGCCGGCAAGAGCAATCTCTCCGCCACGAGAACGCAAGCAAATCAGAAAGTAGTCGACCACCGGATCGAGCGCATCCGCATTAACTCCAGTGCCGTCATGTCGCTGCTCGCAGAGGTCACGGGGCAGCCGACGTGGAGGAGCGACCAGCCGCACGTCTTCTTCAGTCCTTTCAAGGTCCCCATTTTCTTCCACGAAAAAATGGAGAAGGAACTCGAAAGACTCGGGACAGCTCTCTCTGGAGACTCGACCGAGGTTGCAGAGGGGGTACCGGTCCCGAAACTCGAAGGACCTGTCGACCCAAGACCTGCTGGCACCACGTCAACTGCCCATCAAGCCTATATGGAAATCAAGTGTTATGTGGATTTTGTGAGAAACCGACTTGTGCCAAACTATCACAAGTTTGACGCCCAGAATCACGAAACGCGCACCAAGATTCATTTCAGTGAGCTCTGGTCGCTCTTTCGTTTAGGTGAAGTAGCGGTCGAGCGACAGCAAGATGGCGTTGACCAGAAACGAAATCAGGAACCAAAGCAGGAGAGAAGAGGGACAAAGCACGCCTCCGAGCGCCGGATATGGAAGGTTTTCACCCTTGACAACCCAGTCGTCGATTGGAAGGTCGATAACCTCGATGCTGCAGGCAGCACGCTTCGGGGCGACCGTGAATTCGATGGCGAGAAGGACTTCTTGGTACAGGCATACCGGCTGGACTACGATGGAACAAGATACTCGACCGTTCCGAGGTACTTTTGGATCTCGCCGTTTGCGGGTGAGAAGGACATTACTAAACTGCCAATATACCCACTGCGGTTCCAGAAAGACCCCGAGGCTCTGATGAACCGCTTGCAGAAGAGAGGAGAGAAATTCCAGAAGCTCATAAGCTATGAGCATCATGCTATCGAGCACGACGGGTGGACACTTCTGGATGACCCATCTGGGGACCCAATCCCCAACCCGGGTGGCATTGAAAGACTAGTCGCCGCCCATATAGACAGCAACGTGATCATCGACTTTGCCGAAGGATATCAGTGGGCTCCGTCCTGGAAACCGGATTTCAGGACATATATGAATGATGTGTGGTCCCCTTCCGTCAACCACGACAAATTTCCCATTATTCAATGGTCAGGACCAGACCGCACGCGGGAAATATTCCGCGTCACAGAGACCGTCATCGAGGACGACAATGTAAACGAGCTGCAGTGGCAGGTGCTCGCAGAGAAGGACGATTACATTGTGGACCGTGATCAGCGCGCAGAGCGAGATGGTGGTCACGAAGGTGAGGAAGATAAGCAGGTCCTCACGGACGAAAATCTGGCCCTACTGCCCGGGCGGCTGGTGGCGTACTCTCTTCGTGACCGGTTCTTCACCAATGTCGACATCAACGCGTGCAAGATACCAGCAGATATTCCCGATCCGTTCGCCGACCTGAAGATCGACCCTGCGGACAAGACCCTCATTCGCTCCGTCGTCCATGATCATTTTGAGAAGAAGCGCGTTCACAGGCAGCTCCAAGCAAAGGGTGAAGGGGCCCTGGAACAAGATTTTATCCCGGGTAAAGGCAAAGGCTTGATCATCCTGCTCCACGGGCCGCCGGGTGTTGGGAAGACTGCTACCGCAGAAGCCGTGGCGTATGCCCACAACAAGCCGCTGTTTCCCATTACCTGTGGTGACCTGGGTATTGATTCAAATACTGTTGAAGAAAGACTTTCCAAGATCTTCCGGCTCGCTAACACGTGGGACTGCGTTCTTCTGTTGGACGAGGCGGACATCTTCCTATCCCGACGCGAGAAGATGGACGACAGTTTGCAACGGAACGCTTTGGTATCTGGTAGGTCCCTGGTTTTCGGATGACAGCTCCAGAGCGCTAACACCATCGTAGTCTTCCTGCGGGCACTCGAGTACTATCCAGGCGTCTTGTTCTTGACTACCAACAGAGTTGGTGTCCTTGACGAAGCATTGAGCTCGCGAGTGCATATTAGTATCTTCTTCAAACATCTCAGCTTCGCACAGACGCACGAGCTATTCCAGAACAACCTGGCGCGCGCTAGATTGATTGCTGAACAGCGAGCAGAGGTTCACAAGGAGCCGCCCTTGACCCTCAAAGACCAGGAGATTATCAGCTTCGCCATGGAGCGGTACGAAACAAGTCGGCAGGTCAACCCCAACGCACCATGGTGGAATGGTCGTCAAATTCGCAATGCCTTCCAGATCGCTACTTCGCTGGCCTATGCATCACCGCCGGATCACCCAGAGACAGGTCAGAGGTCCCTAGGTCGCGTGCACTTTGAGCAGATCCACTCCGCCATAAAGGACTTTACCGACTACCGGGTGGGTGTGCATCGCAAGAACGAGGATGAGATTGCCCATGAGCGAGCGGAGAGAGCGCCTGCCCGGGAGGCGAGGCCGGCGCACAGGCGATATGACAGCCGCCAAGAGTCGGCTCGATCTCCCTCGCCCATGCGATTCACGCAATCGCAGTTTCAAGCCCATACCAGCACCATGATCACACCGGAGAGGTCGGGCGGAGGGGACTTTTACAGCCCAGCAGCGCCAGACAGCGCCAGATACATCGCCAGCACGCCGTCTCGCCTCCCCAGCGAACTGTCGTCATTCGTACCTGGATACAAGCAGCCGCCTCAGGGAGGCTATGGAGCCCATGGACCCGAGCATTTACTGCCCCCGGATGCTCACAACACGCGCACATACAGCGGGAACCAGTATTCGAGCTATCGAGCTCAGGAGCAGGAGGTTCACCCCGGACGTCACAATCTGGGTGATATGTAGTGGAAGAGTTAGCTAGATGGTCTTGCTGAGACATTCAAAGTGAATCAAGGATCTTGGAAGACCATATTAGAGTCTGTGAAGCGCGTTGTACGGTACTGCAGCGGCTACATCCGCCGCCTCCACGACGCTGGACAGTTCTGAGACATCAAGAAGCAGTAAGCGTCCTACACACTGGACAGCCATGGATCAGGATTGAGCATGTCGTCCTAGGTATAAAACCACGGCGTGTTTCCTGAAGCGTATCTTCACATTACTTCGTCAAATACATGTTGACATGTACACTTGATCGGACTAAGAGCCCATCGAGCGGCTTATTTCAACGTCACATCAGTCTCCGAGGGCCTTTGCTCGAGCTTCCCAACATAGTTTCAAAATTTCACATTCTCGAGGTTGCCTTTTTATTTAGATTTTAATCCATCTGGCCCTTGCCTCGTTTGCCGGCGTGTAACAGCATGCGTTTCTGCATGTGTGCACGGATAAATACCAGCATCACATATGGTCCCAGTGGCAGGGTCCCGACTCACAAGAAGCAGCCAAAGACTCGTTGACTTTTATAGTCAACTGCGTGAGACCTCCTTTCACCCATGGCCCAAGTGCATCTATTCAGTCTCTTGAATTTTCAGAGCTAAAATTCAAGACAGGCTGTGGTTAGTTGACACAATCTTTATACACTGTTCGAGCATACTTCACCTAGTACCGGGTTCAATATACCACAACCAACATCCCACGAACTCTTACTCTTCTGTGCTTCAAGCAATCCCGCTTGTTCCCGCAAGATACCGCGCATTGGGCACTGTCAGTCTTAAGCTCCGAGCAATATCGAAACATTCTCATATGTGTGTAGCTATCTTTGGGATGCGGATGCTGCAACTGGCACGCTTTTCCATGCTAGCAAGGACTCGATGACAAGTGGGCAGACGGTGTGCGGCCATATCTTACTCTCGAGCGTGAACCTGATATAACTTCAGGTCTACCAACAGGTGCCGGATATGAACCCAAAAGCCTCCAAATCGCTTCAGCCCTTAGTTGAAATCGCATCCAGGCTTGCGCTCTCTAACGCCACGCTTGACGTGCAGTGCCGGGCAGCGGCTCAAGGCCGTCCCTTTGATCTTGCAGTTAAGAACTGCCAAAGATACTGCACCTGGATCTTGCAGCACCTTATTAACAACGCGATAATCACCCAGGAGCAGTTCGATGCGCTGGAGGCAAAGGGATTTGAGCCGCTCTTCTAAAAGAGCAGGTGTGACCTGGGCATGCGAGTCGATAGTGCACACCAGATAATGCATGTTGAAGAAACTGGCATGGCCAATACTATGTCGGACCCGAACTATGGAGAACTCCCCGTATAAGAGACCCGGATGATACACGCTAGTTCTCTTGGACTACTTTTTCAAAAAAGGAAATCATATTCGGAATAAAAATCATTTTTTATGTTCAAAACATCGCAAGTAGTATTGTATCTTGAGCGTAGGGATTAACTAGAACTCAAGAAGGAAAGCTCGTTGGTTCTCTTAGGATCGTTACGGCTCTTGAGCGTCTGATGTAAATAATAAAAACTGGGTATGCCTGCGCCGCATTCATAGACTGCTCTCGCGTCGCTCTTTCGTGAATTGCATCCATCGCTGCTGGCTTGAGGACGTCTTGCACGAGTTGAGCCACACCAGCAGTTCCCATCTGCTGCTGCGCTGGGCTCGAGCCGGAGGAACCATCGCGCAGCTTGCGGACCCGTGTTTCAACATCGTCAAGGAAGCTGTTGGCAGTCTCGCCATCTCCAACGTGAAGTGTGACCGTGCCAATCTGCTCACGGGCCTGCTCTGTGGCTCCGCTGTGGTGAAACGCGGTAGCGGAAGATGAGGTTGTGAGACTGAAGCGTTCGTTGATGCTGTTCTCGGGTAGGAGATGAAGAATATGGATCGTGGAGCCAAACTCGCCAAGGACAAGGAGCGCAGAAGGAATGGTGGAGGGCGTGAAAGCGCTCATTAGATGGGAAAGCCTAATTATATGAACTTCAGATGATTGAATGAAGCTTTTGGCAAGATCCTTTCGCCTATTTCAGTCAATTGGCGCTCATCTAGAAAAGGGAAGCACACCATCACCAATCCCGTGATACGTGATAGCTGATGATGACCTCGGCGTGGGACTCCGACTCGGTCTGCGGTCAACCGCCCTACATGTCCCGCACTCTCGCCTGCTACCTTGCTCTCCATGATGCCACCCAACGTCAGCTCTCAGGAGCCCCAGCAGTTTCCTCGGGAGCACTGGGACTCTCTCCCCGAACTCCCTCTGTTTTCAGGGCCGACCGTTCCAACCATTGGACGCCGTTTTTTCAAGCATTCTCCGACTACCATCCTGAAGCTTGGAACTGACAAAGGCCAAGGCGTCATGACCGCACTCGCCTATTCCATCTTGGGCCCTGTGTCCCGCGCGTCGTCAGCATCGTCACGATAACAACCTCGGGCGTCTCGGCGCCCAATCGCACCAGACAGGGCCTCTTCCTCACTCACCAGCCAGGCACGCCACTAGTCCAGCTCTGGCCCTCACTCACGCCTCCGCAGTGCGAGGCCGTCAAGGCAGAGCTCTGCCGTCTCCTCGTGCGTATGCGTTCACGTTTTGCTTCTCGTACTACGGACGGCCCACGCAACAGTCATACCTCCTCTTCTCAGAACTTGGCACAGAGAAATTCAAACATTGCGCCTCTCGCTTAGCATGGAACGACTCACGTGTGCACGCGCTGCAGGAACATGCCCCGGACGCTGAACTTGCAGTCAACCTCGAGCGAGTACAGCGTGGCACCACCGGCGCAGGTGACTGGGACCGTCCTGTCCTCATGCATGGGGACTTATCTGACCGGAATATTCTCGTGGATCCGGACACCCTCGCGGTGACAGGTCTCCAAGACTGGGAGATGGCGAACATCATGCCCGCTTACTTTGAGTACGTCGCGGCACGACTGTCTGGGGGCCATGAGCCTGCGTGGAGGAAGGAGTTGCTGGATGTACTGAGGTCTGTTTTGCGCTGCGAGTGCGATACTGAGCGCCGGGAAAACCTGCGTGTTGTGGATCTTGATGATGGAAAGGACAGTTACACGAGGACGTTGGCGGCGTGGGATGCTGTTGTTGATGTTGAGAGAATCGCGCAGGGATATGATGATGATTGTTACTGGACTTTTGATCGTTGATGAAGTCGAATTCCTCTTCGGTCCCACTCTATGTATTACCAAATCAGTCTAATTTCAATCTATCTAATTCCTGTTGCCGACGCTTGAACTATCAGTCTCGCGCTCTCGCCGCCCTGGATTCACGTTATCGCCGTGCGCGTGGCTCGTGCCATGACACTGCCGTCGCTATTCAAGCTCCAATGTGCCGCGATCGTCAATAAAGGCCGTGGTCCAGGGAGGCCCAGGCCAGATGCCTCGTATATTCCATACCAATAGACGACGCAGGAGCTTTGTTCATGCTTGCAGCTTGACGCATGTCGCCCTCACGCAGCTCCCATCTTGGGTATCTTGAACTGCTGGCGTCGCAGCGGCGCGGCAAAATGCAAGCCAGGTTGCCAGCCACTGCCGATACAATATCCCCGTCTGGAAGCTGGGCAAGCCGAGCTGCCGACCGACTATGGCCGATTGGGGAAGGTGTGAGAGAGAGCTCACGGACCAGCGATCGACATGGGGAAAGCCATTTATGCGGCCACTCAGACTTGCCTGTCTCCTGAACATCTCGTTTGTTGGCTGGCGGCACTTTTGAAAGACGATCTCACAGCGTCCCCCAGAGTCTATCAAAGCGTCACATCCGCTTGCTTCCGCCACTCACTGCCACCTAACCAGTCAAGCAGGTCGTCGTTCGTTTCATCGCTTATCCCTGCAAATGTCCATCGCACAATCATGAGGGCCCGCGACTGGCTCTTGTTTTGGCGTCCGTGTGACGCTGATCCACAACACATGAATCGAGGGGAACGAGGAATCATAAGATCAACCAGTTTCCCCCATGTTTGTCTGGGCTACAGTCACTACTGTGCAAGGCGCTCATTCTCATATCTCTCCTGGTCTATCCTCCTTCACCATAAATTATGAAGTTGTTTCCTCTGTTGGGCCTTGCCCTACCTATCGTTGCCGCCAAAGTATCATACGACGGATACAAGGCCTTCCATATCGACACGCCCGAGGACTTTGACCATGTCGAGGCCCAGCTCCAGGACATCGACTACGTCTCGATGGCTTGCGAGAGCAACCACAAGGGCTTTGACATTGCTGTCTCGCCAGAAAGTCTCGCTGCTTTTGAAAAGCTTGGCCTGAAGGTGGACGTCCTGCATGAGGATCTCGGTGCTGACATGGCCCTCGAGGGCAGCCTGTCTCCCTACGTGTGTGCGTATCATCCATCCAAATGCCAGACAACTGCTAACGGACGTTTCCCCTTTAGCCGCTCGCACAAAGGCAGATGTAGGCCTTGCTGCTGCTGCTGCACTGCCCGATCTGTCCTACTTCAACTCGTACCATCAGTTCCAGGATCACCTCGACTTCCTGGATGACCTGCAAGCTGCCTTCCCCAGCAACTCCGACATCTTCACCGCTGGCAACTCTCTCGAGGGTCGTCCCATCCAGGGCATTCACCTGTACGGTGCCAGTGGCCCTGGAACGAAGCCCGCCATCATCTGGCACGGCACTGTCCACGCCCGTGAGTGGATCGTGGCGCCTGTAAGTGATCCTCACGACGACTTACAACGCGTGCTGACCCTCCAGACCGTCGAGTACATGGCATACAAGCTCGTTGAGGGCTACCAGAGCGGTGATGCCAAAGTCAGAGCCGCCCTCAACAGCTACGACTTTTACATCATGCCTGTAGTCAACCCTGATGGTATGTCCCCTTCTGCTTCTCACACGTAACCAACTGACACATATCTCAGGCTTTGTATACACCCAAAGCAGGGACAGGTTGTGGCGCAAGAACCGCCAGCGTCGCTCAAGCTCGAGCTGCGTCGGCACTGATGTGAATCGCAACTGGCCCTATCAGTGGAACGTCCCCGGTGGCTCCTCGACCAACCCGTGCGCGGAGACGTACAGGGGTGCCGCAGCCGGCGACACGCCCGAGAACCAAGTGCTCACCAACCACACACTCTCCGTCGGCGAGACCCAGGGCATCAAGTTCTACGTCGACTGGCACGCCTTCTCCCAGCTCATCCTTCTTCCGTACGGTTACTCGTGCTCCGCCCAGGCGGACAACCTGAACAAGCAGATGGCGCTCGCCAGAGGTGTTTCCCAAGCTATCAAAGCTGTCAACGGTCTTAACTTTGCCTACGGTCCAACCTGCCGGACCATCTACCAGACTGCTGGTGGCAGCAACGATTGGGTCGCTGACATTGCTGGCGCAGAGCTGGCTTGGGCTTTCGAGCTGCGTCCTGGTTCTGGCGGCAGCGGTGGCTTTGTGATTCCTCCATCCAACATCATCCCATCCGGCAAGGAGAATTGGGCCGGTATGTTGCGTCTGTTTGAGACCTTTTAAGCCGTAGGCGGTATGGAGCGTCGTGGGTTTGTAGAAGGCGTTGAGGTGGTGTGTTAGTACTGAGCGAGTTGAGAAGATCGAAAAATTGAAGCAGAGTCTGAGCGAGCATCAATTAGTGACCGAGTGAGAGTGGTCGCACTTCCCTGTGCATCATCTTCCTGGGAGGTGCTTCGACACATATCCTCACCGCAGATATCTTCCGTATATTAGTCAAATGCTTGATCGAACTTATCAAATCAGTGAACACACCCCTATTGCCCTCGCCAAGCAAGCCGGTCCAGCTTCGAGTAAAGTTCACCTGACTAGCCCTCATTTCTGGCATATACATGCTTTCCAAGGCCTGGTACGAAGTAATCCCTCTTCGACAGCTCAACGCCCTCTTACCTCGGGATGTCGTACGCAGTCACCACATGGAAGTATGTGTTGGGAAGAACGTAATCCCGTACGAACTCGAGCGCAGTGGCCTTGAGGTGAGCTGTCCCCGAGCCAGAGACCAGTCACAGACTTCATCCACCCGCACATTCACCGTGTCCTTGTCGACAATGGCCAGCTGCTCTTCCAGCCTGGCGATGCTGATCCGCTCAAAGGTTGTAGAGTCAAATGGCCATTCGTCGTCTGCCACGGGGAATTTGCCTGATGTGATGGCGAGACATCTGTGGATCGTATGCGTCGCGCAGTCTACCTGGAAGGTGAATGGCAGCATGTCATCATGAATCCGCGCTTGAGGGACGGAAGTTGCCACGGGTGAGACTTCGGCACAGAACACATGCAGGCTAAGAATCGCTGGATGTACGGAGTAGCAATTGCGCTGAAGAGTCTGCTCCAGGGTAAGGCAAGCCGGCTGTCTATGGCGAGGCCCGCCTTGCGTTGTCGGCGTCGTCGCACTGTCGCAGTCACTGCGGCAACTACCGCGTCGTCAACCATCAGCAATCCCTGGTGCCTACCTAGCCAGACAACACTGTTCGAAAGGTCTATCCTGAAATCACGTTTCCTAATTTTATTCATTCACCAAAATGAGCGGCCCGCAGCGCGCATTGAGCCAAGGCCACTCCAGAAATAAATCCGTTACCAAATGTGCGTCCCTTCTGACAAGACCAGCTCACCTCTTCCGAGGCAACAAGCTCTCCATCTCTCCCATCCCAGACTTAGTCCTGCTTTGACTGACTGAAAGATAGCGAGACCGCGCTCGTCGACCAAGGGACCACTAGATATCGACGAGTGAGTGAAATGCCTCCGCTTGCCTCTCCGTGTCGACAGCACTGACCCAGTCCCAAGTGACCCCCTAACAGCCTCTTCCACTCCAAAGTCAAGCCTCTCTCCCCCGCAGTCAGCTCCGAGGCGAACCTCACGATCACCAGGTGCACGTCACACAGTCACACAAGTCGGTCAGCCCCAGGCCAAGGACTTCTCCTTCCTCCTCAAGCCAGAGATCTACCACCCCCTCCCGCCACAGAACATCCCAGCAGCCTTTCGCAACTCCGACAAGCAGCCCGTACCAGAAGTGCCTCTCGAGGAGCTCCTCGAAAGAGGGCACTTGCGCGCCGCGGCGATCGCTGCGGTGCAGGAACTCACCGGGTCAGGTGCGACACGGCCTCCCGATCCAACGGACTCGAAACGAATCTTTGAGCTGCTTTACACACGGCTAGCGTGCTTGACATTGATCGACGCGACGCAGGTGGCAGCTCAGGAAGTGAAAGCCCTCGAGGATCTGAACAACACCCGTCTGTACCTCGATGAGGCCACGGGCGAGCACCTGGTGCCATGGGAGCTGCGCGTCTTGAACGTGCGCCTGCAGGCGCTAGGGTTTGGAGACATGAGGAGGTCGATTATGAGCTACCACGATCTCGCGCGTGAGTCACGGTCACGTATTGCCAAGGCTACTAACGACGAGGAGCGCCAGTTGTGGAAGGCAAGACTGCACCAGCTAGGTGTCAAAGTGGCCGGCGCTCTGGTGGAGATGAACGATGCGGCGGGTGCGGCAGCTCACCTAAACGGCCTGCATGACAATGAAGATGGGAAAATGGCCTCGTCAAAAGCTCTGGTGTGGCTCCAGCTAGGGGATGTGGACAATGCTCGAAGGTGTGCCGAAGCACATGGCGATGCCGAGACAGCTGGGGATATCATCCTGGCGCTATGCGACATGGCAGACACCAAATACGGAGCTGCCCTTGAGAGGTGGGAGGCGCTCAGAGAAGAGAGCCAGGACGAGATGGTCGGCGTCAACGCAGCAGTTTGCCTGCTCTACCTGGGACGATTGCAGGAGGTATACTCGAGACACATTTTGATTGTTGAGTGGAAAAGCTAACATGTTCAGGGCCGCGAGATCATGGAGGAGCTCGTTAACTCTGGTTTCTCTTCACACACTCTTCTGTTCAACCTATCGACGGTATATGAACTCTGCGCTGAGAAGAACCGCAACCTAAAGATGGCGCTGACAGAGCGAACGGCTGCTATGGCCGAGGGGCCTGCTGGATGGGAGAAGCAGACGGCAGACTTCAAGCTTTAGGGTCAGTCGATTCAAAAATTTCGTGAAAAGGACTGGAATGGCTTGCACACCGCTGTGACGGACACAGATTCGATGATTCTTTCGGGAATCAGAGTTTAAATGCGAAGGGCACCTTGCCTTGCAAGGCAAGCTACCCGACGGAGCGTTATGCTGGGCTCACCAAGGCCCGAGGCGCCCGCGAGGCGCCCGCAAGGCCACTCCATGCTTTTTCTGCCTCGCCATAAGCTTCATGCCTCACGGAATTCTCGTCAATCCACGGCTGAATGTCCCAGCCAAACAGATGCACCCCACATCTCGCCCGACATCGACTCTTCCCCGTACCGATGCCATGCCGCGGGGTACCTCGGCAGTCCGCGCCAGATTCCCCAAATTCCGGTCCCTTTCTATCCTTCTCTAACATTGATAAAGTCTGGGGGCTCCTCGTTTCCGGTCCAGTCTGACCGATCTTCCACTAAAAACCTCCTTTTTGAGTCAATTTACAGTAAATTGAGGGACATTGCCATCATGACAGACCGCATCAGCCAGCTCGCTGGCCACCTCAACTATCCCAAGGGCCTTCTCGCCGGCCAAGTCGCCATCATCACCGGCAGCGGACAAGGTATTGGCGCAGAAGCGGCCCGTCTCTTTGCAAAGGAGGGGGCCAAAGTGGTCGTTGCAGACATTGACGCTCGTATGTGATCTCCCATCCATGCTTAACCTAGATCTTGCGGCATGATTCTGACAGACGCAAAGAAAAATCACAAGATGTCGTGGACAGCATCAAGAAAGAGGGCGGCCAGGCCATCGCTGTGCCAGGCGACATTCTGAACAGCGAGTACATTGCCACCCTCGTCAAGAAGGCCGCCGACTTTGGCGACGGCAAGATCAACATCCTCGTCAACAATGCGGGCTACACCTGGGACGGTGTCATCCACAAGATGACCGACAAGCAGTGGGACAACATCATCGCGCTGCACTGCACCGCCCCCTTCAACCTCGTCCGTGCTTCGGCGCCGTACTTCCGCGTCAAGGACGGCGCGCCACGCTGCATCGTCAACATCTCGAGCACGAGTGGCGTCCACGGCAATGCAGGCCAGCTCAACTACGCCCTCGCCAAGGCTGGCGTCACGGGCTTCACAAAGACAATCGCCAAGGAATGGGGTCCTCAGTTCGGCGTCAGGGCAAACACTGTCGCGTTTGGTCACATTCTCACCCGCTTGACGGCCGCCAAGGAGAACGGTGCGTTTGTCCAGGGCCCTGATGGCGAGAAGATCGCCCTGGGGATACCGCAGAAAAACACTACGCCGGACAGTGCTGCTGCTGCCAATGCCGACATCCCGCTCAGGAGGCCTGGCACCGCAACAGAGGCGGCGAGCAGTATCCTCGCCGTGGCCAGCCCACTGTTCTCGTATGTGACGGGACAGACAATCATGGTGACGGGTGGGAGGAACATGTAGATAGATTAGGTGGGACCAGTTGGAAAGTTTGTGTTTGATTATTAGTATCCCAGCCAATGCCTTCTTCCTTCATGGACCCGTATCCGTGCCGCTGCTCTCATACCTTGAGCCAGAGGTTCAGCACACCCTTGGCGTACTCGACAATCTCGTCGCCTCCCAGCTTGCTCTCTCCGTACAGCCTGTCCACAAACGAAATGGGCACCTCGGACACGGTGCACCCCATAGCCTTGGCGCGCACAATCATCTCCATCTGGAATGTATAGCCCTTGCTTTCCGTGCTCATAATGACTTTTTGCAGCACATCCTTCTTGTACAGCCGGAAGCTGCCCGTGACGTCGCTCACACCAGGTCGCAGCACCGTGTCGGCGAACAGATTCGCGCCCCGCGAGACAAACTTCCTCTTGAGATCCCAGCCGAAGACGCCGCCGTCGCCGGCGTACCGTGTGCCGGTGACAATGTCAAAGTTGCCGGCCTTTTGGCGGGCGACCATCTGCGGGATGAACTTGGGGTGGTGGCTAAAGTCGGCGTCCATGATGATGACAAAGTTGCCAGTGGCATACTGCAGGCCGTGGACGTAGGCGGTGCCGAGACCGAGCTTGCCTGCGCGGGGCTTGAGGACGATGTGTGGTGAGTAGGCTTTCACGAGCTGGTTGGCGACTTCTTGGGTACCGTCGGGCGAGCCATCGTCGACAATGATGAGTTCCCAGTCGAGATTTCTAAGTATGGTCAGCGAGGTACTCCTGCTACAGCTTACAATGGGATCCTACGCCTCTGTGAAGGTGCGGTTCAACAGCCATGCCATGATGGGCAGGTTGCGGCGCTCGTTGTACGTGGGCAGGATGACCGAGTATTTGTTGTCGCCGCCATTCTTATTCGTACGTGCCATGATGGCAAGTCAATTGGCTGCAGGTATTGGGGAGGGGAGAATGAATAGGTCGCTGCGAATGAACGTGGAAATTTGGCTGCTCGGCGCGTTGGTTCTCGGAATTCTCGATCGAAGCCAGATCGCGTCTCGGGCGTTGAAGTCAATATCCCCTGACCCGCAGCTCACTTCGACGGGCAAACAGATGACTAAGCACCCCTGAATCTTGTCCGTTGACCTCACTCTGAGCGTAGCACAAAGGTCGACGACAAGGGATGAGAACACACATTGCTAGGGGAATCTGTGATATCTTCAACTTTTCAAGTTCACTGGACTTGTTAGATATCTACGAGATAATGAGGAGTTCGAACTTGATCGAGCTGTGAATCACGATGAGCTGCATACCTAGGTACCTACCCTGTGTCCGGGAGTGTGCCAATGGCGACACATATGGCTTCCCCGCTAAAGAGATCGCCTGAGACGGGCTCTGGTACGCACTGTGTGTTCACGCAGGGGACACAGAAGGCACAGTGCACAATCATTGTCTACCCCATCACGACCCCGATCTGGCCCAGACCCGCCTCCCCCTCCATCTTCGTCTACAACGCCTTGCGCGAACCTGGAAGTGGACGACAAAGCCTAATGTTGCCGCCTGTTAAGGCGCACTCGCAAAGTGCCGCAACCGGCAAGCGGCTGGTATCAGCCATCTTCCACACTCCAGTCCTAGCTATGGCGGTACTGTCGTAGTGGGTTTGTGGAATCCTACTTCGAGCTTGGGTGAGCTCAGAGCCAGCCTCCTCCTCCCTCTAACTATCCTTTCCAGTTCCGAAGTCATTGATCCCACTCAATTGCATACTTGGTGACTCTGAGCGCTTCTCTCTCCACACCATACCGCCGTGTGCTACCTCAAATCTATCATTCCAGCTGTCCGAGCCTCCCAAAGCCGTTCTGCTTCTTACGTCATTCTCAGAACACCATGTCTACCACCGCACCTACAGTTGACAATGGTAAGTGATAATGCCCCCATATGTCTTTCCATTCCATCGCGTATGTGTAGGCTCATGCGCGAGCATGATGGCATCGAGAGTATCTTGTTGACAGTGGTCCAGCCACCGCAGAGGCATCTGCGCCCGCGCTTGACGCCAGCCCAACAGACACCGGCGTCGCGTCTACTAGTGTGAACAACAAGAATGAAGGTATCAACAATCTCCCGGGTGCGAACCAATCTTCCGAAGCTGCCACCAAGACAGACAGCTCGGCAGTCATCAACAACAGCGCGGGATACACTAACATACCCGACGGCGCCGGCCCTGCTGTCGGCGCACCAAAACCAGTGGAAGTCACTTCTGTTCCCGAGACTCCCGTGAACCACGGCACACCCGCCGGCGGAACCCCTCGGCCTGAGCTGAATATTGGCGGCGCCACGCCCAACGAGAAAACCCCAGAGCCCAACGCGATACTCGGTCCTGGCGATAATCAGCCAACGAGCGCACCAAAGGAGCCTGTGGAAGATCTAGCCGGGCCTGACCGGGCCTCTACGACGGGTGATAAGAGGAAAATAGTCACTGAGACAGAGACTGCGCCTGCTGACGCTCCTACGGCTACGACGGCCTCGACCAACGGGAATGCTAAGGCGGAAGAAGACTCCGAGCGCCCAGAGAAGAAGCCCAAACTCACTGAGAAAATCGCAGACAAAATCCACGATGTGAAGGACAAAGTCACGGGCGGCGAGGGCGAGACGAAGAAGGCCGGCCGGCCGAAGAAGGATAAGAAGGCGCCGCCGGCGGTGGGCAGGACGGAGCGAAAGACCAGGAGCCAAGGCGCGCCTGTCGGAGAGAATGTCTAAGAGCTGCCGGTGCCTTAGTGGTAGTTCAATCTAGGTTACCTTGAGTGAAACTGCTTGGATAGGTAGGGAATGACGTTCAGTGGTAGTTTAGAGTTGATTACTGGGCGCTGCTGTCTCTACTCGTGATGAGCCGAAGCAAACCGTGAGCACGCGCTCGTTACATCGGAAAGGAGCGATACTGAATTGACCAGCGCTATAGATATGGCACTGCTCTTAATTCATGCTCTTGCGGCTCTACACAAACCTTTCTGGATATGCCAAAAACGTGGTCCGCATGATGAGCTACAGTACTGTTCCAGACGTCAGCCGCCCTGGGATCTCAACAGTGAGGCGGTGCAGCAATTGACCAACCATCGGCGGCGCGTACCTGACGGATTCGTGCAAGCATGTACCGATGCAAGATTCAGGAGAAAATGAGGCTGAGCAGCTCTGCTCAAGATAGAGCTATATAGTATCACTTGTATTAGCATGACGACGTTGGCGACAGTGAGAAAGACGGCGAGTGACCGTGTGACCGAGTGACTTGACGTCAATGTGCCCGAATACGAAGCGCGTTGGAGAAGATCGGCGGACCCTGAAATGGTTCCAGGTCAACGCTTGGCAGGAACTTTGGCCGCGGTCTGTCTGCAGCGTGAGGCCGTGAGCTTGGGTCCTAGCCTACCATACCTGGGGTACCAGGATAAATATCGAGACTCGGGAAAAGATCCAAACAAACTTTTCACTACTGGGGAACTACAGATAGGGTGAGTTTCCGGAACTGGTTATTGAAAGCCTTGCGCCATCGAGCCGAGCCGAATGGTCTGGACCGTCAGTTTGTCTCCATCAGCTTGGTTGAACTGATCGATGCAGATGCAAAGCATCAGCATGCATGAATCTCTCAGACTTGTGCAGACTTGTGCAGGACACGCATTCCAGCCCTGCTTCTTCTTTCTGTTTTCCCTGCAGCTGCGTGGCAAACGCAGACTTTTTCCAAGTTCCAACTGGCAACCTTCACATTTATTACCCGCACCATAGTCAGACAAAAGCCAGTCGATCTGATGGTCTCGCCCGCTCCACGGATGGCGGCATCGGTGCGCACGGTCTTTCGGCGCGTTGCCTTCAACGTATTGTACTGAAAGGACGCAGGAACTGTAAAAAGCGCAGGGTTTTGACTTGGAGCTTTTGTTTCGGATCAGGGTACGTAGTGCCGCGTAACCACCACTTCACCGGACCTCATTCGTCCAGCGGATGACTATAGCGGTGCCTGAATGTTAGCACACTCTGCCCCTCTGCTAGCGGCGAGTTTCAGTTTTCGTCAACAGACGGACCTGGGACAGCTCATTTCAACATAAAGACAACAAGACATCAGTTCGGCAAGAGGACAACAGCGACGGGTTCCAGTCCAGCACCGATGCAGAGGACATGGAGGCATGACATGCTCGTATTGACAGGCTGAACTAACGTACCCGGGGGATAGCGTTGAAGCACAGCGGGACAAGCCCCCTAAGTGTCGCACAGAAATAGCACAGCCCCGCCGGTGGCCAATGGGGCACGCTCCCCACCACCGAGAATTTGTGCACCTCGTGCATAACCCACAAACCCGCGGACTAGCATCACCACCACATTGGGACTTGGGAGTCCCTCCTCCACGGTCCACCCGACTGGACCTGTCAGTCTTCAAGTGACAAGTCCTAGCCTGTTGACTGGCCTGTGCGCGTGCAGGACGGACTGTGATCGTCCTTTCCGTCTCCGAACACTCCTTCATTCATCTCATACTTTGCATCATCCTCAGTACCCTGCCCTCAGTATCATCCGTATCGCCGGTTGTCTTGGGAGTTTCCTATTTTCTTTCGTTTCCTACTGTCTCTCGCTTTCAAATACGTATTCGCTTCTTACTCGGACGGCCTTGGGCAAGCTCCGGACTCCGACAGCGGCCCCTTGTTCTTTCAATTTCCAGCAAGTGCCGGCACAAACCGACCGTGCCAGCACTTTACGACGGAAGGCCAAATCGCGAACAACCCGAACGGAGACCTGGCTGGTACATGTCCTGGACTGCAAACAAGAACAGCCGGGCAGCTTCATCATGGACCAAGGAGCAGAGCCGTCATGGCTAGCTGCGCGACAGAACGCTGGCGGAGGCGCCGATAAAGATGCTGGCCAGGAGCTTCTCAAGCTCCTCAAGAATCCCTTTGCTAATCAGGTGGGTCGGGTCATATGTCAATACAGCCCAGCCTCCGCTAACAATACCAGCTTCAAGGAGCGTCCATATACTCCGCGTTTGCCATCTCGCTTGGCTTCACAGCAGCATCGACGATCTTCTTCTCCCTCCTCCGACCCCATCACCAGGCCTTATACGCCCCGAAGCTCAAACATGCCGACGACAAGCACGCGCCGCCGCCCCTAGGCAAGTCGCCTTGGGCGTGGTTCACCCCGTTGTGGAAGATGAGCGAGGAAAATTTGGTCACCACGATTGGCATGGACGCCACCGTCTTTCTGCGCTTCGTCCGCATGTGTCGCAACATGTTCCTCACACTCGCCCTCGTGGCTATCTGCATCCTCGTGCCCGTCAACATGACGCACTACGAAGAGTCCATCACCACAGCCGATACTCAGTGGTTCAGCAAAATCACGCCCGAGTACGTCTGGGGCGACGCCAACTGGGCGCAGGTCATTGTGGCGTGGCTGTTCAATATCATCATTGCCGTCTATCTGTGGTGGAATTATCGCAAGATCACCCAGCTGCGCAGGACCTATTTCGAGAGCGAGGAGTATCAGAGCAGCCTGCACGCCCGCACGCTCATGCTGTTCGACATTCCGAAACCAGCAAGGTCGGACGAAGGCATCGCCCGCATGATTGACGAGATTGTGCCCAACTCATCCTTTGCGCGAACAGCCGTGGCCCGGAACGTGAAAGATTTGCCCGATTTGATCAATCAGCACGATGCTGCCGTGCGCAAGCTCGAGAAGATCCTCGCCAAGTACCTCAAGAACCCAAACCAGCTGCCCCCCGGACGACCGACTTGCAGACCGTCCAAGAAGGACCGTTCCTACGGCTCTTACCCACCAAAGCAGCGCATTGATGCCATTGAATATTATACCCAGCGCATCCGCGGGCTCGAGGTGGTGATCAAAGAAGTCCGCGCCAGTGTGGACAAGCGTGGCTCCATGCCGTACGGTTTCGCCAGTTACACCGACATTGTTGAGGCCCACAACATTGCCTATGCGTGCCGCAAAAAGAAGCCTCATGGCGCGACCGTTTGCTTGGCCCCGCGTCCCAACGACATCATCTGGGCGAACATGCCACTCACCAAGGCCGCCAGGAGTAGGAAGAGCTGGATCAACGCGCTTTGGGTTACGCTCCTCACGTTTTTCTGGATCGCGCCCAACGCCATGATTGCAATCTTCTTGGTCAACCTGGGTAACCTGGGCAACTTCTGGGACGGCTTTCAGAGGTCTTTGGAAAGCAATACCGCCGTGTGGGGTATTGTGCAGGGTATTGCCTCTCCTGCCATCATGTCGCTCGTCTATCTCGTTCTGCCCATGATCTTTCGCAAGCTGGCCATCAAGGCGGGCGACAAGACCAAGACTGGACGCGAGAGGCATGTGCTGGCCAAGCTCTTTGCATTCTTCGTCTTCAACAACTTGATTGTGTTCACGCTCTTTAGTGTGATCTGGACGTTTGTCGCCGGCGTGGTGGACAGCACGACCAAGAGCAAGACGGATGCCTGGGAGGCGATCAAGAAGCAAAACATCATGGACGGCATCTTCTTGTCCCTGTGCAACAACAGTCCCTTCTGGGTAACATATCTGCTACAGCGCCAGCTCGGTGCCGCCGTCGACCTGGCGCAACTCTGGCCCCTGATCTATGCCTTTTTCCAGCGGAAGTTTTCGAACCCGACGCCGCGCGAGCTGATCGAGTGGACGGCCCCGCCACCGTTCGAGTACGCCAGTTACTACAACTACTTCCTCTTTTACGCGACAGTCACGCTCTGCTACGCGGGTATCCAGCCACTGGTCCTGCCGGCGACCGCTCTATACTTTGCGATCGACTACTACTTGAAAAAGTACCTCATCTTGTACCGCTTTGTTACCAAGACCGAGTCCGGCGGTGTGTTCTGGCGCGTGCTGTTCAACCGATTCATCTTCGCCGTCATGCTGTCGAACCTGGTCGTCCTGCTGATCCTCTGGAACCGCGGTGACGGCCAGTTGTACCAGTTTTACTCCGTGTGCCCCCTGCCGATCCTCATGTTTGGCTTCAAATTCTACTGCAAGAACGTGTTTGATGCGCGGATGCACTATTACTCGACGCGCAACGTGGCCAAGAACCCCGAGGCCGGCTTGCAGAAGGAGGACCGCCAGCGAAGCGAGCGCCTGGCCAGCCGCTTTGGCCACCCGGCGCTGTACAAGAAGCTCATTACGCCCATGGTGCACCAGAAGGCGCAGAACCTGCTTCCCTCGGTCTACAGCGGTCGCCTGACCGACGGTCGCGAGGGCGGTGCGGACGACCTTGCGAGCGTCAGTGGGTACTCAGACATGTACGCCTTGAACAAGATGCAGGGTGGCAAGCCGGGTAAATCGGCAGGCATGGCTGGTTTCGAATTCGTGTCGGAGAGCCAGATGGACTTTGAGTACTACAAGAACCGCGCCGAATTCGCAGAGGACCACGGCGGTGGTGAGATGTACGGGCGACCGACCACGCCGGGTTCAGAGTCTGGTCGGTCGTCGCCGTTTGGGCCCAGCAGGACGAACACTGGCCTTTCGGACACAGCATATCAGTCGTACCGCCCCGGAGGTAATGGTCGAGGCTTCACGCCGCCTCCCACGCTGCCAGAGACGAGCGTCATGGGCGCACAGAACGCAATGTACTCGCAGGACAACGGGTCGTCATCTGGTCTCGTGTACAACGCCCAGGCGCCACCCATGGCTCCAGCCCACGGTCGCGACGAATCCTTGGACAGGAGCGGCCTGGTGACGCCAGCGTCGAGAAGCCACAGTCCTGGACCCTCGATGGGCGCCCTCGGTGGTGGACCGCACGGGTACAGCAATCTGGCGCAGACAGAGTACCCCGAAGCGAGTCCCGCCAACGATGACCCGGCGTCGTATGACTATTTCAGGGCGGGCAGGCGCACGAGCAGGCTTCGTCCTGGGCAAGGCTGGTGATGACGAAGATGAAGGTGATTTTTCATCGTTGGATTTTGCATATGCAAGGATATTTGGGTGGCATGGCGTTTCTTTTGGGATAATAGACTCAAGGCAATCCTCCTCTAGGGGGTCGAGATTTGGAAATGTAGACAAAGCTTGTAATGCGCGTATGGACTTATTTTCGTTCATCCTCCTCCTCCTCCTCGCCCTACTCTTATTCCTTCACCCCCCCTTTCTGGGTGCATGTGACATGAGTCGCGCGATGTACTACGTAGTATCAATGATCAGGCAAGACGTTCCCGCGTCTTGGGCGCTGTTGATCGCCAGCGCCCACCGCCACGAAACATTGCTAGCCCCGTCAGTGGCTGTGATTGACCGTTGGGCTGGACTCCAAACTGCCACCCTCCCCGCAAGCCACGGGGACGGGAACCGGACTAGAGCGCTTGTTAGTCTAAACTCTGCCGAGGAGGACGGGGGTTTGGTTGGACGACAGCGCCGTCAGCGTCTCATGGCACGGTGAAGCTCTGTGCTAGTCGCATGTATGTCTAGGCCTAATAAGTAGCTGAACATAGCCCAGGGAGGGCCGAGGCGGGCGGAACCTGGTGGTTGGATACGCGGCTCAGGCAGCAGGGTTTTCAAATTTTGAAGATTGCCGTCTCGAACACTTTGTTGTCCCGTTTCAGAGTTTTGTCTCTCTTTCAAAGCCAGACGCGACAACATCAGCCGGACCTCGCTCAAATATCGGCAAGTACATAAATCCAGCATCATCTCCTTTGCGCGTCGTATGAACAAACGACGGGCATCGATGGATCTCCCTGTTCGTTGCGATACCGCAGGCGTGGTAGTGTGACGCTTCGAGCGCAAATACACCAGACATCAGCAAGCAACATGAGACAACCGAGCGAGAGGGTGACGCTGCCCAAGTCGGACAGTTACCTGCCAGAGGTCTGGGTATGTCCATGTCTCCGTGGGACGCGCGTTCGCGTCGGTGTCAAGAAAGATTCCAGGTCTGACATTTGATGGCATAGTCACTGTACGCGATTGGCACGATTGTCATTCTGCTTCGCTTCGCGGTGCGCATGCGCACAGTCGGTCTGCGCGGGTTCCAAGGCGACGACTATCTCACTGGCCTTGTATGTTCCACACCATAGTGCCATGGAAGGGTTACTGACGGAGGAGACAGTACCTAGTCCTATACACCATGAACATCATCATCGTCCAGTACACATATTATAGTGGTGGAAACGTCGACGTCACGCCAGAACAAGTGGAGACGTTGCCGCAATCCGATATTGACGTGCTGAGATTCGGGAGTCAGCTCGAATTCGTGAGCTGGTACACCTATCCAGGGACAATATGTCGGTGCTCCCCCTTCCTGCCTAGCGACGTCTGCATCCAATGTCCAATGGCGAGTCAAAAATCTAACAATGGCACAGGGACTCTTAAATTCATGGTGCTCTTCTTCTACAGGAGAATAACCCTCGGCGTCCTGCGGGTTAAGACGATTCGCTTCCTCTTCTGGTTCTGCGCCGCGAGCTGGATCGGGCTCATCCTCTCCGTGTCCCTCAGTTGCCGCCCGTACGTTCTCTCCAAGTACCTTTGGTCTGTATACTAGTGTGCTGACGAGTGTCTCACTTATAGATACTCCCACAACTGGCAGATCAAACCCCTCCCCGGTCCAGAGTGCACATTCCGTCCCCAGAACTTCTGGACGCTGTGCGTGCTCAACGTCCTCACCGACGCGGCGCTCATGAGCATCCCGCTGCCCATCCTGTGGCACCTCCGCGTCTCCAAGCGCCGAAAGCTCGCGGTCGCCATCCTCCTGCTCTCCGGCGTCTTTGTCATCTCTACCGCCATTGTGCGCATGGTCATGACTATGGTCGGCGCACCCAACGTTATCACCATCAACAGCTGGGGTTTTCGAGAAACGTGTGCAGGGCTATGCGCCGTCACCGCGCCCATCCTGTGCCCCCTCTTCACGCGCGCGTTCTGGCGAAAAGGGCGGTACGGGCAGGAATACGTGCGGTGGAGAGACAATTGGCTGCGTCCGGGCGAGAGAAGAGAGTCCCCCGGATTCGGGACTTGGATCGGCATGGTGGACGGACTGGAAGATGACGATGACGATCTGTTCAGGTACGATACCGATGACGCCGGGTCTCTGGAGCAAGGGCACCATGAGCCACGTGGTGGATTCACGCCTGGGACGATCAGGCAGGGGACGGCGAGTATTGAAATGTCCGGAACCGTGACCCGGCGGGGCCCCGAGGAGAATGCTGGACCATGGAATGGCCCTCGCCAGAACAATATGAGTGGCGAGACCTTGGCCGGCGCTAGCAGCACTGGACTGGAAAGGGGCGAGTCGGGTGGACCTTCCAACAGCAATGGAAGTCTGCACAAGCATAGTCCGGTATGATGGGCTGGCTGATGGGCAAAGGGGTAGATATTACGACTTCTAATCTTTTTTTCAAGTGATATTAAATGAAATGGAGAATGCAAACCCTTTCACAACAAACTAGGCCAAGAATCTGCCTTCCTCGTGCCACCTTGCTGCAAACTCCAAGAGGTCCTCGCCGATGCCCGTGATGAGTGCGTCCTCCACAATACCCTCCTGCCAGCTGATACCAATAGTCAAGCCCTTGCCTGGGATACTGATCATGTTAAACCCAATGGCCTGCGACACCTGGGCGCCGTTGGAGAACATGGCGCGCAGGATCTCCCAGCCCTGCTCGCCGTCGCTGGTGGACGTGGCGTCTTCCCGCTTGAGGACGCCCAGATTGGAAATCTCCCACGCTCCAGTGCGTGGCTTGTTATTTTTTGAAGCATGGAAGGCGAAGATGTCCTTGATCAGAGGCAAGAGACCAATCACATCATCTACAGGCAGTGTCTCTGCCTTCTTGGACAAGTCAGCCTTGACGCGCCGCGCCGTTTGCCAGATCAGATCATCGGTGGCCCCAGGCTCGCGGAGCGCAGATACAGCGGTAGGTGGGTGATCGTGTGACGTGGAGGTCACGAGGCAACGCATCTTGTTTTTGAGACTCGGGTTGACATCCTTGCGCATGTAGTTCCGAAGGCTCATGGGCGTCGTGCTAGCGAATGCTTGGGCCTCCTCGGCCGACGTCCTCCTGGATATGGAGGCAAGGATCAAGGCGTGGAGTGTACACGTCAGGGTCGAGCCTTTTTCCCTCGATCCCTTGAGCAAGCTTTGCAAGATCGCGGGTGAGAAGTCCAGTGGTTTGATGCGCGTGATATGAGGATGGTCATAGTCTACTGGCTTCCCTGCCCAGACTGGCCTCTTCTGTGGCTTCAGGAAGTTCGGGGCTTTGGCTTCCCACAAGGCCTTGGCGAGGAACATGTATGTGTTCTTGAAGGGAACAGCGTCCTCTAACGGCTCAGGCAGCTCGGGTGGTTCCTTGAAGAGGAGGATCGGGTCCACGACCGCGAGGGGCGGGGGTTGAGACCGAAGTGCCTTTCGGAGATGCTGATGGAACTCTCCGCCGGCATTGCCATCGAACAGGCCATGATGAAAGAGAAATATGATCTGGAAGTACTGCTTCTCGATGGGTCGAACGACAATGATCCTCCAAGGCGCTTGTGTTGCGATGTTTGGCCAAAGTGCTTCATGAGCATCGCCCTGGATCTTGGCAATCTGATTCTCGTACTCCTCAGGTGTTGTCGCACTTGTGGTCACCCATTTCATGTGATTGCGAAGATTTATCTCGGCGAGATGGGAGAATGTGGCCTGGTTCGTGTCCTCGTCCAAGATTCCGACACGCATGAACGGCTGGTCCTTGACAACGTCGCCCAGGGCCGCTGTGAGAGTGGCTTCGGCATCCTTGGTCTGCGAGGGGGTTGAATAGCGCGCCGACACGGAGACTGCGCGATAGATGCCCATGTGGTGACGGCTTGAAGAGAAGAGCTCGGATCCGCTCAACCGGCGTAGGGCCCTAAGCTTTGGGGATTCCGTGACCATCGTCGTGCTGCGTGTACGTTGCCTAGGTAATTTCGTATACACTGCAGATTGAGGAACTGGTGAGAGGGGAGTGGTGGGCAACCCACTGAAATTTTGATCTCCGGGGAATACATGTATGTTGGATCTGTTTAAGGATCAGATTGATGTCTGCCTGTGGACGCCCTACCCTTGACATGTGCCTTGTTACGATGCAGGATCCATTCCTGCTGGGCTCCAGCCAATCGCCATAAAAAATAAGTCATGAGTTCGAATACGTATCGGTGCGTGCCTTGGGTAATAAATCCGACTGAAGCTTGCATCTACACCTAGACCCCGCGTCTCGATCCTTGGACACGGCAAGATGTGGTCCATCACCCTACAAAACCTTCCACATTGGATGAACATGAATGCCGCTCGCGCCGATTGTCTTGCGCAATCGCCACAATTCATCCCGTGTCGAAATGTGGAATCGCAGAGAGCGGACTGGACAGTCTCACCGACGCACCAACGGAACCAAACCTGACTGGAGCTGGTCAGATCCGACCCAAGACGTTTGGTTACTCGATCTTGGCGCGCGAGCCACCTTTGCGATCGAGGTCAAGACACGCGTCCACCAGCAGGCAGCAGATTCTCATGAGCGATATCACATGAGCTTGGACGCTTCAAGCTGGCGGCTTGATGTAGCTGGCAATTGTGCACGTAAGAAATGGGGGAAGCACAAGTTCTGGAACTTACAGTTCAATTATGAAGCCCTCCACGTGACCGTGATGGGTCGACCATCATGCGCAGGGCTGGCGATCGTGCGACAGCGGAGCTAACTTGAGCGCGAAAACACCTACTACGTACTCTCACTGCGCTTGTTAAGCTTGTCAAGTCCCCGAGCATGTTCTACGAGGTCTCTCGCCAGACGTTAGGCAGGTCACAGCCACGATGACCTTGAGCTTGGCCGCAACCGCCTCACGTCTGCTTCAGCGCCTCGCGCCCCGGGTCTTGTCCTCCGACATAACTGATCCCTCGCGGCGTTTCCAATTCATGTCCGATTTGCACCTCGAAGTCTGCCAGCAATACACCACCTTTGACTTTCCTGTGACAGCGCCCTATCTCATTCTCGGCGGGGACATTGGCCGCCTCATCGACCACGATGGACTCCTAGCCTTTCTTCAGCGGCAGACCGCCCGGTACGAGCGCGTGTTCTTCGTCTTGGGGAACCACGAGTTCTATGGCATGGCATACGAGGAAGCGGTGCAGAAAGCGTCGCAGCTGGAAAATGAGCCATCGCTCGAGGGCAAGGTCACCCTCTTGCACCAGGGCCGGCACGACCTTGATCTACCGTCGAAGCCGGGCATTACGATTCTGGGATGTGTCCTGTGGTCGCAGATTGCAGCCGAGTCGGCTGACAGGATCGACACGATGGTCAGTGACTTCAAGGAGATTCGAGGCTGGTCCACCACCACACACAGCGCCACGCACGCATCAGATCGGTCGTGGCTGCAATCCGAGCTGCGCCGTATCCGCGAGGAGGGCGAGGGGCAAGCGCAGCCACGGGACGTGATTGTCGTGACACACCATGCGCCTCTCGTCAAGGGGACGGCGAGCCCACAGCACGAGGGCAACGTTGTGAGCTCAGCCTTTGCGACGGATCTGTGCCTGGGTGAAGAGTGGAGCGGTGTGAAGCATTGGGTATTTGGACACACGCACTGGACGACGGACCTGAAGTCGAGCAATGGCGTGAGAGTTGTGAGCAACCAGCGAGGATACGTCTTTCCGGGGAAGACGCGGGCTCTAGATCAGAGGCCGGTGAAGCATACCTTTGACCCATCGAGACGTATTCAGTGTTGAATTGGGGCGGACTGGACATCATGCGGTAATTACCTACATGTCGTACATGTGCGTATTGTCGGGGTTTGTTGACGTGGAGTGACATGCAGTCATGCAGCTAGACGAGCCAACGCCAGCGCATCAGCAGAACGCATTGGGAAGTCGGAGGAAGAAGTCGGTCGTTGAAGATAAGGAGGATGTTCTTTTCGTCACTGGAGGTACTTACTGATGAGTCCAACAAATAAATGCAATCCAAGTACATGCTAAGGTTGCAGCACAGTATCGGTACAAATATCACGTAACTGCATGTTAATGGGTCCAGGATGGGCCCCAGCCAGCCTTCACCGCGTTTTGGGTACTGCTCTTTCCGACGTGTTTTTTCGAGGGGGTGTGGCTTGGGCCTGAATTGGATGTCAGTGTCTGCTCGAAGGCTGCAACCCTCGGCCATGTTAAGAGAGAAAAATCGATATCGGAGGGGCATACTTCACATAATGATGCTCTGGTCATGATGAAGGTGAAGTCAAATGCTGCTGGGAACCAGATCGATCTACAGCGGTTGAGGCGCCCGTCACGGTGTACGTACTGGAGCCACTAATGTAGCGAACCAGTGGGCCACTAACAGCCAGCGCCCGCCAAGGCCCAGCTGGCCCTCACCATGAGTTAAGCCCCCATTCGACGCCTTTGACCTCCATTTATTTGTTTGGCTCCAGTCTTGCCTTCGGCCTTGCCTCTTGTCGCCTGTTGGATTTTCTAAAACAACACGCGACGGACGACGCAGGATACTCTCTGGTGTCGCCCTGCCATTCCCATTGGGCTGGGTCTCACATCGCTGTCTGCTTCTGTTTGATTTTTTTCTCTTCGCGACGTAGCTCGAGGCTAGACAGCTTCGCAAGGCGTCGCGTGGACTAACAAGACTGGCTGGCGCCAGAAGTTCAGCAGCAAACTCCTTTCCTGCATTACTATGACTACGGCGCGCCTTCGAACTCAGCCTGCGATTGACTATGCTACAATACCCTGGCGCGTGCTTGCTACTTTCATCCTTGCTTGAAATTTGAACGCGTTATGGAGGCCGCGAAGGAAGGCGTGAAGGAAGGCGCAAAGGCGCGTCCAGCCAGTTCTTCCTCAGCTGGCATCAAGAACCTCGCAATCAACGGAAGCCACGACCGCAAACCACTCTTTCCACGGCACCAGTCCACCATCTCGGCCGACCACGCCCACTCCCCTTCGAAACAGCCCGCGCTGAGCCGACGCGCTAGCAGCGCGAGCGCCTCCAAGCTCCCCACGAGTACCTTGTCGCAGGGCACGCGCAAGCCACTCTCCCTGACGGAAGCTATGCGCCTCGCGGAGAAGGAGGAGGGCCTGCACGCAGACCACACCGACGAGTCCCAGCCCATCGATGCCTCGCCGAGTCCTGCGCCCCGCCCATGGCGTGAAAAGAAGGACAGCGTGGAGCCGATCCCTATGAAGAAGGACGGCGTGAAGCGCACCGAGCCCATCAAGAGTGCCGGCAGCGACGGCGCGAACTGGCGCGAAAAGTCGGACTGGAGAAGCAAGAAACCCGAGAGTCACGAGAGCACCAATGGCGACGCGCAACTTCCCGACCTCGTTCCTGGAATTGAGGATGTCCCGCTGCCATCCGTCGAGAAGGACCCTGCCTCGGACTTGCGCAAGACCGTGGGACCGCCCAAAAGCTTTGCGCCAAAGGCTCAGTCGCCAGACAAGGTCTTCACCTGGCAGATTGACGACGACTTCACGGCCGGCGATATCCAGGTGTCCGATAGTCCGAGGCTCAAGGCAAATGGCAACCGGCCATTTGCAGATCGCTTAAAGTTTGACGAGAACAGCGAAGTGGATATTCATTCAAAAACCCGCGTCAACAACCCAGGATCCCAGAACACAAGACTCGATGAGATTCACTCCAGGGAGGTCAAAGCTGGCAACAACATCCCGCTCGAGCGCCCAGCCGACCAGCAGAACACAAAGCTCGACGACATCAAAGCACGCGAGGCCGATGCAGAGGCAAAGATACCTATACCGAACCGACACTTGTCGTCGCCTCCAACCAACACCAAGCTCGACGACATTCGGCAACGGGAAACAGCAGGCTTGTCTAAGCGGCAGCTCGCGTCGGCCCGACTGGAAGAGATTCGGGAGAAGAATGCAGCATCGCGGTCCAAATCACCCGAAGAAATCCAGCCGATCGTCAAGGGACATCGGGCTAGTCCGTCTCTCACGCAGAAGCCCATTTGGTACCGACCAGGCGGCGGCGCCGTGGCCGCTGTGCCGGACACCCCTCCGTCGACCTACAAGACGCGCCGCGAGAGAATGGCTGAGGAGCGCGCAGCCAGCGCTGCTAGCGGCGGGAGCCCTAATACGTCCCCGTCTGACAAGGCAGCCGAAGAGTCGCAACCCGCGATTCCACGCCCTACGGTGTCGCACCGTCGCGCGGACTCGAAAGATCTGCTGCGGCAGGTCATCCGGGGCTCGAGCGAGAGTCCCGCGTCCGATTCACAGACCACCAAAAAGGTCGGACGGAAGAGCGACAAAACATCCGGCGAGGGCTCACCTGCCCGAGGCTCGCCCCGAAGAGCAGCAACCACGAGCAGCGCTGCCGCCCGGCGACGCGCGACCACTAAGAATGGTGCAAGACCCAGTACGGGAATTGCCGGACTGAGGAGGATCATGTCCTCAGAATCATCATCGGGGAGTAAGAGATCCAGTGTACATTCTGAGACTGATCCGACTGATCGCATCGAAGGGGAGATGAGTCTGTTTGCGCCTAGAGACGACTATTCGGAACGAGGCTCGGTGCGGGCAGCGTCACCATCCTCAGAACCTAAGCGGTCGGAGGATGTGGACTCAACGCCCAAGGCGCCCGTGAAGCATCAGGATGTGCTCAGCATGCCCACGCCCAAGGTGTCCGGAGCTTACGTCGAGACCCCGGCGACGATCAGGAAGCTTGACTTTGGGGGGAAATTGGACGATCAAGATGACGCGAAATCCACCAGCAGTGAGCCGCTGAGGGCGCGCGACAACGGTACGGCGTCTGATCTAGGCGCAGATGAGAAGCGCCGCCGAAGCCGATCCACATCATCTTCGAGACGACCCCGTGCGCGATCTCTGCCGCGGAACAAGCGATCGCTCAAGAACACTGCAGTCCTTCCCTCCGTCAAGGCAGACCTCGCTGAGATTAAGAACATGTTCAATCTCGAAGATTCCACCGTGGACGACTTTGAAGAGGTCCTTGCTGGTACCAAAACAGCCTCACCCGAAATCACGGACCTACTTGCGAAGCTTCCAGAGAAAGCTCCCGTCAACGACAGCTTTGACATCGAGCTCGATGCTATGAAGGAGCGCGACGGCAAGATCAAGCGCAGGATGAGCGATCCGTCCCCCCAAAAGCCCGACCGCATCTCCAAGACAGTCGTCAAGCAGGAGGACGATGACAATACCCTCACTCTGACGGAGCGCATGGTCGGCAAGCTTGGACGGTCCTTGGCGGGTGTGAGGACATCCCAGCAAGGCATTGGCCGTCTGGCCGATGGCTTCTCCAAGACTTCCGCCAACAGGCCCTCTGCGGTTCACAAGGGAACAGAGGAACCTGCCACAGAGAAGGTGTATATTCACGTCAAAGACACCGACTCCGCCGGCTACCTCCGAATTCCCATCCCCAAGCTCTATACCACAGAAACCGGTCTCCGCCTAACACCCCTCGGCATCCTGACAATAGTCTTCGGGCTGTGGTACCTGTTTGAGAGCATCATGTGTGGCCTGTACTGCCAGCCGACGAGCTGCTCCTCAGAGATGCCGTGCAAGTGGTCGCACGATGATCCGACATTTGGCCAGGCCATCCCCGTCAAGCTCGACCAGTGGGCGACGGGTGGTGCGGGTCGCTCCGCTCTCAACGCTGCCGGCCGGGACCTCGCAGACGCTATCCTCGACATCACCGATTCCGTGCAGGGCACCGACATTCGTGACGTTGACGTGCAGTCGCTGACCTTTGAGGGCCGCAGGAGGCACCGACGGCGCATGATGAAGAAGGGCTACCTGAAGCGAGACGAGGATGTCGACTGGGAGACGAGGAGGAAGTGGGATGCCTGGCACCGCGCCAGAATGGAGAAGGAGGGTCGCGTCGCGGCTGGCGAGGCCGAGGTGAAGAGCGTCGGGGAAGATATGCCTATTTTCTAGAGTTGATATGAGTATGATGATGTATAATGGCTAGCAGGACATATGTTTCGTATCACCCAAGTTTACATACGTAGGTGCATGTCGAACACTGAATGGCTCTTCTTCTCTCTCCACCACGCCAAGTGATAGATTAGTGATGAGTATTAGTTAGCATTACATATATGTTCGTTCGTGTCTACTCTGTATAGATTCTGGTATCATCCACATGGCGTTTATAAAATCAACTCCAACCCAGGCGCTTGTTTACTTGCTGTTGCATTTATCATCCACGACGCAGATCTTGACGCTGACAGCAATGGCAATGACCACGATGATGAGGAAGAGGACGAGCATGAGCCACCAGAAGAGCTTGCGGCGGTTGCGAGCATGTTTGATACCGACCTCGACCTGGCCGGTGCCCTTTTCGAGGTTTTCCACGGTGCCGACGGCGTTGGTTTCGGCGGCCTGGACGTGTACGTCCTGCTGCTCGACGACGGTCGCCAGGTCCTGGTAGATGGCGGCTAGCTCGATGAGGGTCTGTTCGATGCGCTGGAGCTCCCCATGGCGGGCGCGGACGTTACCGAGGACGGAGCTGGCCTGGCCGGTGCGGTTGGTGCGGAGCTACTTCATGTCAGTATTTCAAATAGGGCAAAAGAAGGAGAAAGTCGTACCGCCGCCTGGAAGACGCCCTCATTGCCCCAGTCGGCCTCGGTGGCCTGCTGGACCTCGTGCTCGTCGGCGTCGGGGTTGATGATCCTGTACTGGCGTGCAATCTGCTCGCGGTAGCGCGCGCGGTATTCGCCCTCGACGCTGCGAAAGGTGTCGATCTCCCTGCGGAACGAGGACCGCAGGGTGTCGAGCTGGGTGGTCTTGACGCCCCGCGCGCCGCCCGTTGTGCTCGCCAGGTCGTGCTCGAGCGCCTTGATGCCGTCCTTGATGCTGGCGATGCGGAGCTGTGTCTGTGCGAGGAGCTGTTCGAGCTGCTGGCCGTGCTGTTCGTGGCCGCTGGCGCTGTTGAGGACGCGCTGGTGCAGCTGGCTGATGGTGGTGAGGTCGCTGGTGAAGGAGTCGATCTGTTTGCGCAGGTCTTGCACGCGATGGAGGAAGTCTTGTTGGCTCAGGATGGCGGAGGGATCACTATTGTTGTTGTTGTTGTTGTTGTTGTTGTTGTTGTTGTTGTTGTAGCCTTGCATTTCGTAGTTTTCTTGGGCGTAGTAGTTGTCATGTTGGCCGTATTGTTGTTGTTGGTCTTGAGCATAAGGGTTCTGCTCCGCGTATGGGTTCGACATGTTGATCTCTGCTCGTTCATGGGCGTGCTTGGGGACGATTGCTCTCTAAATGTTCCCTCCTCGTAGATTGGGCTGATGTGTACTCGTGGGTAACCTGGTCAAGGTAGAAAGCGACCGGAAGTGATACTTAAACACCGACAGATATAAGATATGCGACAAGAGGCTCTTGAGGATGAGCTGAGCTAGGCATTGTTAAATCCGGTCATTCAGGGTCCAGCGGCCCAGCGCGCAGGACACTAAGCCTACCTCGGTAGCGTTTGTGGCGGTTCCTGCACCCAGCACGACTGCGGCGACCCGCGGGAGCCTGACTGGACTTGGATTATCTGAGGATTCCCTTTTATAGCGTCAGCCGTGGCTAGTGATTATTCTAGGAGAGACAGACAACGGCTGAGCTTGGAATCAGTCTACGCTGTTGATGCGTCGTGATGGTGGCGCAGCAGGTCCTCGCGCGCTCGAATTCACCATCAGTTGCCATCCACTCACTGGGGACTAGCGAGGCTGTGCTGACGGGCAGCGGGAGAACCTTTTGACTTTTCGCAGACTTGGATCGACTTCTCATAAGGTAAGGTGTCTAACTTTGCAAATTCCAGACTTGAGAGACACTGTCCCCATGCGTAGGTAGTTCTGGTCAAGGAAATCACTTGATTCTGGGGTAGCTTGAACAGACGTCATATCAATCAATGAGTGCGCGTGTTCGATCAGACAGAACTCTACAAGGAGTGGAGGTAAAAGAGTAAAAAAGGAACCGCTGAGCGGTCGGCGGATCTCTCCCGCCGGGAATTGAACCCGGGTCTCAAGCGTGACAAGCTTGCATACTGACCACTATACTACGGAAGAATTTTATCGATAAGCGAGCTGTGTGCAGCCGCCGTAGTCGGTCATGCTGAAATGAATTCCAAAATGACCATATGACCTACGTCTACTTGCAACCGTAATCCATCCCATTATCAATCTCGCTGTGGCGGGGGTACAAGTGGTGACTTTGACTTTTCTGTCCACGCCTGTCTTTATTTAAGAACACTATTAGAATTACGCTCGTCTTTGAACATGAGCACGCCCACGAGAGTACTCGAAATAAAGAACTACTTAGGCAACATAGTTGACCGTGGTGCGGCACTCATTGTTGTTCCCCCAATGCTTGCTGCCGCACCTCCCGCACCCTCCCATGTCCGAGTTCTTCAAATCCTGATAGTCGTACCACATCTCGTTGCCCGTGCGCGTGCACGCCGCCGGCCCCGCGATGAAGATCTTGCAGTTGTCGCGCTGTGCGCCGTCCATGTCCATGCCGCTCTCGGCCGAGCCGTAGTTGACGTCGTCGTTGCGGATGAGCTCGCTGTTGACCGCGCGGTCGCAGTTGCGCACGAAGTTGATGGCGCTGCCGCACATGCCGCTGCCTTTGCAGTCAAAGGGCGGCGGGATCTCCTTGTTGTTGAAGTCGCCCGAGTGGTCGATCTTGCAGGGGAAGTTGTGCTTGGACTTGTCCGCTTCTGGATTCTTGTAGAAGTTGTCCCAGGCCGTCTGTAGGTCGCAGATGGGCAGGGCAAAGGTGTTGGCGGCCTGGATGTTGTCGGCGAGGCCGGTGATCTGGTCTTCGGGGACGCCGTCAGCGAAGTTGAGGCGGGTCTCGTGGTTTTTGTTGCCGTTGGCGACAAAGGTGTTGATGGAGCTGTTTGGTGTGACGAGTCGCGGTTAGTCTGTGGTTTGTAGATGCTCAAGCGAGAGAGCATAAGAGACAGGGGAAGGAATGGAACGAACCCAAAGACAATGTCCTCACGACTGATGCCGCCCCAGACCTGGCCGTCCATCGTCTCGATGCCAGGAAGCGGGGGGAAGGGTCCGCAATCATTTGTGTCGTTGTCTTCAAAGGGGCTGCCGCCGTGGCAGCTTCCGGTGGCGGCGACGAGATAGTACGCGCGCCCGCCGTGGCAGGCCATTCCCGAGCCCTTGACGCCGGACAGGAACTTGTCCTCGTTCTGGCCCCAGTCGCCGCCAGCGTCCTCACAAGACATGCCGGAGTCTAGAACGCTGTCACTCATGTTAGTTCTAGTGGGTAGAGCGAAAAAGGGGCAAGTAGCCAGCTCGCGCAGAGCCACGTGACTCACAAGGGGCTGATGTCCTGCTCCGAGATCTCCCACGCCAGGGGGATCAGCGCGGCATAGATTGAGCGCTCCAGCTGATGGCGTAGTTCCTCGACCGAAGGAATATCGGTGGTCGAAGCCACCATCTTGCCGTTGGCTATGACCTTGCCCAGCATCTCCATGTCCTCGTCGCTGCCGCTGAACAACTTTTCCGCTAGCTTGACAACGGAGTTCTGCCAGATGAGGATAATGTCCCTGAGCCTCTCCGTGACCTGGTTCTGGGACCCCAAGGGCCCCTCTGCGGCCGAGGTGAGATCTTTGGCCAGCGTGATGCCGTTCGAAACTAGGTTGTTGGTGAAGTCCGTGAGACTGTCAAAGTCGTTGGGCCTGTCCTCGGCGAACTTCCACCCCTTGAGGGTGCTTTTCCAGATGGGAGCAGCCAGTGAGCCGTAGCCTAGGAGGACAATGTCCATGATGACGTCAACGTCCATCGTTTTCTCCTTCTGGGGTGCAAAAGTGTCGCTGAAGGTGCCGATGCCGCCTCCAATATCGTCATGTGCGTTAGACAGCGTCTCGTGCAGGTTCCACAGGATCTATAAAGAGGGACTCGTTAGAAGGAGAGCCACGGACAGTTGAAGGTTAAAAGAGAAGGAAACTCACGCCGTCGAGCTTCCGGAAAGAGTTGAGGATAAAGTATCCAGCCGGGTGGTTGGTGTCATGGCACTGCAGGGCGTTGCCGCCCTGGCAGCCGTTGTTGCCGATCATTTTATGGCAGTCCATGAACTCGGGCCCGTTGAAAACGTTGCTGACATGGCGCGGAAAGGGGAACTGGCTGTCGGGGTTGCTGTCCCTTTGTGCCTGCCACCCACTGACGACTTCGCTCCAAGCGGCGTCGGCTGCAATCCTGGACCAGCGAGTGGCCTCGTCGACGCTGGCATCGTCGACCCCGTCACTGCTGCACCGGACGGACTTCCAGTCGATGGGATCCTGACGGACTCGTAGAGCGGACACTGGAACTGTTGCAGCGTGGCTAAGCTGCAAGAAGGTAGCCGTCAGGGCCATGCTGGCTAAACCTGTGGAAGCCAGGGTAGGCATCTTAGACGCCGTGTTGTCGTTATTTCAGAACAGGTCAGGACGAATGAATATGAGAAGAGCAAGAAGCGTAAAGTAGCTGAGAAGGAAGGTGCTATCGGCGTTGGGTTGCTCGTCTTGTCTACCTGTAGGTATTGATATATTCTCAATCATCGCTAGACCCACGGATCGACACAGCATCTTATATATCCAACCCCATTCTTCTCTCCTCGCATCCTTCCTTCATCTTTTCTGGACGAGGCTAACAAGTTTCAAAGGTTTCAACTTTGTAATTTGCTAATAATAGGGAGGATTATGGCTTAGCTCCTTCTGACGAGGCGCTAGCCGGCCCCATTCTGCACCTACACATAACCGCCCGCCGAGATCTACAGGTTCGAGTTGAGTGTGTGGTGCCATTGGTGCACAAGTGACGCCAAGCGCCCATTCTCAGTAGACGCGCCGAGAGAGGCGAATAAGCGGCGTATGCTGTTTGGCGGCACGGTCCCAGACTGGCTTGAACATGGGCTTGGAAGAGAGTAAACTAGATCCTTCGGTTGCGACCTTGGGGCTGAGCAGGTCGGATCCTTTGGATCGCGCTTGCGCGCCACCTTTAGGTCCAGTCGGGTACTGCAATCTTGGATCTAGGAGTTTAGGAGTTTAGGAATTTAGGGGTCCGGGTACTATAGAGATCTAGACGTCTGGTCCAGTTGCCGACTTGATGCTCGACGTCAGAGGCAAAGGCCAACTGTGGAGTAATTCTGGTTATTTCAGGGGTATGTGCCCCGTAGGGCTGAGGCTGGAGCTGGAGCTGCACACATGCTCTTCACCCTAGAGAAGCTGATTAAGTCACTGACTCGACAGACCCGAGGTTTCACCATTTTAGACTTGATTATCTTCTTTAAAGGATGCCGAGGGATGTTACACACTAAACTCTAACTCTAGCTCCCATCGCACGCCTGCTGATCTCTTCGCCCTTTCACTGAGTTAATGCCCATCCCGATCAACTCTCAGCCTACTCTTGTAGGTTCTTCTTCATGCTGTCCACCGCCTCCCGTGAACTAATGCTCTCATTTGCCATGATACGCTGTCGGCTTCCCCTGCATCGTGGCCCAAATCGATGACCGCAACGGCACATGCGCTGACACCCCATGTCCATTTTTCAGCCAGGCTCGATGCGGCCCCCAACTCCAAGCCCACCACCTGAGCGTTGACCATCGCTCTGCTGCCCCCGGGACATAGCGTCGGCCAGCTCGGTCTCAACGTCGGGTGCGACACCCTCGACTCAAGATGAAACAAAGAAGGATGACAGAACTCCCGTTTCGATCAGTAAGCTGCATGGTCATAGCAAGGTAATCTTCGCCGTAGCCATTTAGGGCGTCGGTCCATTATCCCATCTGACTCCTTTCCCTCGCCATTCTCGCCACCCTCGCCGGCAGAATCTCCTCGACTACATGTAGCATCTCTTCCAGGACTATCCCGGCTTACACAATGAGTTGATCTTTAGCCCTGCGAAACATACAGGATGGGATTTCTCTGGTCTTGTGGTATACCCTTCCACTCATCATCTGGGAACCACTTAGCCACGCCTGAGCAGGCTCAGCTAGGTAACTATTAGCAGGAGTAGCAGGGCCCCAGCGTCGATTAGGTGCCAATTTGAATACTTTACCTGCTATTGTACTTGCTGTTTCGGGTTCTTTGCTATCAAATCCACAATTTTATTAGCCATTCTTTTGTGCTGTTCTTCTACCTGCTATTCAATTTGTAGAATGCCGCTTGTGACCCCGTTGCCTCCTAGCGCTTTGCTCGGGGAGCTTCGGGGTATCGCTCTCTCTATCTCCGGTCCCGTGATGTCTAGGCATTGGATTGCCGGAGGATACTGATAGCCCACGATGTCGGGAAGATCTGCTCTTGCTGGGGGCGGAAAAAGGACTGGCGGAGCAGCCCGGCTTCCTCCTGTGGTTCATAGGCGAGCTACCCCGTCCGGTGTTGCCTTTATTTTTTAGCCCATTTAACCAGGTTCCAGAGGCCAGATTAAGGTACCGATGCATCTTCCACTCTTTAATAGTAGGTGATTCGTAGTAGTTTTTGGACGTATCAGCTTTTCCTATTGCGCGCTTTCCTATAGGCTAAGGTTAGGTCGATTATAGATTTACTATCTTTCTATCGGTAAGTCGGTGTCCTAGGAACTATAAGTTATAGTTAGAAGCTCTTAATGATCGAGATAAGTTAATTAGCACTTAGACAGCTAATGGTCTATCGATATATTGCCGACCAGCAAGGATAATACAAGTTGAGTGTCTCTAAGCATAATTGCTCCTTCAAACGGGTCTATTCTGCCGATTGCCTCGTCTAAGATAGAGAGCGTGTTGGTCTCCACTTTATTATGGAAGTTGATGATCTGTGTCGATTTACCGAACTTGGGCCCGCGGATTTGTAGGGAGATATTGTCTTCTGAGATATATGAGACGCTCTCGGTAGCAGTGTCGATACGCTTGATGCAGAAAAACACCCTCGTCCCGCCGTCAGAGAGGTATGTTAGGTGAAGTGTATATGACTCGCTGTCCTGCCCAATTCCAGTACGTAGGAGAAGGTCCACATTGTCATCGAATTGTGTGTTCCTTGGGTGACCAGTTTGCCGAGCATTCTCTGACTGTGTGGTCAGGTGACCTCTTCTATCCTCTCCGGCTGGCGGGGTGATCAGAATTTGTATTCCCGTTGCTCTTGTTGCTCTTGTAGTTTCAGGGGTACCGGCGAGGTGTTGACGCTGTTCAGGCGCCTGTGGTTGTCTCATCGTGGATCCCCGGGTCGTTGTCGCTGCATAGTCCTCCAGCAATTGGTCATTTGTCACGGCGACTAGCTTATGTACGTCGTCATCCTCACGAGTATCGCGTGTGTACCGTGTGGTTCGCTCCGCGGGACCGTCCCTCATAGGTACGTGCCAGTAGACGCTGCGGCATCCTTTGCTTGTTCAATGCGTTTCGATTCTGTTTTTCTCGCTGGCCCGGCATCGCTCCATGCAGCTTTGCAATTTGCGCATCGAGGAGTGAATCCCTTCACCTCTCCTTGTCGCTTATGACAAAATAAAGATAGGGGAGTATTTGGCCAAAGGATGTCTCGGTGTTGTAGCTTGAACAACTCTTGACTGTATGTACATTGTGTCTCGAACAGAGACGCCAAGACTACACAGTAAATAGAGACTCTTAAGAAGTGCACCGTTTGAAACGGTCAGTCTCAAGCTCGTTGCCCTCCATATCCGGAGGCTTCATCCTCCCCCTTATGAGGAAGATGCTTCCTGAATTAGGACACTACGAGCATTGAAGTAGATTACTACGGAAGATGTTCGGCTGTTGACAGTCGTCGTATTGAGATCACGTGAAAATTCGTCCAAGATGAGGAGGCACTATAAAGATATGACCAAACAACGAATTTTCACACTTTCTTTTCACCACCGACGCAGCCGCGCTCGGCGCCTGGGAAGTCGGTCGGAGAGCCGCACGGCGCGCTGACTGTCTTGGCGCACCCGGATGGCCAACCATATCGGACGTTCCGTCTGCCTAGCGGGTCGCATCGGAATCGCACTGCAGCCAGCGTTGCAAGTGAACCTGCCGAGTCAGGGGCATCCGCAGAGAGCCTTTATTGCCTCAAGCATAGGATTGGTCCCGTTGACCGTCCAGCGGGGCGGATGACGATGCCACTTCTGAATCTGCCAGTGGTCTGACGGCTTGTGGGGCCCACCACTTTTGAAACTAGGATTTTGTTCAAGCACGACGTCGTTCAAAGACCATCGGAAAGGGAAGGAAGGATAAGAAAGAGATTGTATATGTAGTAGCAGTGGTGAAGCCGACAGACGCATTTCGGTGCCCCCTCGTCCTGGTGCAACTTTCCTCTCTTCTTTCCCTCTGCGTACCTCGTAAGGTAGACAACAATCCTCTCTCTTTTCGCCGTGGCCTAGCCTATCATCCTCATCCACCATGGCAGTCAATCCACCAACTTTCCTGAGGATCCCTACAGAGATCCGCATGATGATATACGAGCATCTTTTGGCGACCAACGAGCACAATGCCATTGCCATCCGCAATTTTCCTGAGGACAAAAAGGGCGACTACGTCAAGCAGAAATGCAGGAGCAAATACAACATTATCGACCGGACATTCGCCCGTCGCTCATATCAGACCACCTACTATCGGGCGTCAAAGGCCGAGCTGGCGCCAGCCATTCTCGCCGTGAACCGCCAGATCAGAGAAGAGGCCTCGTGCTATTTGTACGGGAAGAATATGTTCACATTCGGACATGATCTTGAGGCTGTCGTGCCATTCATGGAGGACCGCACCAAATCGACTCGGGAGCTTGTCCGGGAGATTTCGCTGCAAAAGAAAGCATGCGGCGGCGACGACTTGGAAGCCGACTCGTACGCCTGGACGGGCGTTTGCCGCTACATGAAGGGCATGGACAGTCTCAAAAAACTTCGCGTCGTCGTTCAGGCGGGGTTGCCCACCGCCGAATGGGAGGGACCTCGGCAACTGAGCGTCTCCGACTTGAGGTTGTTGTATGCAACCAAGCATCAGAGTCTAGAATGGGTCAGAGAGTTGGCGCAGATCGGCGACATCGAGTCAGTCGAGATCGTCGCAGACATGTCACCCACGGCGAAGCCCGACAACAGCGCGTCCCTCATCTCGGCTGCGTTTTCTAATTCAATCGAGACGTCTTTGATTGAGTTTATGAGGGCAGACTTGGGGGTGCCTGCGGTGAGCCCCGCAATGGAAGCAACCTGAGGTGCAGCTTGAAGCTCATGGGTTGGTTGTATGACATTTGTTTCTTGAGCGCTGGTGTTTGGTGTTTTAGGGTAGGCGGGCCATTTTCTGCATTCGGATAGACATTCTGCTTGAGCTATTAGACATTAGATTCTGGGTAGCTAGACTTATGAGACATGTTTCGATGACTTGAACATGTGCGTTCAATTTAGAGTTCATGGTTCAATGACTTTCAATGCTGCCTGCAATGGCCGCCGTCGTCGTCACACGCGTTGAGTTGGGCGATTATTACCCCCAGTCCACGTCGGTCGCTGCCAGTGGCCGCGTGGGCTGTCTTTTGATAGGTGCCTTGCCTGAGCACCGCCCCATACTTCGATAAGCCGGGCCTGGGCCGCCTGGCGTAGAGCGTCACTACCAACCACCAAACGTCAACAGCTGCGAACCGCCTTGGATTACAGACATCTCTCGAAGCATCGCACCGCAGCAGGACGTCCTCGATACACGCATTGTCGCATACCAGTAGACGACCGTCTCGCCACTGCTCAATCTCGCCATTGAGCTGCTGGCTTTTCTCTCCTTCCTTCAGCCCAGACCGCGAGCCACCCCGCTGCCGACTGCCTGACTGCTCCAACCACCCCGAGCTCCATCCACGATGGCAGCAGCGCCACCGCCGGACCAAGACCAGGCGCGTCTGCTGGAAGATGCCCTGGTGGCTGTCCGGCAGCAGACATCCATGATGCGCAAATGTCTGGACACGCCTGGAAAGCTCATGGATGCGCTCAAGTGCTGGTGAGTTGGGACAACTCTTCCTGCCTGCCTACCCTCCAGGCGGCGCAATGTACCGTAGCTAACAGCTTCAGTTCCACCCTCGTTTCTGAGCTTCGAACGAGCAGCCTGAGCCCCAAGCAGTACTACGAGCTCTACATGGCCATATTTGACGCCCTGCGCTATCTGTCCGTCCACCTCCGCGAGAACCACCCCGTCAACCACCTCGCCGACCTCTACGAGCTTGTCCAATATGCGGGCAACATCATCCCTCGTCTATACCTCATGATCACCGTTGGAACTGCCTACATGTCGGTGGAGGACGCGCCTGTCAAGGAGCTCATGAAGGACATGATGGACATGAGCCGTGGCGTGCAGCACCCCATCAGGGGCCTGTTCTTGCGCTACTATCTGTCTGGCCAGGCTAGAGACTACCTTCCGGACGGCGAGGGCGATGGCCCCGAGGGCAACCTGAGCGACTCGATCAATTTCGTCCTGACAAATTTCGTGGAGATGAACAAGCTGTGGGTCCGCCTACAGCACCAGGGCCACTCGCGGGAACGCGAGGTCAGGCTGCGGGAGCGCAAGGAGCTGCAGCTCCTGGTAGGTAGCAACGTCGAGCGCCTGAGCCAGCTGGTGGATTTGGAGACGTACAAGACCGGGATCCTGGGGCCACTTCTTGAGCAGGTGGTCCAGTGCCGAGATGTCCTTGCACAGGAGTACCTATTGGAGGTCATCACCAAAGTCTTCCCTGACGAGTTCCACCTTCATACCCTGGATCGCTTCTTGGGCGCCGTCTCCCGTCTCAACCCACACGTCAATGTCAAGGCTATCGTTATTGGTTTGATGGATCGCTTGTCCGAGTTTGCTGAGCGTGAAAACACGAACAACGGCGGCGAGGACAGAGCCAAAACCGAGTCGGATGCATTGGTCACCTTGTTGGAGAAAGTCAAGCTCGCAAAAGAGGCGCCTCCCAAGCCTCAGGGGTCCGAACAGGACGGCAAGGGCAAGCAACCGGCGACTGCTCCAGCGGAAGCCAACGGCGAGCCGGCGGATGATGAGGCGACAGCCGAGGAACCAAAGGAAGGCCAGGAAGCCGACGAATCCACGCAATCTACCACTACAATGGAGACGGACGCGACGACTCTCAATGGAGCTGGAGCACCAGCTGACGAGAGCCCAGCCAACGTCCAGTTGTATGAGGTCTTCTTTGCGCAAGTCAAGAACCTTGTCGAGGCGCAGCACCTCCCTATCCAGGACGTCATTGCGCTGCTCGTCTCGCTCTGCAATCTGGCTCTCAACATCTATCCCGAGCGCCTCGACTACGTCAACCAAATCCTCGAGTACGCCACCGTCAAAACCCGCGAGCATATGAACAATGCAGACTTGCATTCCGCGCCCGCCCAGCAAAGCCTGCTGGCTCTTTTGCAAGCGCCTCTGACCCGTTACGTTTCCATCTTTACCGCCCTGTCATTACCGACCTACGTGCCTCTTTTCCAAGCGCAGACATACCCAACCAGACGAGCTGTGGCCGGTGGCGTGGCGCGTGCCCTGCTCAAGAACCAGACCAAGATCGAGACGACCGACCAGTTGGAGAATGTGCTCGAGGTGCTGGCCGTGCTAATCAAGGAGGGCAACCAGCCACCACAAGGGGCATACCCTGCCGCACAACGGAGGACCGCTGAGACCGACGAGACCATTGAGGAGCAAGGCTGGCTAGCGCGCATCATCCACCTGCTCCAGGCCTCTCACAACGACACCCAATTCAAGCTCCTGCAGATGACGCGCAAGGCGTATAGTGAAGGCGGCGAGCGCATCCGCACCACAACACCACCACTGGTGACAGCATCCCTCAGGCTTGCGCGCAAGTTCAAGCTGCGCGAGCACTACGACGATAACTGGGAGACACAAAGTAATGCACTGTACAAGTTTATCCACTCGTCGGTGAGCACCCTGTACACTCGCGTCAATGGCGCGGGTGCAGCTGAGATGGCTCTGCGACTATTCTGCGCTGCCGGCCAAACGGCCGACTTGGCAGGCTTCGAGGAGGTGGCCTATGAGTTCTTTGCGCAGGCCTTCACCGTGTACGAGGAGGCCGTGTCGGATTCCAAGGCCCAGTTCCAGGCTGTTTGCGTGATTGCTACCGCCTTGCACCAGACACGCAACTTTGGCCGCGAAAACTACGACACACTCATCACCAAGTGCGCCCAGCACGGTAGTAAGCTTCTGCGCAAGCCGGACCAGTGCCGTGCCGTCTACCTCGCCAGTCACCTGTGGTGGGCGACACCTATCGCGTCGAGAGGAGAGACTGAAGACACAGAGGTGAGTTTCTACAACACAACGTAACACGCAATTTTGATGTTGACACTTGGTAGCTCTACCGTGATGGGAAGCGCGTGCTCGAGTGCCTCCAACGAGCTCTCCGCGTCGCTGACTCTTGCATGGAGACAGCCACCAGCATCGAGCTTTTCGTGGAGATTCTCGACCGCTACGTATACTACTTTGACCAACAGAACGAATCGGTGACGACAAAGTACCTCAATGGTCTCATCGAGCTCATCCACTCCAACCTCAACGGCAATCAGCAGGAGTCGGCGTCCATCGAGCAGAGCAGGAAACACTTTCACAAGACATTGGAGAACATTCAGAGCAGGCAGTACGAGGGTGTGGTATTGTATCCTAGTTAATTGCGTGGTGGGGGTCGGGTCGTCTGTCTAGACTTGTCTGTAAATATGTATACCCGTTCGCTACTAGTAAGCATGCCACGCAAGGAGTCTTCCTGATCCTTCTAGTTGAAGCCAACGCGCCACTACGTCATTTGTGTTGCCCGACTGAGCCGATCCCAAGGTATGAAATCCGATAAAGTGAACTAAAGTCGAATAAGTGAAAGCATTGCTTCGATGGTGTGGCCTTCCAGCTTGCATGGAGACTGCGTCCTTCAGGGGCAAAGTCAAGACTTGGAAAACGCGACTCACACACTCATCGCTTGCCTGCAAAGCTCAATGAAGGTGCTAGAGCGCCGAACAAAAGTCAAGGGGGGAGGGAGGGTGTGATATTGACAACAATCATTTATTATTAATTGATGAGGTTGGCAAGAAAAAAGAAAGAGAAAAAAAAAGCAAGCAAAAAGGAAAAAACTGGACGGTGAGGGATTTGAACCCCCGACCACCCGCAGAACAGTGTTATGTCCAAAGACATGCAAAGCGGGGATGATAGCCACTACACCAACCGCCCAATGGCGTTGAAGACGACCTGAAAATTGTTTTTTATATTCGGTAACGTTTTCCTGATTTCTTTGTCGGCGATGTAGAAGAGGAATTAGAAACATTTCATCGAAGTTGCGTAGAAGCTCTCTCAGAATAAATTGTTTCTTAATGAAATTGCCTTCCGAATCGACGCGTCCGAACTTGCATCCACCGAGGTAGCGCTGTCACTGGCAGTCGTCACGGTGGGGTATGCGGTGCAATGTTCCCGCCGGAGGATTTACAAGCTGCGACCTCGAGCTCCGTCCCCGCCGCTCCATCGTTTGTGACACCTACAAGCCCTTGAACATTCTGCGAGAAGCTGGAAGCAAAGGTCGAGACATTCCATTGCGAGGGAAAGCTGACCGCCATGGAACACGTCCAAGAGAAAATGGCCGAACACGCCTCCCGTGAGCCCGCACCGTACGCCCAACCATGCTCACCCGAGACACCAGAGATCTAACAAATCGACAGAGCTACCATCTTCACGCCTCTAAACTTCCTCTTCATCGCCGCCATTCTATACGCGCTCTACCTGACCTTCCGCGCACCAACACCTGCGACGCTGCCTCGACCCCCGCCTCCCGTGGTCTTCAAGACCTACACGCCGCGCACGCTGCTGCCCTTCTCGGGCAACGACGGCGGACCTGTCTACTTTGCCGTGCGCGGCAAGGTCTTTGACGTCTCGCGCGGTCGCAATTTCTACGGCCCAGGTGGTCCGTACTCCAACTTTGCTGGACGAGACGCGAGCAGGGGTCTGGCATGCGGCAGCTTCGATGAGGAGATGCTGACGAAGGACCTGGATGGACCGCTAGACACTCTGTCAGATCTGGGAAGGGACGAAATGGAGGCGTTGCAAGGATGGGAGGAGAGATTCAACGAGAAGTACGATGTGGTAGGCCGCCTGGTCAGTGTGGGGGAGTTCAACCAGGGCAAGGCTTGATATATTGTATAGGACTAAACGCCTCCGGGTATTGTCCCATTTTGTTCAAACAATACGTCGACGATATTTGTGCAGAATACTTTGCAAATCGCAACATTGCTGCGTTGCACAATTCCCTTGAACTCTGACCCAGAAAGGGAGCATGAACGGCTGCCTGAACTTGGTATAGAAAAGAGCAAGGTCACACAACTATTAAAAATCCAAGCAGTACTGAAGATTATCGTTTCTAATGGACTGAAGACAACAAATGATAGACTCGACTAACTACCTTGTGTCCCAAGTCAGTCATCGTACGGCGTGATAATGCTTAGGGTAGCCCGAGTGGCGTGGCGGACTTGGGAAATGCGCCAAGCCTGGCTCAGGGTCTCCGTCCAGTTGAACATCCGTATGCGTCCCTCGAACTTACGTGGACTCCGACTCGCTCCAAACTCCCTCCACCGTCGACTTTCTAACCCGTAATTTTATTCTCTGCGTTGCTTGCAACGCTGTACCATGCTTAGCTCTGGTGTTTCTGCGTAACTCGACTTCCCTTCGCTCCGACGCTCATTTCCAGATCCGACTCGGCATTCACCCACCCATTTTCCCCTGTTGCTGCGCATGGCCACCCCTTACCTTCGAGTCCCTCACCAATAGACGACTGCCACCATGGCGCCCTCCGAGAAGCAGCCCTTCTACGACCCTGTACCGCCCACATATGAGCAGTCTCTCGCAGTACGTGGAAGGCAGTATGACGATGCAGACGCGCAGGACAACGAACATGAGTCGCAAGGCTTGCTGCGCTCCGGCGCGCCAAGCTCCTCGCGGAGACCGGACGGATACCGCGCCCCGACAGTGGAATCAGAAGACGAAAGCGACGATATTGACGGCATGCTCGAGAGCGACACCGACGATGAAGACGAGGCTGCACAGGTGCGACGCGAGATGCAAGAGATGGACATTGAAGAGCCATCCTCCTCGCGAGGTTCAACATGGGGCAAGCGAATAGGCCTCTCGCTACCCAAATGGAAATGGAGCTGGAGGCCGCGGTTGCCAAGTCTACCGCGCATACGCATACAACTACCTCAGCGGCCTGGCACTGACGACGATAATGGTTCGGGGGAGGCGGAAGCGCAGGAGGAGAATGTGACCACGAGGCCAGGGTGGCAATGGAAGATGCCCGAGGTCAACGGCATGATGGCAATCATAATTTTTGCCCGGCTATTGGCTGCTTTCATCGTCCTCGGCTTTGTGTACCTGCTCTTCGCCAGCGACATATTTGGTTCGTTGAACGGACCCATGGGCGGTGGATTCCGGTTCAACCCTGAGGACTTGAAGGTACATGTCCTCAACAGCGTGGATCCGATGCGACTACGCGCCTCTGTGAAGCACTACGCAAGCTACGCGCACATTGCCGGCTCCGAGGGCGACTTCGCGACAGCGATGGATATGGAGAGCATGTTTAGCAGGGCCGCGCTGGACGAGGTCAGGCTGGACGAATACGTGGCGTATTTAAATTACCCCAAAGAAAATGGGCGAGCGGTACAGATCATGGAAGGGGACAAGACTGTCTGGACTGCACAGCTGGACGAAACAGAGCGTCAGAAGGAGACAGCTGGACGTCAGACATACGTCTTTCATGGACTTTCCAAGGCGGGAGACGTCAGGGGCCCGTTGATTTACGCCAACCGCGGAACGAGGGAGGATTTCAAGACGCTGACTGACAAGGGTGTCAAAGTCGAGGGTGCCATTGCGTTGGTCCGATACGACACAGCACAGCATGCTGGACTCAAGGTCAAGGCTGCCGAGTTGGCTGGTTTCGCTGGCTGCATCATATACAGCGACCCAGCAGACTTCGAAGGCGACGACGCGCCCAACGGGCGATCTATACCGAAAGACGGCGTTCAGCGTGCATCCGTCGCCTTACAGGGCTGGGCCGTTGGCGATGCCCTGACACCATCCTGGGGCAGTAGAAAGGGTCTTCCAAGGATGAAAGTCAAGGATGCTCCCGGTCTGGTCAACATTCCCAGTTTGCCACTGTCCTGGGGTGATGCGCAGGTCCTCCTCCAGAAATTGAAGGGCCACGGCGACAAGGTTCCCGAGTCGTGGGAAGGGAAGGTGCCCGAGGTGGATGAATACTGGACAGGCGACGACAAGTCGCCCGTTGTCCGCCTCAAGAACGAACAGGACGAAGAAGAGAAGAAGACGATCTGGAACGTGAAGGGCAAGATCATTGGGATTGAGCAAGCAGCCAAGTCCATCATCATTGGTAACCAGCGCGACTCGGTGGCCTTTGGTGCGGCAGACCCTCACTCGGGTACTGCAATCATGGTTGAGATGGCCAGAATCTTCGGTGATCTGATTCTGCGCGGATGGCGACCCCTGAGATCCATTGAGTTCATGTCCTGGGATGGCGGAGATTACAATCTCATTGGCTCCACGGAGTTTGTCGAGGCGAATCTGGAGTCGATACGTGAGGATGCCTACGCCTACATCAACCTCGACAACGTTGTCGCTGGCCGCGATCTGCAAGCCATTGGCTCGCCCGTCTTCGAAAAGACGCTGCTCCATGCGCTAGCCAGACTCGAGGACCCTAACATGAATGTCACCCTGAAGAATCTTTGGGACGAAACGGCGTCCCAACATATCGAGGCGCCTGGTCTCGGTGGCGGCTTTGTTCCCTTTCAGCATATTGCGGGCACTTCGTCATTGGATCTCCAGTTCCGTGGCGATACCTTTCCTAGGTTCTCCAGCTACGACGACTTTGACTTGGTCGAGAAGACCATCGATCCTGGATTCGTCTACCATGGACTCATGGGTCAGATTGTTGGGCTTCTCATTCTCGACCTTGCTGACAAGTCCGTCATGCCGTTTGACATGATCGCCTACGGCAACACGCTTTCTAGCGGACTCGAGGAACTGCAGGCCTTCGCTGAGAAACATGGCGCCGACACTCGAGTGTCATTCGAAGATCTCTCCAAGGCTATCAAGGCGGTGCAAGTATCCACCACGGCGTTCGCCAGCTGGGAGAACACGTGGGACCACGAGGTGATGCACAGCGCTGGCTGGGAGAGCACCGAGATGGGCCAGCAGAGGGTGCGATACAACAACAAGATGGGCACCTTCGATACCATGCTACTAGACTTGGATAAGATGGGAGGCGTGAGTAATTTTCTTCTTCTTACCCAGATTCATTCTAACAGCTTCCAGATTCCCAACCGCACACAATATAAACATGTCATTTTCGGCCCGCAGCTCTGGTCTCCTGACGAAGAGGTGCACTTTCCCGCAATCCGAGACCTGATTGAGGCCAAAGACTGGGAGGGCGCCAAGACTTTCATTCAGAAGACAGCAAAGATTCTCCGGCAAGCTGCCAAGTCGCTATATATGGGCGACGAGAAGGAGGAGGGAGATCGATAAGGAGACACCCGATAGGCAACACTGGCCTGGGTACCAAAACATGCGCGTGTATACACATGCCTCAACGGCAACACCTTTTTCTTTACCCTCACTGATTTGTAGGACGGATCCTTGTGTACGAAACGAGACTGGCATTGCGTGGGAGTTTATCGGTTTGAATCTTGATATGAATTGTGTATTCGACAGGAATCGAACATGGTTGTCATCTTAACACATTCGAATATTGATGTGACATTGAACTCGCCTGTCGGCATATTATTCGTCGCCCACTCTGATCTAGCCATGCGAAAACTCCATATACATGATAACAGTACACGCCTTGACGGCGAACATAACATAACCCCTTTCTAGTAGAGCGATGTTTCTTTCCCCCCTCGCGTTGATCAACCATGCTTTGCTGTGGTTATAAAAGAAACAGATGCTGCTCCCTTTTGATGCTTCCCATCGCCGTATTTTGGAACATATAGTACAATATCGACACACGCATTCCCTATTGCGCCTTGACCCAACTTCCCAGTCGTAGTCTCGAGGCGATTAGTACCAGTCCCTACCGCTCTTCTGCATCTCAATCAACCGCCATCCTCGCGTCTCGGGGTTGTTCACATCCTCTGGCACGCGAGTGATACCGATTGCGTATGTCACCAGCTGGACCTTGTCCTCCATGCCTGCCGCGAGCTCGCCGCTCTTGGCGTTGCGGTAGACGTGCACCTCCTGTGTGCGGCACGTGATGATGAACACGGGCACATCACCAGGGTCGAGAATGCGGGCGCGGAGGATGTCCACATTGCGAATGTCGAGGATACGTCCGTCCGACTTCATGCCGGCCTGGAGGTACTGCTTGGTGAGTGCCTCGTAGACCGAGAACTGCGCGGCGGACAACCACAGCTTGAGGGTCTCTGTGTCGCCCTTGACGTAGGCGTCCAGCACCTCGGGGAGAATGTACTCGCGAAGCTCTTGCAAGAAGGGTTCGGTCTGGAAGTTGGGGTCCATGGTACGGAACTGCTTGATGACCTGCGCGGTCTCATTCTCGGCGAAGAAGCCACCGATGCGATCGGTGATGCTGCGCGCGGTAGAGATGAGAGGATTCTCCGATTCTTCGTACTTGGAGCGCATGCTGGAAAAGCTCTGAGCAAACTTGCTTTGGTCACGGAAATCGCGCCACGCTTCCTTCCAGGCCGCGTCCTTGTGGAGCGTCACGTTGGTACCAGCACTGCACGGGTCAGATGTGTTCTCGGGAACTCATAGTGGAGCAAGACTTACTCAGGATCCTCGACCATGACCTTGCCATACGCGCCGCGCTGCTTCTGGAGAGCCTCGCGCCTCTTGCGGCGCTCCTCCTTCTCAACCCAGCCACCATAGCGCGATGAGCTTCCGTCGTCAATAACGTTCTTGACGTTACGATACGCTTCAGTCTCGCGGATGGGCTTGGTTGCCTTGTCGACGGCGTCGCCAGTCACGTTGGCCGCCTTGCGCACACCCTTGACGACGTTGGTGTCCCATGTCCAAGCGGCACCCTTTCCAATCACACCGGCAGTGCCCTTGAGCGCTGCTGCGGCGCTGTTTGACATGGCACCAGTCGACTTCTCGTACGCCTCCCTTGCGCGACGGACAGACTCGGACTCGGAGAATTGGTGCGCCGCATCACCAAGCTGCTTCGTCGACTCGTTCCACTCTTTGGAGGCTTGGAACTCCGTGTTCATTGTCTCCATGAACACTTGCCAGGGGGTCTTGTCACCGTGAGGAGGGGGTGGCGGCGCATCTTCCTTCTTGCTATCCTTGCCTTCACCGTCTTCGCCCTCCTTCTTCTCGCCCTCTTCACCATCCTTCTTAGACTCCTCGCCCTCCCCAGCGGCCTTTTTGGCCTCTTCCTCTGGCTTGGGCTCGGACTCTGGCGCCGACTTTTTCTCGGTGTGGGTAGACTTGGGCTCGGCAGCAGGGGGCTTCTCCTGGCATCTCGAGTTGCTTGCGTGGAAAGCGCGTGCCGACGTCAATCGCAACTCTGCCGGTAGGAAGGGCGATCGAAGCGGCGATAGAGGAGCGGTGAAGGCAGGGCCATAGCGTATACTCGAGGCGTCGGATCGGACAGACTGGCGTGGGAGAGTGGATGCTAACCTCCTGTAGGCGGGTGACCTGCCGTGGGCTAGCTGTGAAGACGCTCTCGACAGAGCCATCTCTGTGGACGCCGCATTCCGAACAAAGGCGTGCATAATGAAGTTTGGGCAAGAAAGAAGAAATCGCCCAGCCGACAAGGACGTGGACGGGGTTGTGGTGGATTGGACACTGTCGTGTATGAGGGGATGGAGAAGGCCGGCTCAACGCGAAAGGAAATTTCGGTTTTGGCGCATCGAGCAGCTTCCACGGCACAGCGCAGGGGACCGGGACCGGACTACGACTACCCCTGTCGGCTGAACCGCGGCTAACCACCTCCATGTCGATTCTCGTCAAAAAAGTCACGTCTGAGAGCAAGTCGCGACGTTTTACTGACTGGTTGACTGACTGTCTTTGGTCAAGCCAGCTCCTTCCATAATGAGCCGATTGCTGTATAGCCGCAGTGCGGCGCAACCTTTATCGCGATGCTTCAACTCGCATATGGCCACACGCTCTTTCACGACCTCTGCTGCCCAGCGCAAAGATGAGCAGCCGAAGCTCAGCAGTTTCCTCGAAGATCTCTACGGCAAGGCTCAGCCTGAAGAGAAGACCCAAGCACCCGAGACCAACTCCATGAGCTCTCTGACTGGGAGCTCCATCTTCAAGTCTTTTGACAGCAGCTCCGGCGGCAGTCGCATCGACGTCAATGCCCTCCTCAACGGCACATCGACACCAACCGGCCAGGGTCGCGACCTACCCACCACCGAAACATTGGAGCCGTACCACTTCCATGTGTACGCACACAAGCACAACACACACGTCACCTGCACACGCCCGAACCGCGAACCCATAGTATCAATGTCATGCGGCAACCTCGGCTACCGCAAGAGCAGGAGGTCCACATTTGATTCGGCGTACTCTTTAACGAAGTATGTCATCGAACGGTTGATTCACAAGGGGATACCGCCCAAGATCCACAAGCTGGAGGTTGTGTTGCAAGGATATGGTCAGGGGAGAGAGGGCGCATTGAAGGTATTGATGAGCCCAGAGGGGAAGATACTACGCGACAAGGTCGTCAGGGTGGCAGACTCTACCAAGCTCAAGTTTGGTGGTACGAGGAGTCCCAGGCCGAAGCGTCGTTGATGTCTCGTTTGTACCATATTTGTACGAAATCGAACTGTAATATACAAAACCTCCCGTGGGATAAAGTCGCTATGGTCCCAACGCCTGCGGAAACGCTTGACTCGCAAGTCCCAAACCCCTCCCAAAAAAAAAAAAAAGAAAGGAAAAAAAAAAAGACCAAAACGCCCTCAACCTCACACAAGGCCGAATCACATATGCTTATCTCGCAGGTGCTCGTTCAGATGCCGGCAGCATTCTTCCAGACGTGTCCCTGGAGATTCTTCTGCCGCCTGCTGCTTCCTCGTCGCTTTCCCACCTATCATCTCCCTGCTGCCCGCTATTTCTGACCAGCTGGGGCATTTCATCAGAGTGTCTGAGCATCCTACTACTCTCGTCTTCATCTCTGAGTAGCTCCCCATCAGCCGTATCATACTCGGGTGGATCTATCCACTCTCTGGGAACCACACAGGGGAAGGCTACGCCGATAGATGCAGCGCGGTTCAGCCATCCGGGCCCGGGTGTTCCTGTGAGCTTGTTGACAAGATAGGATGTGAAGTGGTTGCAGTTCTTCGTGAGTAAGTTGTAGGAAGTGCCTTGAAATTCTTCCGAGGCAGTTCGGATCGCTGTCTCGATTTCGTCGTCCGACGCCAAGGTGAAGCCGTGAAGCAGCTCGCACTTGAATGTTCCGCCCGGTGGCTCTGTCTTTGGTTTCGTCCAATACACGCCTGTGACGCCAGGATGATCATGGCCACCAAAGGCGTATTCTCTACCATTGATCACGACGCCCGAGTGAAGGAGGGATGCCCCGACAGTCCAAAGCACGGACGATAGACGGCCAGCCTGCCATAGGTCAGCGAGACATAGTATCAATGAGAGTCGGGCCTTCGTACCGGAAGCAAATCGTACACATTGATTAAAATCTCGGTCTTCTGCAAAGACAGCGTAGATCGATGCCGGTTGACTGATTGACGAGAGCTGCCTGAGCGCGACTGCCTGGGCATGGTGCTGTGTCTCTGCGTCCTTGTCTTTGTCTCAGGTCGGGTTGCAGTATTCGTTCGAGTGGCGGGGTCGAAAGAGGCCAGAGGGGGAATCGATGCGCGGAAGAAATGTGCAGGATGATACTGAGTCGAAATGCTATCTATGGTGCCGGCAAAGATTCCATATGATGTGCGGAAAGCAACGTCTTCTCGTCTGGCGTGGTCATATCGTCTCTTCGCGACCAGACAGTGGACGTCGCAGCAGCCGTTCGTCAATTGGACCCGTTCTCAGCCAAGCGTGGGAGTGACCGCGCTAACGACCTCGCATGCAGCAGGTGCGTGGGGACATTGGGCTAGTGACGTACCGGACAGATTGAGGGCTCTAGTCGGACTAATGTTCTTCCCACCTGAGATGGAAACCGAACCGGAGGTGGGGAGTATCAAAATTCGTCGCATTTCTACGCCAGCTCTCACAATCTCTGCTTTTCGCTCAAATCCCTTTCAATTTTCTAGCTAGCTTCGTCCTTTGTCCGTGGGCGCGGCGTTGAAAAGAAGGAAAGCCATTGGCGACTGAGATAGTCGCCTTTGCAGGCACAACGGCCTCACTTCCGTTTCCCTCTTCCTTCGCTTCTACCTTTCGAACCTTTTCCCCCCGCGCAGCTAGGTCTGCAGCTCTTGGGCGCGCTCCTTTCCTCCTCCTCACCACCACCACCACCTTTACACACACACCTTCCCGCTCCTACGCGAAAGCGAAGAAAGCAAAGATGCCACCCAAGAAGCCCGTCGTCGAGGAGAAGATCCCTCTTGGCCGCCCTGGTAACAACCTCAAGAGTGGTATCGTTGGCCTCGCCAACGTCGGCAAGTCCACACTCTTCCAGGCCATTACCAAGTCGAACCTCGGTAACCCTGCTGTATGAAGCCCCCTGCCTATCATCACCGAGCGCGCGGGTGCTGACAGCCGCAAAAGAACTTCCCCTACGCGACCATTGAGCCCGAGGAGGCCCGCGTTGTTGTGCCCGACGAGCGTTTCGACTACCTCGTCGACAAGTACAAGCCCAAGTCTGTGGTGCCCGCCAACTTGACTATCTACGATATTGCCGGTCTGACCCGCGGTTCGTCCACTGGTGCTGGTCTTGGCAACGCTTTTTTGTCACACATTCGCGCCGTCGATGCCATCTTCCAGGTTGTGCGCTGTTTTGACGACGCTGAGATCATCCACATTGAGGGCGATGTGAACCCCACTCGCGATTTGGACATTATCAGCACCGAACTGCGACTCAAGGACATTGAGTTCGTGGAGAAGGCGCTTGAGAATCAGAAAAAGAAGACCCGCATGGGTGGCCAGAGTCTGGAACAGAAGAAGGCTCGCCAGGAACAGGAGATTATCGAAAAGGTTCTTGCCTGGTTGAACGACGACAAGGATGTCCGCAAGGGCAACTGGGGTCCCAAGGAGGTAAGCGATTCTCCCTCCTTTTTCTGCATTTGCAACGACTTCCGTGATGACAAAAGGCCCAAACGGCCTGAATCTAATCCCAGCTCTTCGAATGCCTCACCACATAACGCTAGAGTGCATACTGAGATAACATCCTCTCTGATCCTTGAAGCAAACCACACATCAGTTCATGTTTTGTCGCGTTCTTTACTGACAGTACTACCAGATCGAGGTTATCAACCCTCTTTTCCTCCTGACGGCCAAGCCTGTGATCTACCTCGTCAACTTGTCTGAGCGTGACTTCATCCGCAAGAAAAACAAGCACTTGCCCAAGATCGCCGAGTGGATCAAGGAGCATGCCGACGGTGACCCGATCATCCCTGTCTCGGTCGCCTTCGAGGAGCGCTTGACGCGCTATGAGACCGAAGACGAGGCCAAGGAGGAGATGAAGACCGTCGGCGCTGAGACCGTCATTCCCAAACTGATCACACAGATGCGCAAAACTCTCCAACTCGGTAGCTTCTTCACGACTGGTCCCGATGAGGTGCGCCAGTGGACCATCCGCACCGGCACCAAAGCGCCGCAGGCGGCTGGTGTTATCCACACAGACTTTGAGAAAACCTTCATCCAGGCTGTTGTATACAATTTCAACGTGCTCAAGGACTGTGGTGGCGATGAAGCGGAGGTCAAGGCCAAGGGTAAGATCATGACCAAGGGCAAGGAGTACGTTGTGGAAGACGGCGACATCATGCTGATCAAGGCTGGTGCCGCCAAGAGCTAGTCGTGGAAAATATCCCCAGATTAGTTAAGATGAAAAAGTAAAACCTTGAATACTGGTTGTGCCCGTCAACGTAGATGATTAATTGTGTCATGGCACAGTCGACTAGTACTCATGCCTCGTCAGATGCCATTCCATACCTCGCGAAGGCTATTACAGAGCGGGGTAACTCAAGCCATGAACTAACGTCCTCTCTGTTGTGATCGCCATGTCTACCGTGGTTGTGGAGCAGACGCAACGCGCATGCACTCGCATAGCCCACTGACACCTCTTGACACCAGCGGGTTTTGTTCAGGGGCTAAAAACGTCCCCACTGGAGCCGAAGCCCGAGATCTGTCTACATAACGTCAAAAGATTAGCGAACTTTACTTATCGAATCCGAGGCAAAATTTACTAGGCGAAGTATTTGGGGAGTGATACTCGACCAGGAGTTCAAGACAGCCATCGAATCCCGTTTCTACGGCAACTCCGCTTTTTCCCTGACACTTTTCTCTCTTCAAGCTCCTTGGTCTATCTCGTCACACGATCTCGCACCACCTGTCTTGTCTTCTTCACCCGGGGTTGTCATCGGAAGCAACGCAACAATGGAGCAATTTTTGCTCTCGGCCCAGCATTCTGGAACAATCAACCACGTCCATTCTTTCCATTTTCGACTGCGGCTCCGTCTGTCCTCAAGGAGATCAGAATCACGGTCGCCATTCTATCACTAGCATGGGTCACAGTGGAGGTGATCAGGAGGATCGGACCACGGGGCAAGAGCCAGGAATAAGTTCTCGCCTCATTCCCCTTTTCGTAGAGCTTGCGCACGCTTTTCACTTGGCAAGTACGGACAAGTAAGGCAGCACCCTTTACCACGAGACAGGTAGCTGACTGGAAGCAGCTCGAAGATGAGAATCCCCGAGAAAGCTTGGAGTTACATGGCGTCAAATTATTGAAGAAAAAAAAATCTCATCAATTTTCTCTACCGGTCCGTCAGCTGGCTATCTCTCTATGACGCTTCGCGAAGCTGGACGTGCACATGTAATGCTGACTGCTTAAGAAGGTCAGCCGGCCCAGCGTCCAAGCATCGTGAGCAACCTCCCGCAGCAGCGGGACACTTGTGTTCAGTCCATTAGTCAGAGGCCTTGTCGCTCATATCGCAAATGTCATGTAAATCCTTCCATCCTGCGAGCCAGCCCTGTACTCGCGCCCCTAGTCCTCGTACGTTACATTGGTAGCATACTGAGACCGCCCCAGCGTCACCTCCCTCCTATAATACCCCCACAAATCAAATATGCTGCCTCCTCCTCCACCGAAGCAGTTCATCATATACGGATCATTCACTATGTCGTGGTCGTTCCAGCCGGTGCGCAGCCAGTACCCCATCTCGTTCCCGTTGTCGTCGCTGCCGAGAGCCCTCCAGAATTGCTGGTGCCGCTGGATGGCGCCATTGGTCCCCACCACGGGCTCCCACCGGAAAGCGGCTCCTTCGAGCTCTCTGTGCTTTTGCATGAGGGCTTTATGAGCCTCCAGGGAGACGGCGATAACGACCTGCTTGCCTGCGCCCAGACAGCGTACCATGTCCTCGAGGGGATCCATCACATCGCGCACCAACAGAGACACTCTTTGGTCCACGGGAACGTCTCGCGAAGGGCACAGTTGACTCTGCACATAGAGCTCCAGACGACGCACATTAGAGAAGAGGTTCGGCACTGTGGAACAAACCAGCGGGAGAGCACAGTCCCTTTTCTCCTCGGCGGTCCCTTGCCACAGACCATGTACAAGAGGGTCCTTTTCAAATCTAAAGAGTCGAGACTTTCCTACAGCAAGCTGCACAGACTTGATCTTATCGACCTCGTATGGCGATATAAGGCGCCGCATATTGAGCAGCAGGGGGATACTCGAGAGATAGAACGTGTTTGTCGAGAACAGCACGTCCATGCCGTCACTATAGGCCCCACGGCAAGCGAGCAGCCACCCCATCACCCCGAGGAAACAGTACCCATATCCTTTTCCTGGCCTGTCGCTTCCGCCGCAGTGACAGTACTCGCCCTCGAGGCACTTGTCTTCAAAGGGCCAAATTGTCGTCTCAAACTTGTAAAAGGCGATGTTTTGCGGATCCTGCGCCTCGGCGCTCCGGTGGCACACGCAGCTGAACCACTGCCACCGCTTCGGCAGCGTGTCATCCTCGACAAGTTCTTCGCCTAGTCCGCAGTGCTTCTTTGACGTCCCTTGTAGCCCTTCCCCGGACACGGACACGGACGCAGAGCGCCGTACCAAAGGGTGGCGCCAAAATAGGTCGATGTGCACCGTGCGTCCGCCAAAGGCGTATGTGAGGATCTGCCGCCGTATTTCCGTCGGGAGGCGCGAAAAGGCGCCGTATGCATCACTTGGCGATGACAGCGAGGTAGACTCTGGTACGATTTGTGCCGTTGGGGCGAGAAGAGGAAGAGGCTGGGTTGGTTCCGCGTCGGTAGCTTGGGGCTTCGTCTGAGACTGTTTGGGGCGACGTCGCTTGAACCTTTTCGCGAACCTCTTGAGAGCTTTCATCTTGGCCAATTCGGCAAAAGAAATGGATCTACCGTTACAGGGTGCGGTCAGAAGCCTGTTCTTTGCATCAGTGCGTGACTGAGTGAAAGACAGACGAGCCCCCTGTTTGCCCCAAGCGCGTACAGTGGAATTCTAGGGTCATCAGCCGTCACTTACAACACTACGCACAGTACAGGAGCACGTTGGGTTCAGTATTCAGAGCGCGGCACATGGCAAACATTGAGGATACAAAAATATTTTGGCTCGAGTCTATTTCTCTCTCGGCATTGAGCCATAGATGACCAGCACGACATGCGAATAGACTGCCATGATTTGCAGTAGGCAAACTGTCCCGCAAACATCCAGGTGAGAAGGTCACATGTAGAAGCAGCACCCAGTAACGGTAATTATATGCAAGTCAAAAAGCTTGAGCTAAAGACAAAAAAAAAAACAGATAGCTCGCTGAGCGCCCTTTCCAAAGTCTCTTCCCAGAGGAAAAAAAAGGAAAGAAAAAAAAAAAATTAACCGAAACGCCCCCTCTATCTGCGCCTAACTGTCCCAAATCGCCCCATAGGCAGACAGGCCACGCGTCTCCAGGCCGTAGACCACCTTTTTGGTAATCTTCTCATTGGCGATGATGATGACCGCCTCCGCGTCAAAGTCCTTGGCGAGGTTGTATGACATCTTGACGAGGTCCGGGCGGCCCTGGGTGCGGGTGTCCCAGATTACGGCGTCCGGGCACTTGGACTTGAGCAGGTCGCACATGGGCTTGCCAAATGTGTTCTCGGGATCCTTTGTGGACCAGAGGAGCTTCGTCGGGCACGATGGGTTGAGGATGTGGCCGAGCTGGGGACCAATGCCCGAACCGGTGGCGACAATGACGACGCGGTTGAAGAGGGTTGCGATGCGCATGACACCACACGTCGGCACGCCACGCACCCAGATCTTGGGGCTGGGGTTTTCGACCATAGCGCGCGTCCAGTCACCGGCGTTGGAGACGACAAGCGAGTAGCCTTTGGGGTTGCCGTCCACAGCCTCGGGGGCAGGGATGGTGGCGAACGAGTGCCACTCGAGGAGCGGTTTATGAGACAGTCGCGTGAACGAGCCGTTGACCGGAACCGTGTAGTCAAAATGCAGGCGTATCGCGTGCTTAGACAGGGGCTCGGCCTTGACGGGAACCTTTTTGAGCCAGAACCAAGACGAGGCGACGCTGAGCGTGGCAACAACCAGGAGCCACAGCGATGGTGTTCTCACCGCAGCCGTTCCAAGGGAAACATCGGAAGCCTTTGTGTCCTTGGCGGTGAGAACCACTTGTGCCCAGAAGAGGCCGAGCAGAGTCCAACCCACGAATCGGTGGAAGATTTCGAACTTGTCGTGATGCGCCTTGCGAACCGACGGGTACGCCATGGCTAGCATGGCAATGAAGAGAGCGGCGATGATCCATGCGATAATCTTAGCAGCGAGTGATAATTTCCCCCAGTGTCCATTGCAAGTACCCAACGCCATGCAGGCTGTGTCGCCGGCCGTGTTAGCAAACATCCAGAGCGCTGCGCTGACACCAGCCCCTGAATGGACGCCACCGAGGTGGAAGACACGAGCGGCCCGGGTGCGGATCCAGAGAGGCCAGGACTTGGGAACGCTGCACGTTGTCGTGTAAATGGCGTTGATGACAAACTCCTGTCTCATGAGGACGGCAATGGTGAGGTTGACAGCGGTGATGGTGCCGACAGCTTCGCGCTGGAAGCCCGTAAAGGCCACTATGATGACGGTGGCTATGTTGAGAAGAGCCATGAGAGTGAACAGTTGTCGGTAGACGATCAACACGCGATGGCGGATACCGCGAACCGTCTTGCTCTGCGTCTTGTCAGGCACAGCAGCCTCCAGGTCGACGACCCCGGCCTTCTCGTCCACAAAGCTCGAGCTCGAGGTGGAGACCGAACTCGATTTCGACCACTCGCACAAAGTCGTCTCGGTTGTCACAGATAGTTGCTTTTCGAGGCTTGGCGGAGTCGTCGTGTCCGCAGTAGAGCTGGGCTTCTCGACGACCGACGTCTGAGTGCCAGAGGCGGATTCCTTGAGCAGCTTCTTGTCAATCTTACCGTTGGGGGTTACGGGAAGCTCATTGAGAAGATTGAAATGCGAAGGAACGGCGTAGTATGGCTGGCGCGTCTGCAGGTGAGTTTTGACAGCGTCAACGTCGGCGTTGGCTGGTGTGATGAATGCGTGAATCTCGCCGCCCCAGAAAAGCACGACGCCTCTGTCGACGACACTGCAAGAGTTGACCGAGGCGGTGACTCCATCGAGCTCAACTCGGAAGCCCTGTTTTGTCAGAAATGAAGAATTATGAGGGAGAGATCAGAATTCCTCACCTTTACCTTCACCTGGTCATCCACTCGGCCAAGTATTTCGATCGATCCATCGGCCAGCCATTTTCCAAGGTCGCCGGTGTTGTACGTTTTCGATCTATGCGGCATTAGTTGATTGTTGAATGACTTGATTCCCACCTTGTGCCACACTCACCTCATGTCCAAGAACAGATCCGGGACGTATCGCTCTGCAGTCTTCTCAGGAAGTCCGACATAGCCCTTGGACACTCCAAGACCACCGGCCCACATAACCCCAGGCTCACCATCGCGAACAAGCTCGTGGTTTTCGTTGAGAATGTAGACATTGTTGCCGGGGGTTGGCTTTCCAATAGTCAGTGGCCCGCCACTGACGTGGTTGTGCATAGTGTTGACAATTGTGGTCTCAGTAGGACCGCAGCAGTTGTAGTACGTCTTGTTTTCGGCCCATTTATCGGCCAATCTGGAGAGTCACGTCAGCATAACCTTTAGGAAGACTACTTGCGATCAGAGCTTACCGTTGGGAGGTTGGCTCTCCGGCTGTGGCGACGGTCTTGATCTTGGGATAGTCCTGGGGTTCATATTTTGCGAGAATGGTCGGCGTGCAGATGAGCACCTCAATCTGCTTCGTGTCAGCTTTTGCTGTATCCAACTTCACTTCCTTCCTCACCTCTTTTATACACGCATTCCAATCTGAGCCCCTGAGAATCAGTGTCCCTCCGTTGCATAGCGTGCCAAGGATTTCCCATGCAGCTGCGCCAAGTCAACTTAGATCCTTAATAGTTTATGCAAGGGGCGAACTCACCCATGTCAAAGCTGATGTTGAGGGTCTGACCAACTTTCGTCCCAGTCGTGATTCCCAAATCACCTGGCGATTGACAGATCAGATTGGTGACATTTTTGTGTGTGACATCCACCCCCTTTGGTGTGCCTGTGGTGCCTGGAGGGATCGTTAATCTTCCGTGCTTCGCCCAGTGTGTCTCTGTCGCAATTTCACGAACCTGAAGTGTAGATAATGTAGCACCCAGTGTCGGGCTCTGCGAAGTTCTCCAGCACAAGATCATCTGCGAGACTCTCATCGCCACTAAGCTCACAGGGCTCATCAATACAAATAACGCTGAGACCACGAAACTCGCCTAGGCGATGTTTCGTCATGCCCATGGCCAGCACGACGCCACGCCCACCGCAATTATGTTCCACCACGAAGCGCAGCGTAGAGTCTGGCACGACGCCGCCGTCGAGGGGCGCATACTGCGCGCCGCAGGAGAGCACGGCGATGATGCCCACTAGCATGTGGATGCCACGCTTGACCACCAAGGGCACGCGGTCGCCGGGACGCACACCAAGACGTCGCATCTCGACTGCCAGGCGCGCCGCGCGGTTCGAGAGGGCCCGGTACGTGATCTCCTCGAACTTGTGCGCGGCCGATAGGCTCACTGCGGCGAGGGAGTCCGGATTGGTGAGGACCTGGTGCTTGAAGGCATCTGTGATGGTGCTGAAGCGAGGGTGACTCTCGGGACCAAACATCTGGGGGGACATGCTGTCCGCGGCACGCCGCGACATTTGGTGAAGGGGGGCCATTGTGTCTGAGGAAGATTGGGAGAGCTTATGGAACATGAGGCCGGGGAAAATGAAAACGAATGGGGTCCAGCCCTGGTGACGACTAAACAGACGCCGTCGAGAAGTGGATGCAGAAGAGTAATGCAAGGCAGATGTTACGCTACTTGAAGGCTGTGATACCTCCTTGCGCACGCGATCTGAACAAGACCTAGTATGGCGCTGGTTTCACTTGATTTGACGAGGCATGTCTGCTCTTATACTTGCTCGTCAACCCACATCCCCCTTCACCCCTGGTCAAGATCCAAGAACTATATCCAGAACAAGGTGGACGGAACCCTGCCGCCGCCCAGGTCTCGATCTGAAGTCTGGACAAGTGACACGGATGAGCACGTTGCCACAAGTAGCGCCGATACACACTTGTTTCTTACCTTGTCGGAAGGTCCCATTGAGTCGTGTTATCGACATGCAGGTGGACAAGTTGCAGGCCACGGACGGTGCTCGACTGCCGAATCTGGACTCGTGCCGCACACTGGACTTGGTCAGTGCGAATGGCCAGACGTGAAACTAGTCCGTATGAGGTCAGGTAAGGTTGACCAGGTAGTTGCGTACGACGTACGCTGGCGGACTGGATGCGTCCGAGCATCTGTTTGGAAAACAGAACCCAGTATTCGCAGTGCCAAATGACGGCGGAGCCCACCAGGCTAATAACCCGGATCCGCGCTGTCGAATTCTCTCGTGTTTCCGCCTCCGGGGCATGCTTCGCTACTGTTTGAACGGTGGAGATGCCACCAGACAGCGCTGGCTGCCATGGACGTGATACGTCATTAGAACAAGACGATTGCCATCTCGATTAAGACAGTTGAATCAGTACAAGCAGCAGTGGGCAACTTGAGCTCTGTCTCGCTCGGCAAATAGCTGGAACTGCCTCGAGGTTCCAGGAGTCCCGTCCTTAGTTCCCAGACCCACGCCAATACGATACGTACGTACCTGGATTCCTGGCCTCCTGGACTCTGGAGCCGCCCTTTCTGGAAGTGGTGCCGAGGATCGACGGGCTACTAATGCCCGTTTCCCACGCGACCTGCCTTTAAGCTGCATGCGTGCCGTCTGCCAGGCTTCTTGGTGATGCTCATGACGTGTTCTCGCAGCTCGCAGCGCGCCTAATTCTTCTAGGGCCGCGTCTGTGGGGCTCGGAAACTGTCAACTTGTGACAGCTGCTCTAATTAGCGCCGTAGCAGAATTCGCCAGGCCAGCGGATGAAACTTTTGGTTTCCACCGCAAGTATACGTACGAACCGAGTGCGAAACATGGTGTGCGCGGTGATAAGGCCCTTTTGTTTGGGGGGAGTGCCTGTCGGTGTCGAGCAACTCAGGCGCGCTTGCCAGCGCGTTCAATATCAAGCTCGCAGATTCTCACAGCTTCCCCCCTCGAGCTGCATCACGCAGGTGACAGAACACATGTTCTCTCGTCGCCAGCACGCTGCGCAACCCACGGTCGTCGGTCCTGTCTACCGAGGCGTCCGCCCCTTGCATGCGGCGGAACGCGTCTGGTTCGAGGCATTGACGGCGTCAGACTCCGACTCGTCCTGTCAAATCCGTCAAGAGATTGGGGAAGGACAGGGATGCTGGATGCTGACAAAAGCTTTTGTCAGAGTCTTGGGTCTGCAAATGGGTGGTATTGTGTCATTTGGAAGCCAAAAGACCCCGCAAATGCGACAGCAGAATCCCGCTGCCTTCATCTCCTTTTATTATGCGGCCGAATCTCGTCAAGTGTTTCTCCCGCTCCTTGTCTCCCCGCATCTCCGAAGGGACAGGGTTACAAACTTACAGAACGAGACAGGCAAACGGAGGTGAGGCGCGCATCGTGTTCGCCTCCGACTAACTAATTGGTCTACCGCGCGGAGGGCGGATGGAGGCATTTGATCAAATACCTGCGGCCTCGACGAAGCCCCTGCCTAATACAGGCCTTACTTGTTCCTCGGTAGCCTCCGTATTGGGCGACGACACGTTAAAGTTCTTTGCCTCTGTCTGCGCCTGTGCTCGATTCTCCTGATTAGCAGTTCAAGGCCGTCCCTGTTGTGGGTTGCATTCGGCCCCACGCCGGTGCTCGGCTACTGCATGTGATTCTTGCGGGCTTCGATTTGATAGAGAAGTCTCGTCTAGGAATGTTCGGTTTCAGGTCTCGGCAGCGATCGTCTCTCAACGGCCACGATCCTCTGAATTGAAGCCTCCAAGGTTTCTCGAACAAAGGGGACGTTAGCTCCACAAGGGTGTGGCCGGGAATGTTCAAGGATCTTACGCGCCGCCCGCTATGAGAAACATGCTGTCTTTCTGAGAGAAGGAGTTGTCCGCAGAGGTTCCTTCTGAACCTCTTAATAATAAGGGCTGGGGTCATATCTGATGATACATGTAGGCCAGGTGAGTGACCAAGCCAGTGGGGGGGGGGGGGGGGGGGGGGGGGGGGGGGGGGGGGGGGGGGGGGGGGGGGGGGGGCGGGGGGGGGGGGGGGGGGG